AACAGCCTTCGAAATCAATTGAAAGCCTTGAAGGAAGTTGGCGCTGATAGACCAGAGTTGAAGTTGAAGACCCAGAAGAGAAGCTGAACTGGAGGACGAAACTACAAAGAACATCTTGACACTAGTCAGCCATCAAGACAAAATGGGGATATAGAGGGACATCCATGAAGAAACCTGTGTTGAAGAACACTAGGACTGTGTGAAAGAGATGTGGAAGGAAACCTGCATAACCGTATTGGGAAGGAAGAAGAAAAGGATGAGGGATTGATGTACAGGGATACATGGGAGGTGAGAGAGCAGCGAGAGGAAGATGGTGAAGAGAAGATGAACCAGTGCAATGTGGGGATGAACAACGTAAAGAGGAACTGAATACAACCTATAAAAAAAAACTCTGGACACAGAAGTGAAGAAGAGTGTGCGTAAAGACGTAGGACACTTCTTCAACACATTGGCAAGTGAAGCAGAACAGGCTGTAGGTAGGAGAAACAGAGACGTGACAGCACTATATCAAATAACCAGGTAGGGAAGAGATCAACGCAGACGAAAGAAATGAGAGATAGTGAAGGAAACCCAGTTAGCAAGGCGGAGGAATAAAGGAAACGATGAGCTGACCAATTAAAAGAACTCTTGAATCGACCACCATCATCACCTTCAACTCCTCCGGATATATCACAAACAACGGCAGAACTACCAGCAAATACAGGCTCTCCGACAAAAGTCGAAGTCCTGAATGCCATAAAGTGCTGAAATCCAGGGAAGCGGCAGGACTAGATAGAATTCCTCCAGAAGCACTGAAGGCAGACACAGAGACAACAGCGAACATGCTCAAACCACTGCTGCAGAAGAATTAGGAGGAAGGAAGGCAAGGTACCTGCCAACCCCATGCAAAATATTAAGCCGCATCATCCTGGAGAGACTAAAGTATGCGCTGGATTCAAAGCTACGACCGGAACAAGGTGGCTGGCCGGCTGCCTTCAGGAAGAACAGATCATATGCGGATCAAATTGCAACACTACGCAACGATACGCATCATCATAGAACAGAGCATAGCATGGTTGTCAACTCTCTACCCCAACTTCATCGACTTTGAAAAGGCTTTCGACAGCGTCGACCGACAATTAATTTGACAGGCAGCTGCTACCACACTACGGCTTTAGTACCACAAACCCTTATCAACCTCATTCAACAACTATATGACACGCCACATGCCAAGTGGTTCACAATGGAAAGCTCAGTGATGCTTTTGAAGAGAAGACAGGGGACAGAAGTAAGACAAGGCTGTCTACTATCACCGATGATCTTCCTGATTGTGGTCGACTGGACTACATCATGCAGCAAACCGTGAGGAGCGAGAAGAGGGGGGGATACGCTTGACCGATGAATAGACCCTAGGATATTTGGATTTCACCGACGAGGATTTATGTCTGGTGTCGCACACACTCGAAGATCTACAAGCAAAAGCCAACGAGTTGGCAGAAGAGGCGAGGCAGCGAAGGAAGACAGGACTCCCTTCAGGTGAACGTAGAAAAGATAGCGGTGACGAAAAAGATACCCAACCAACAACAACAAGCACCAATTACCATCAACAGGAGAAATCTAAGGGAAGTAGTCTCTTTTACCTACCTAGACAGCATCGTCTCAACACAGGCGGTGTCAGAGATGAGGATATCAAAGCCAGGATCGGAAAGACAGCAAGACAGGCTTTCCTTAATCTGATATCAGTGTGGAGATCTACTGTACTCCACTCCCCTCAGCATAAAGAACAAGATCCGGATTTTCAGCACTAACGTCAAGTCAGTTCTTCTACATGGTTCAGAAACTTGACGCGTCACGAAAAACACTTCCAAAAAACTACAGACATTCATCAACAGCTGCCGTCTACGCTGGCTCTATACTGAAGATCAGATCAGATGGCCAGAAAGAATAAGCAACAAGAAGTGTGGCTGACTAACTGGCAACGAACCAACCAAGAACCTGCTGCCCAACAAATATGCAGAAGGAAGTGGAGATGGACTGGGTATACACTGAGAAGGCCGATTGGGGACATCATGCGTCAGGCCAGGCCCTCGAGTGGAGTTCAAAGAGGAAACGACGAGTGGGGTGTCCGAGGCGAGGGTGACATGGAGGAGATGGTGTGAAGAAGAAATGAAAGCTTATGGGCAGTGGTGGGGCCAGGTTAAGGAGACTGCAGAGAACAGAGTGCAACGGAGACGTGCTACTGAAGCCCTATGTCGCACTAGCAACCCAATGGACAATAATATTAGAGATGCCGGCACGAAGAAGACGATGGTTAGTGAGACCACTCACGAAAAGGATGGGACGCTGATAACTTACCAGGACAGGCAGCTAGAATGTTGAGCCGAATGCTTTGAAGCACAGTTCGACTGGCTCTCAACAACGCTTCAGTTGCCTAACATCCAGCTTGGACCTGAATGGGGCAGAAATGTTGGTCCTGGAACTCCCTTTGAAGCTGAGTAAGCTGTATCGAACATGGAACGATACGAAGCAGTAGGACCTGACAGTTTGACATATACTAGGTAGTGTACGGAATCAGCGGTAGTCCCTTCGGATAGCTGTACTTCCCTGATCGTCCCAGCCTATGAGAAGGGAGAGAACTTTTCTTGCGACAGCCATAGGGAATCAGTTTCACTAGTATCGCGTCCCAGGTCATAAGCTTCACAGTTCTCTGACGCCTAACTAGAGCTTGAGAACAGCAAACCAGGCAGGTTTTAGACCTGGTGGGGTGTGTATTGATCATGTTTACCCTCCGATAGTTCCTGGAACACAGGCATACCCGATGGCCTATGACCGATACCTGCCATATTTCTTTACCTAAAGGTAGCACTTGACTCAGTCAACAGTGGGACGTTGTGACAGTGTCTGACTGCGAAAGGAGTACCAAGAAAGTTTATAACGCTAGTCAAAGCTCTCTACTCGAAATTATCCAGTCGCATCAGGGCTTAAGGAGAGTTTTCATCAGAATTAACGACAACTAGTGATGTTCGCCAAGGATGTCCACCATCACCGTTCCTATTTAACTTCGTCATAGAAGTACTAATTAACATAATCTTAGTTACTTCTGACGTCACAGGCATTGACCAACTCCCTGAAGGTCATCTGGCTGACTCCGAGTATGCAGACGATACTATCGTGCGAGGTGAAAACGCTGACGCAATCCAGGGTCTTCTGCAGGCGTTGAGCAGAAATATGAGTACGTTTGATCCACGTTTCGCTGCTGTTAAATGTAAGACTGGTCTGCCGCAAGTACTCTAGGTTTAATTATAGGGAGTAAAGTGGTGGGATCTGTCTACCATATCACTTGCTTAGGAAGTCGCATCAACCAAAATGGGTTGGTCACTCGGATACAGAAGCCCCATTTAGCATCTGCCGGCCAGCGCTACCTGTGGCGCCAACTGGCGAGGTATCCGTGTTATGACTGGAAACTGCTATATGCTATGTCTGCTAACGATGAACGGATATTAAGTGGCAGCCACCAACGTTCAACTAATTCCTAGTTGATTCCCTACCCGACTAATTAATGGAGAAGATACGATGAATGTGTAGCAACGTGTACTGGGGTCAAAAGACCGAAGACCAAAACAAAGGAAAATATCGGTAATTTATAGATAGTTCGCTGCTTAAAAATAATACTATTGATTGGCTAATCAACCGTCTGTTTGTCTAACTGTAGACGTGATAACATGAAGTACATTTTGATTGGTCGCTCTTCAGACTAGTCTTTTCTCTCTATCCCCATTTCAATCCGACTACCTGTTAAATGACGAGTATAGTGCCCTGAAGTCTATTCTGTCCTTTTGTACGACTGAGACATGGTCGTTGAAGGTAGAAGACACGAAGTGACTACTGGGTTTTAATCACAACTATTTCCTTAACATTGTTCGCGTGTGGTATAATCAACAATATAAGCAACGTTGAGGTCAGGTGAATGGTTCTAGACAAGTCGACTGATGAAGTTGTGAACCTTCATCGGCTGAAATGGCTTGGATATGTACTGCACATCCCGAGCCACAGCTAACCTCAACGTGTCATGCTGGGGATGATGAATTAAGTTGGAAGAGGGTTCAAGGTGGTCGGACGAAGATGTGACATCAGTCGATGAACTCTCTGACTATTGGCTCGAGCCGCGTTAGCAGATGCAGATTACCTGCTTGGGGTCTTCAAAACGATAGGAATCAGTGGTTAAGGACTCTGGGTAACATAGCTGAAAATCGGTCACAATGGCATAGATACATTCACTCATCGACATCTTCTAAATGTTGAATATTTAGATTAACCTTCATCTCCAAATTGTTTATTCTCTCACTTAACTTCGTCTACTTTAATATCACTATTTTTATCTATTATTTTCTTAATACTGTGAAGTGTAGTAAGTTGAGTCGATGCACCTGTGTGCGAGGTTCTACATTGATTTTGTCAGTCAGTCAAAAACTAAGCGTTGGTATTGAATCATGAAACTAGTTAAAATATCTCTTTTCTACCTAAGAAGTGAATCCAAGATGTTGAAAAATTAGGAGAAACTGAAGAAAATGTTTTTCTTTCCATTTTTTGGACTTCCTTCTATTTTATGTAGTTATTACTTTTTTCAAATCTTACAAATCGGCTCAAAAGTTTACTGAGTTTTAGATGATTTTAATTATTCGCTTATCAGACTGCAGCCTCATGGATAACTTTGACGTTTGAAGTTGTAGGTTCTAGGTTTTAGTCTCCGTCACTCATTGGGAGGCAAATACATTCAGATGGTAAGTTCAAAATAGGCTGCAACATACATGCTGGAACCTGCTGCTAGTCACTATTCACCATTGCTATTATTCGTACTACTGTGTATAGCTACACAAGTCAGCAATATTCATCTAAAAGATAAATGTAATCTTTTTGTATCCTGTATAAACTTTTACATCACACCCTCTTCCGTATGTTTTCTATTAAATACAGCCTTTTCCTGACAATACACTACCGATACTATAAACGTGGAAACAATTATGGATGATACACGATTAGAATGGATGAAGCATATTATTTATAAAGCGTTAAATTTAGTAGATGATGATATATTTACGGAATTTCTTGAACAGAATGATAATACAAATGAATTAGAATTAGCGAAATTTTTAAATGATTCACCAAAAGATGATTATCAAATGTTATTATTTTATAAAACTCATTATGAAGAAGAAATTGAAGAGATTTTACGTATACCAAAAAAACAAGGTAAGAAGTGTACATCGGCTGTTTAATTGTCTCATTTAGCTTCAAATGAAATGATCAATGTGGAAGGTGAAGTCGAATCTGAACACTTAGGCAGTTCAAAAGAAAAGCAAAATGGAATTTCTAACGGGATCCATATCAGCAGTGATGTTGAACATAACGAGTTGGATGAAAAAGAAGGTGATGACCCATTTATCGAAGGGAATGGTATCTCACCAGAGTATACAACTATCGTAATTTCTACTATACATATTCTTCACACTTTGTTTTTTTTTCTTAGATTAACCGTAAAACAAGATGGCGAACATGTTTAAATATGAAGAATACAAGTGTAGGAGTTGAGAACTTAACAGAAGAATATGTTTATTTTATTCGAATCACAAAAGGTTATATTAATGCACCGAGTGATTTGAAACATACATTTAATTTTATGCCAAGTCAAATGCAATGGGGTTACATGAGAGGAAGCTTTCTGGAAAGTCTACTAAATTTACTAAAGCATGTATATGCTCCATTACTGAAAGAACAACAGTCAGTCTTACATCAACGTCAGAATAGACCGATAGATTATGAACACAGTACTAAACCTATGAACAGTGATGAGAAAGAAAATTTGAATGTTGATGTAAAGAACGGACAAGATGAAGAAAAGGTGTTACCAGAAACGAGGGATGAATTTTTGATAAATATACGGAAATTTTATCGTATTGTAGAAACAACTATCCATCAGTTGAATAGTGACATTGTTTTAGAAGTACCAGATTTAGATGTCACCGGTGAAGAAGATGAAATTGTGAAAAGTTCAAAGTTTTTAATTATTGAAAAAACTATCATATCTTGGAATCGACAAGTAAGACTTTACAGTTAGATTAAACTATACTATACATTTCTCTTTCTTGTAGATTCGTCAAACATTAGACACTTTACTAGAAAAAACTCCAGATGGTACAAGTCCATTGAATCTAATTGATTATTGGCGTGATCGAAATTTAATTCTTGGTACACTAATTGAACAGTTAAAACGTTCACCTGTTGTAAGATTTTATCATTTACATCAATTACAAGAAAATGATGCATATACTGCATTATATAGTGAGATAAACAGTTTGTATATACAAGCTAGAGATAATGTCAAGTAATTTCAATTCATTTTATTTAAATTTGCATCAGATTTCTATCTTTATTAGAGAGACATTTTAAAACACTTACATTTGGAAATAAATTTGAGTCAATCATAGACATTATATATCCTCTGATGCAGACATTTCATATGATATGGGTTTTGTCAAGATACTATAATCGTGATGAGAATATGTTACAGTTATTTGAAAGAACTGCACTAACCATAGTGAATCGAGTTGTTCGAGCTATTGACTTGCCAAATTTATTTCAGTAGGTTTCTTCTTCTTTTTTTTTATGCGGAATAATTTCTATTTAGCTCTGATGTGAAACAGTCTATTTCCTTGATAAAAATTGCCATTAATTTATTAAATCATTGGAAATCAGTTTATTATCAAAAACGTGCTGAAATTGAAACAGTTGGTCGTGATGCACGTTGGGAATTTGATAAAATCAAATTGTTTGGATATACAGACTTTACATGCTTAATATGCGAAAATCTTTTAGAAATTTTTACAACAATAGAAGATTTTCAAAATATTTTTGGTTCAGAACTTAAATCAGTTACATGTGATCCTAAGAAGATAGATGAAGCAAGTAAACATGTGAAAAATATTATTGAAAATTTTCATGAGGTAATACTACTTTTTATAAACTAACTAGAAATTATCCTTTCAGATTAGAAATGATCCATTCAACAAAGAAAATAAAAGTTGGTGGGATGAAGAGTTACAAAAGTTTCATGAAGTTGTTCAACATCTTGAACATGAAGCGAATTCACTCATCAATGATTCATTTACATTATTACGATCTAGTGAATCAGCATTTGATGTTTGGTGTAAATTTCGACATATTAAAACGCGACCAAAAATTCATGATTTATTAAATGAAAAATTTGTCGACATTTTAAAACAATATGAAAAAGAATTAGAAAATGTCAGTAGAATATTTAATGATGGTTCAGTTTTGCCACCATTCTATGATGGTCAGCAACACGAGATGATAATTCGTGTACTGACAAAGTTTACACCACCAATTTCTGGACTAATTCAATGGGAGAGACATTTGTTAGGTTGTATTAAAAAACCAATTTTGAAATTTTGAAAGTTGATGAACTAATGCGGAATGAAGAAGGTAAATCTGTACGTAATCAGTATATTGTAATTGGTAAACAAATGAAAAGTTACGAAGAACAATTGTATAAACATTGGATGGCTCATATAGAACAGTCATTTGATCAATATCTGAGTCAAAACCTATTAAAACGGCAAGATGTAATGAAAACGTTAGTTAGTTCAAGATTACCTTCTTTGCACGCAAGTCGTTTAAGTATAAACTCTTCAAAAAGTGAACAAAATTCAAGCGAATCTAGTAAAATCGCTACGGAGTTTGGTAAGCATGGTGTTATTCTCAATTTTTCATGGAACTTCGCGTTTAGAAACAACATTAAAATCAGTTTTGATGCAATTCGATATAAGTCAGATATTTTTTGAGAAATGGGTTCCACAATCGTTTGATTCTTTTTCTCTCAAAACTCTTGAACGGTGCGCAAGTTTAGTCACTATGAGTTCATCATGGACTGAAATCAGTTAGAGGAACATTGGAAAACTGGGAGAACTGAACAGCTGCTTCGTTATATCATGGGACTCCTCAGCAGCAGGCACCCATGGCCCCGCCTCGCCAGGGATCGAGCCCACGACTTTCGGGTTCCACAGCCAGCACGTTACTATTGAGCCGTCGGGTCGGAATCCAGTGGTCCATATTTCTTACTTCTGTCATGTCACGATATAGCATGACCTACATCCAATATTGTCTTTGAATAACTGTCCTCATGTTCGACTTGGTTAGCTCCACTGGTCACTAGAGGTCGGCTATGGTGTGAACTGACAGAAGTTGTAACTATGCACCATTGTATTCTGATCCAGTGGCTCATTAGTAACGTGCTGGCCATGGAACCTGAAGGTCCTAGGCTCAAACCCTGGTGAGACGGGGTCATGGGTGTGCACTGTTGAGGAGTCCCATACAAGAACGAAACAGCTTTCCAATGCTCTCAGGTTTCTAGTGTTGCTCCAACTGATATCAGTCCAAGATGAATATCAACCCTAAGTCAATTATTAACTTCCCAAAAACCTTCATGTTTCATTCATTTCACTTGCGCATAACACAGTCTTACAGGGAGTTAATTGTAACCTGACTAACCTGGCTTCACCAAAAACGATACTTTTGAATTTCCAGTTATACCAAGTTGATTAACATTCAGTAGCATGAAATCCGGTTTCACTGCTTCCTGTTGACTGACTGGACATCACCTTGGAAGCTTTATTGATAAGCTTTGATCAGTATAATTGACCAAGTAGCTGCCCTGCCTAAAAATGTATTCATATACAGTTTCATATTTGGTATGGTACAACGACACAAAGATTCAAAAGGTTATCCAACCGTTGTATAGTCTTTATCTAGTCAGCTTTCATGTACTAATGTAGCGGAGTATAGTCCAACCGACATGTAGAATTATCACCTCTTTCACAAATTTATGTGAACTATAGTCATGATTTGATGGAATAGCATCGGTTATACTGGGCGCCGAACGAAAAGTATTTGTATGTCATACCTTGTTCGAAATAAAATAATTCCAATGTTTCTCACGGAAGTTTGGCCCGAACTTCTTCAGGGATATAATCGAAGTTAAAATATCAACGATATATTATTGAATTCAAAAATGTGTACTTCATCTCTTTGTCCAATCATCTTCGTATACTCATTGTTTTTCTAAAATACGATTACAAATCAATGTGCAACTGTATCTCTTGTTGTGTGTTGCGTATGTATGCATGTTATTTACATTCTACTTCACTGTAAATATGAGACGAAATAGGGTCACAGATGACATTGTAGTCACTCGGCAATTTTATGTACAATAAAGCATACAAAGTGTGTCATTTCGGTTGGCATTTAGGGATGAATTTCCCGAAGTATTGTGGAAAGGAATGGTGATGACAATAATAGTGAGTCAAATCAATTCAGACTTTTTTTTGATGAAGGGATACTGAAGATAAGAGTGGTGTTACAGTTAAATTCTAGAATCCCTCTTGGTATTTAAGAATTAGTAATTGCCAGTAGACAGCTTTGCGTATTCCATCTCTTCTGTCCAAGCTATCTGGATTAGCCCACATAGGTAGAGCATCGACTGCCAATCTCTCTTGGTGTAACCTAAAACCATTTTTCGGAACCTTGTTTGTGTCAGAGTCAATCTCTTGGCTCATTTTTCTACGGTGTAACGCAATTACCGATTTGTTTTCCAGCTTTTTAATCTCCGCTGATGTTTTGGAGTCTGCTGTATGCATAGTCGACTCTCTAACACCCTTACACTTACCTGCTTGGCTGTCTCCTCCAAACATACAGCATTAGAATCATAAACGCAGTTTTGTTGGTTTTCTTTCGAAACTACGTCTTAAACGTATATGCGGTTGGGACATAGGGTAATCGTGGGTTCCTAGAGGAACATAGGACTTTAGTAGTAAGCCTCCGTTCCACTCAATTCTCTGTAATCTTTAGAATCTGGCTCCACGACAGCTCAGAAGCTCTCTTTTCTTCCTCACATGATCTCCTCCATATCACTCTTGCCTCGGACACCCAACTCGTCGTTTCTCATGCAGGTTCCACTTGAGTGCCTGGTGCGTGATGTCCCCAGTTGGCCTTCTCAGTGTATGCCCAATCCATGTCCACTTCCTTCTGCATATTTGTTGAGCGATAGCTTCTTGGTTGGTTCGTTGCCCGGCCAGAGTTCCTTGTTCCTTATTCTTACTATTCTGGCCATCTGATCTTCAGTAACGAGCCAGCGTAGGCTGTTTTTGATGAATGTCTGTAGTTTGTTGGAAATCCCTTTCATAACGCGCCAAGAACTGACTTGACGTTGGTGTTGAAAATGCGGATCTTGTTCTTTATGCTGAACGCAAAAGATCCACACAGTGGTTTCCGATTAATGAACGCCTGTCTTGCTTTTCTAATTCTGACTGCTTGAAGTCCTCGTCTGTGCCACCACTGCCTGTAGTTGAAACGATGCTGCCTAGATAGGTGGGTGAAAGAAGCTATTTCATTTAAGTTTCTCGCGTTGATGGTGATTGGATCTCGCTGTTGGTTGTGGTGGTGTTGGTTGGGTATCCTCATCATCTCTGTCTTCTCTACGTTCACCTGAAGGAAGTCCGTCTTCGCTGCCTCATCTATTCTATCAACTTGTTGGTTTTTGCTTGTAGATCTTGAAGTTTGTGCGACATTAGACATAAATGCTCGTCGGCGAAATCCAAATCTCTTAAGGTCTTTTCATCGGCCAAACGGCCTACACCTATCTTCTCAAAGCTCCTCACACTTTCTTGCATGATCCAGTCCACTCCAGTTCACCACAATCAGGAAGATCATCAGTGATAGTAGGCAGCAACCTTGTCTTACTCCTCTCCCCACTTCAAAGGCATCTCTTAGCTTTCCATTTTGAATCACTTGGCATGTAGCACCATGCAGCATATAGCTGTTGAATGAGGTTGATAAAGGTTTGTGGTACTAAAACCGCAGTGTTGAAGTAATAGCCTGGCAACTTAGTTTTCGATCGACGCTATCGAAGGCCTTGTCAAAATCGATGAAATTGAGGTAAAGATCCAGTTGACCGTCATTCTACGTTATGTTCTATGATGATACGTATCTTTGCATAGTGCTGCAATTTGATCCGCACATGATTCGTTCTTCCTGATGCCAGCAAGCCTCTTGCGGTCGTAGTTTTGAATCCAACGCATCTTTTAGTCTCTGCAGGATGATGCGGCTTAATATTTTATTTTTTTTTGTGGACAGCAGCATGATTCCGTGCCTGTTCATGCAAACACTTAGGTAATCCACCCTTGTTTGGGAGTTTGACAAGGTAGCCTTTTTTCAGGGATGTTGCTCGATATCTCCCATTTTGTCTTGATGGCTGACTGATGTCAAGATGTTCTTTGTAGTTTCGTCCTTCACTTCAGCTTCTCTTCTGGGTCTTCAACTTCAACTCTGGTCTATTAGCACCAACTTCTTTGGAGGCTTTCAACTTGATTTTGAAGGCTGGTTCCTTGCACTAGGTAGTGGTGTGAGTGGTGTGAACCTACATCTGCTCCCCTTCTTCATCTTGTGTCAATTAGACTGACTGCGTCTCCACTTTCTTGAGATTCAGATGAAGTTGATCTGTGTTCATCTAGAGAAATCCATGTCGCTTGTGGATATCCTTGTGCTTGTACGCACTGCCTCCCTCCAATCACAAAATCGTTGAATGCACAGAAATCTGCAAGCAGTTCTCCATTCTCAGTCATCATTTCATCGAGCACTTCTCGACCCATGATTGCATCTCTTCCAATGTTGTCCGCTCCCAGTTTGGCATTCATGCCACCCTACACATCAGAATTTTGATGTCCCCAACTGGGTAGGGGTCTTGTCCAGTGTTGATTCAAGTTGTCTGTGAAATTCCTCATTCTTATCTTCATCTGCATTATTTGTAGGAGCCTAGTGTAGCATTGTACGATTGTGACTTTCCCTTCTTTTGAGTGAATCCATCTTGCTATCATGGTTCTGATCCTGCAGGAGGAGATTGGTTCCCACTGCATGAGAGAGACAGAGCCTTTAATTCTCTTGGGACATCATGATAGCCACTCGAATACTCAGTGTGCTCGTGGTTGTCGTCTGGGTGACAATATCACAGCAGATTAGATTATTGATGCTCCAGTTGAGAGTTTGGAGAGTCTACTTCCATTCCATCTACTTTCGTAAATTCCTAACACTTCTCGTCTGCAATCTGGGCTGCCTTGCTAGGTTAAAACATTGTGTGGACATTCCATGTCCCCACGTTTACTTTCGCTTTCATTGAGAGAAGGGAAGACACATCGGCCCATCGGCTTCCCGAAGGCTTTCACCAACCGGCATCACTTCGCCTCTCCGATTCCAGGGAGGAATAATTTTGTTTTTACTTTTTATATTTTGTTTGTGCTTTGAAGTTTCTTTAGCGACTGGATTTGTTTTACGGGGTAGGGTTGCTAGCCCTATGTCCAACCTTCCCTCTTTATCAGGGCTTAGGACCGGCTAGTAATTAGTGATCGAGTTAACCAGGCAAAGTTACCTTTATGTCATATTTGCTGAGAATTCTTCTAATTTCTTCTGAAGTCTTTATACGATATGGAATTATCAACGTGTTGGTCCATTTCTTCAAAGAAAGTTTCGAGTATATTACTAACTGCGTTTCATAAGACTGTTTTCACAAAATTTTTGGGATAGTTATTTGCTCTAAGCGTGCAACAAACTGATTCTAACTCGTATTTTTCAGTCTTCGTTGTAACAAGACGATAGCTCTGTTGATCAGATTTCAAGCGACTGGTAATTTAATGGATGGGCAGAGTGATAATCTGTCAGATATTCGTCAGAATTTCTCATCAAGTTCTAACATATCCATGAAACAAAAACAGTCTTCTACATTAAATAAAATAAAATAAATGAAAAGCACTTATCTCTTCACAGCATAATTCAGTGTTCTAATCATCTATACCAAATTCATTTGAGCATCCGTTTTTATAGTAGACCAAACATTTAGTTAGAAGTAAGTAGTCACGGCTATGCCTTTTCAAGAAGGGAAGCAGACCAAAGTCAACGATTAAGATGTATACGTTCACACCAGGCGATAAGCCTTTTTTGAATATGCCACCCAATTACAATAAAAGAAGCTATTTTTATCTCAAGAAACGTTTCTCTCGATACAGGTTGTTAAGTAACTGTTGTTGAGATGTAGTTTCTCATGTTTATGTAGAAGGATCTCATTTGCTTTCATCCGTCTCACATAACCATCAAACATTTAGCTTTATAACTTCAGCTCGATTCTTGTATCAAGCAAAGACAAGCTTTTAAAAGATTTGTGTTTTAACTACTTGTTAATTATTTCTTTCAGCCAAATATGAATTGTTAGTCAATTTTCATCCAGATATTTTGGTGGCAATCACGGAAGCCAAACACCTAGAGGCGCTAGGTTTCAAAATACCAGAGCTTGTAACTAATGCTGTGCTTAAAGTAAGGAATTTCATTGCTGTAATAAAACTCCAGCCTTTAAACCTGTCTTCACTAATATGTATACATACATGAATTTTGATTTCATTTTTTATGTGCTTTTCTCTATCAAGGTCCAAAGTGCCTCTACAAGATATTCAGGGGATCTGTACTAGCATTCATTCTTGAATCTAAGAAAGTTGTGGAGAAGTTTGAGTTCCTGTGTATTTTTGAGTACTGATGAGGGTGTAGTTTTTCAATCTCTGTTGTCTACATCAAATAGCTTGCATCCGATGGAAACACTAAGTCAGTAATTCTGAGGCTGAGCAATGTAGGCTTGCCATGGGACTGATTTTAAGAGGTGAAGTGACTGGTATATAGTGTGGCACCGTAGAATGAAAGATTTTTGCACTGGATTAGCATCTGTAAGAGTCTAACGACTCCCTGGACGGGTTCGAGAGACTATGCAACTCAGTGCCTTGAAACAGTAGCATATATGACTTAGAATTGGAACTTGTGGCGGTCATATTACAATCTTTCTGTTTCTTCCATTACTGAAAAGTAAAACAAAGTAATGAATTCTTGCTTGAATATGTCTTTTAGATTGCTTCTTTGATAACCCACTTCCGTTTTGTATTCATTGTCTCTCATATTTCCTGTCTACATAATAATCCCGACCGATAGCTGCTACCTTGACGTGGTAGTCGGGCTTGCATATCACAATGACCCAACGAGCTACGCTGGTGGAACGCTTGTTCCCTCGAGGTCCTACCATACCAGAAAGGTCTGTTGGATAGTGGTTAGACGAAAAGTAGTTACCGTTATAGTGTAAATTGCTACACTATGATGGGGGTCTGAGGGCGAAGTCGTACTGCTGCTAGCTGGATGGGGTGTGACAGCATTAAGGTGTTTCCCTTGGATGACCAGCAGTGCCATGCTGATGCTGCCTTCTCAGTGGAAGGGGGGTTAGAAAAGGTCGGCCCTAAAAATAACACACTCCACCACGCCCCACGGTCTGCCGGGCCGGCGGTGTTGGTTCACTTGTCGTTTCTGGGTAGTCGTAAAGTGTATTAGCAGATTCATTTTGTGTAATACAATAAATACTGAGGGATTTTATTCCTTCCTAATGATACTAATAATACCATCTGGTTTTTTCGACATCAGTAAATGGAACGAGATTTGGACACGTTCAATATTAATTAACTAAAGGAAGGATATAAAGCTCAATATTTTTCGTTCATTGTAACTTGGTCAAGTTTCGACGTACGTCATTCATATGAATTACCAACACCAACTCGCATGTGACAGTTGAGGTGAACTTGAATACTGATTATGATACAATCATATTTCCCGAGTACGATTTAATTTCAGTCACAGAACTCTGAGATGAGTGATATGTCAACATTTTCTATGCACACACCAAATCTGTCATATTTTGTTACTTATTTTAGCAGATGAGAATACGATTGATTTGTAATCACTCAATGAGAACGCCTGCTTATGTTCGCCTTAATTACATAAGTCCCAAGTTCTTTTAGTGACGAATAAGGTTATTTCAAAATGGGATGACGTTAAATGTCACTCTAGCAACTGATGAGATAGCCATTTACATTCCCTAATTTATGGAAAAGTACTTTCCTGGGTTAAATATGGAAACCTGATTGGTCATTTCAGAGGTTGTTAGGGTGGCCTTTAAAGTCACTCTTCAAAGTGCTTTATTGCTATGATATTTGTAAAACATGCCAGCGATCACCATTCCAAATTCTCAGCTAGATTCTAAGGTCCACAGAAGATGGTTGCTCGGGTGAAGTTGATTTCAGTTTAAAAGATGGATTATAAACGGAACTTCATGTAATAAAGTTGGAAACCACTGCACTAGTGAAGTGATTTGCTACTTCATCGATCACATTTCACTTGAAGTCTAACCATTTAAAATTTACGTGGGCAATTAAATTTTCATATTATACTGAATATCTGCAGCTAGCACTATGAATGTTCTAGAAACTTTAAGTTTCGAAGTCAGCGGCAACACTGCTTCTATTCAGTTGATTTTCAACATTTACACAATGCAGTTATCCACAATTTCTTTATGCGTGTTTGTATCTTTATGAATTATCACTAACGGTGACGTTTAGGCAGACTCGATTTTATTTAAGCGATTTCAAAAATTTTATCTGATTGCCTATAAATCGTTAAAAATTAGTTTGAACGCATCAGTAGACATTTTTAATAAAATCAGTTGTTCCATTTATATTCCAACGAGACAGTTTTAGACTGAGTATTAATAAAATGACAATCAAATAATAACCTGAAGTAAAGTGGTGCGGTTGATTGATAGTTAGCGACCAGTCATCATTAGAAATACTTCAAAATGTGCTAAATGTCCTTTAGCTGAATCCATATCTTCTGAAGCATGGAAAAGTTTTGAAAGTGAGGTACTAAAGAACGCTTATCCCTCTAAGAAAATTGACCCAAAATCGCTACTACAAAGATTTATTTGAACAACCGTTTTTTCTCTGTGATTTACAACAAGACTCATTTTGTTCCCCAAATCTTAACCACTATATTCGTTATACGCGGTTAAATAGACATACAGACTAAATCAATGTAGAACCTCGCACACAGGTGCATTGACTCAACTTACTACACTTCACAGTAGCATACAAGGAAAAAGTGAACCAAAAAAGAGTGATATCAAAGTAGACGAAGTTAAGTGAGAGAATAAACAGTTTGGAGATGAAGTTTAATCTAAATATTCAACATTTAGATGTCGATGAGTGAATGTATCTATGCCATTGTGACCAATTTTCAGCCATGTTACCCAGAGTCCTCAACCACTGATTCCTATCGTTTTGAAGACCCCAGGCAGGTAGTCTACATCTGCCAACACGGCTCGAGCCAACAGTCAGGGATTTCATCGACTAGTGCCACGTCATGAACTTGTCAGGAAATAATGAAATCAGTTTTATTGTTTTAGTGTAAAATCTAAACAGTAGCGTGAACGCATACACAACGGGCTTCATCCACTATCGAGTATGTCCATCATTACCGAGTTTCGATTCTTCAATTGTGTTCCTTTAAAGCTATCCCTTTTTGACGTTTTAGTTTGCAAAATGGTTGGCCAACTGGCATCTTATTGTATATTTTTGTATATATCTATGTTTCTAACATTCAAAATTAGGAATCAAATTATTTGTGTTATGTGGGGAAGTTAAAACTTTTGGTAAAACAATGTCACCAGTTATTTTTACAACTTGATCCTGTTGAATTAACTATACTCGAACCATATGTAATCAATTTGAGAACGATTATGAAACCTGGATGGGATATAATAAATTGGAAAAGTCTTAGTATATCTGAGTTTATCACTAAGGTGGAAGAAGAACTGAATCGATTTACTTCATTATGTAATTTATGCAAAAAGACAGCTGGAGACATTGAAATGCGTTTGGAAGCGATTGGATCAGCTGACTTATTTCCAACACCAAAATGGATAGATGAATATCAAAAGACAGCCATGGGAGGATTTTTCACTTGCAAGGTACGACTAAAAGCGTTTTTGTCTTCCTATATTAATCTTCCTAACTATGTCTGAGATGTTGACCAGATAATAACGGAGTAGAAGCCATAATTCTCTTCGTTCCAGAATATCGTATCATGATAAGGTACTCATATGGGACGATACTACTAAATATTAAAGTGTAGGAATATACTTCCTGTCAAGCTAAACACTAATTGCTCACCGAACACTACTGGTACTTATTAACAGTTATTACCAGGGAATATTCAGTCGACCATAACTGGTATGCTGACTGAAAGCAGAAATAATCAAATCATTAGTAACATTAATACTAAAGGAAAGCAGAAGAATAATAAGTATGCCAAACATCTTAAATTTTCAAGGGAATTTGTTAACAAGCTTACTGTTCCAAACATCGTTCCTGATATCTGCCAGAAGATTGAGAATTTTTTGCCTTTCATTAAAGGAGGTCACAGAAAAAGTACGAACAATTAAAGGTGCCAGGACACACCAGTACAATGTAAAGGATAGTCAAAATAATGAGTAGATATTCACTTCTTGGACAAAACTAAAAATGGGGTAACATACGTTATGGCAGTTGCATTTGAAGTGCGTAAACTGTTCTCTATTGCACCAACCTTTTATTACCTTTAAACCGCAGTTTGTGAGTCAACAGTACCTCCTCCCTACAACCAAGAGGTTTCATTTTTAGCTGAATTTCATTGGTGTAGACAATATGATTCTTCAAAATATATTTATATCAAACTGAACCTTGCACATGAATCAAGGTAATGAGGAAATATAAGGAATATATATGGCTGAACTTCCCCTGTCATACAGGTTCAAAAATTGTCTGTTCTTCCATCTTATATACACAAAAGCATCCTGGATACGAATTTAAAGCTGATCATTGTATAATCAATCCGTATAATACACATTTTAAAAGTCTTTATACCAGACAGATGGAATAATTGCATTGTTTCATTTCTGAATTTGATGTAGACAGCATATCTATGATCGTTTTATTTCTGAAGAGAAATTAATCATATTCAGGCTTGAACTGGTAAGCTAAGATAACAAAATATAGCAAATTCACACCATATTTATGGCTTCAAAATGCCATATGTACTCTTTACAATGTATACTTTTAGGGAGATATGATTCATATGTGACAATAAATTTTGTGTTACATTTTTCTTCAGTCTGTATTTTAATGATTTTCAAACAGGATTACTTCGCTCTCACAGTTACTGAAAGACAGAAACAATTTGAAGAATTACGCATGCAGCATACATCTTTGACACCTTTGATTATAAAACTTGAGAGTGCAATAACTCAACAAAATACAGGAAAAAGTAAAACAATGGCTCCTTATTTTGAATACTGGGAAAAGAAGCTGTTTGACCAGATTTACGCGGTAATTTAAAATTAACATGGTGTATAAAATTTGCTATAGTGTTAACATTAATCCTAACATATTGTAGGTTGAACAATTTTAAGGGTCAAGAAGGACATAAAGACACAGTGTCGTGAGTAAAATTAGTGAAAGTTTCATAGTTTTAAAATATATATGATGAAAACTTTTGATACTGTGTCAGCGAACTTCTAAACCTATTTATAACCCAGATGAATGCGATATCAAATAAAGGAGATGTGAGTATCTCATGAAATGTCATTTTCTTTGATTCTTTAGAAGAACTTTGATCATTGATTTCAAGCGAGAAAGTTGAGTTCATAGTTTCCTGAAGATTATCTTGTCATTCAACATACAACTAACGTTACTTATACTGCATTTCATCCCTCATAAACGACTTTTTCACATGACTGGCATCAACATCCATTCTGTATGCGGAAATACTGAGTCAATATCTAGTTAATCGAATATTACATTTAGATTAGAAAACTGATATTCTTCTGGTACATTTCACCCTCGAACAGCTGACAAATCCTTGTCCAAAGGCGAAAAGATCCGGCAAACGGATTTTTAATGCAGTTCATAATGAAGTGAAACTCAGATAACATAACTATGACTTACCAAGAAACTCAAAGTCAGTCACTAATAGGATAGAGATCATAAAACACTCATGGTGGTTTTGCAATACGGTGGCAATACGGTAATAAATACCTCGCTAAGTTATTACACATCAACTAGTTACTAAGCTTAATGTACGACGCGGACGCATTGTGATTTACGTTTTTAAGTAAAGAGAATCATTTCTCCATAAAAACTTGTCATTCCAAAATTATAGGTAAGAAAATGTTTCTGAATCTACCAGATGTTATAGCACTGATGGATAGAAGTTAGTGGTGGAATCCAGGACTCTCGCTTCGTCCTATTTCTTACTCGTCAGCTGGATATACCTGCTCCCAAGTGAGGTATGTTGTTCCCTCTATTATTCGGAACCAGGACTGATTGCTTCAAAAGCCAAAGCGTTATCCACTAGGCCGCCCAACTGTTATGAAATAAGGCACTTTACTGTTTGAGTCATCTTCTAACTAGACTCTCAAATCAGTGTTCAATATATGTATACGCGAGCTGACATCTTTTGGTAAATTAAACCAATAGAACTGCTAATCAGTGAGGCAGTCGCTATAAACTTTGAAAAGGACTTCGCATAAGAAGTCAAACTCAACATTATTTATCTGTATCATCTCCATGGTTATTTATGTGAAGCGATAGACAAATTTAATTTACCAAATTTACTATGTATCACAAAGGTCTACCATCGTTTGGTGGATAGAAATGTTTGAGTGCTTGGTGTTTGTGTCCAGAAGAATTCAAGGTGCATGTTTAGCTGAGTAACTGTCCTCATATCCGACTTTGTTGACCCCACTGGCCCCGAAATCTCATAAGAACTTCGGGAACCACCTCTCGAAGCGAATCACTAATGAGTAGTAGATTAATTCAATTCGGTGGTTTATTTGTTATTTTATTTATTGATTCGACGGCATTGAATGGAGATTGTGCTATATCGTGAACTCACAGAGTAAGGAAATATACATCATTGTATTCCGACCCGGTGGTTCAATGGTAACGTGTCGGTCAAAGAACCTGAAGTTCCTGATTTTGATCCCTGGCGGGATCATGAGTACGAACTGCTGAGGAGCCCCGTACTTGGACGAGACAGATGTCTAATGCTCCTCTGTCCCAAATCCTTCTTCAAGCGGCGTCAGTCCATGATGAATATCAACCTGAAATCAATAAATAAATCCCCACATACCTCCAAATGTAATCTCTACTTACAGATAAAGAATATACGCTGAAAGATGGTGAAAGTTGTTTTACGTTTCATGTTCTATATTTTACTACTGCATATTCAAATACGCACCTTATGGAACATCTCTTAAAAATGTATTACTGGTTTACTGTTTCTTTTCTGTTTGAATCCTTAGATGGTGATTAGGAATCTTCAAACATATTTGAATCGTATTTCTCGTCCACAACAACCATTGTTTGCAGTTGATCTTATGTTAGCTGGCACAGATGTAGTTGGTAATCCACAACCAGCAGAACTCTATCGACTAGTTATTCAAGTATGCTACGCCTAATTAATTCTGAAGTTATTTTTGGTGACAGAATTATACTTAAGTTAAAAAAGTTTTCCAGAATTGCTTTAAATGATGGAATAGACTTTCAATTTTCTTCTTCGACTTGTTAGAACCAAATACGTGAAAAATATATGTTCATCTGATTTTTAAAACCTTCTTTAAGTACATAAACGCTGTTTACCCGTAGTTTCTGTGTCGTTCTCAAACCGTTGTTGTATTGACGATTTAAGCTCTACTTTATTCATATTAAAAAAAGATCGAATAAGTATAACAGATACTAGTGGCATTATTTACAAGTATTAAATGATCAGTCCACGTCCTGGATAACTTTTCGAATCTCTATAGAGATAATACTTGAAGACATTTCCAACAATAACGGTGAGGTTACTTTACTTTCGTTCTGAATATTTTATGATTTCGCTTATAGGTGCAGCCAGCTGCAATTTGAATTAGATAAAATTTCCGTAAAACAGTTGAAAGCATTATTCTAGTCTTACACTATTTCCTGCTTTGATACATCTGAGGACAATGCTTTGCATAGAGTTACAGCAAACCTTTTCAATTCCAGATTCTTTTGCGTACTCCTCACAACTCGAAACAGTTTAAATGTCAAATTACACTAAACGTATTTAGACAACTAAATAATTTCTGAAAAAGTTATCAACCCTATGGTGTGATATTAACGTTACCTAAGTGAACTCAGGAAGATTGAGGGATTATAGTAATACAATCTATTATTACGATTATTTTCATTTAGGAGAATGTCCTAGAGATAGGAAAACAAAACTGGTAACAGAAAGAGGTTAGGATCGTCTAGATATAAGAAAAATCAAAACTATGTTGCATAACCATCATTACACAAACTGGAAGGAACAAAATCTATGGACTCATCCTATCATTTTATCGGTTCGCTTCAGCAGCATACAAACTATATATTTAAAAACAAAATTGTAGTTTCATCGACTAGAAAGCAGTTAGTCAGCAAAACAAAACACTAAACTAGCATATCAAAACGAAAATAGTGTACAAGTTGATGTAGAGCTAAAATATCAAGTTGTGGTGTCGAAAAAGTTATCATTAACAAAAAGAAAGTTCTCATAAAAGCTTATTAAAGGTAGCAAGATGAAAATCATAAAAATTAAAATGGAAGAGTATATAAGCCAATACATAGTCTAGTTATTAATAACCAGAGGACAAAATGTAATCAAATCTTCAGGAGTAAAACCTATCAAAGCAAGGCTGATTTCTAGTGGGAACTGGAAGCCAAATTAAATGATAATGTTATGAAATGGGTATGTGATCCATTTCTTGAAACGTTGACATACTCACCCATCAAAACACACACAATTACTGAATATACTCATAATACATTCCCATGAATAAAAGACTTTACAAAAATGTTTGATGAAGCTTACGAAAAGGCATTTTTCATGAGCTTAAGCATTGTAGCAATTAAAAATCGTCTGAATGCTGAATGTATTCAGCATCTGTTTGCACCTGGTGGTTATGCAGTACATGTTTGAATTCCTGTCATGATCGTCATTTTTCTATCGTTTGAATCCTTGTAGTTGTTTTTACTTACTGTCTGATTGAATATTTCTGTTAGTTGTTGGCTCATTGATGTAACACACCTATTGAAACTCATTGATCAATTTAAATTTTTCACATTTTAAGGCACCTACATTTTGTTGACGGAATCGTGAATTCTTTCTTGTTACTTAACAAGTTGATAACTCAGTCACTTTTCTCGTGAAATGAAATGAATATTGTCAAAAAGTGAACTAGATAGACTTACTGGTCGACAGAATGACTCTAAAAATAGTACAAAACTGCAAGCTCTATAAAATACACTGCTTGTTTTTATGTCAGCAAGATAACTATAAAGACTTGAACTAAAGTATAATAGTTAGTCTTTTGGATTCCGTGTTTTCTGATATTAATGTGTTTATCTTACACTACCATTTTTTACCACCACCTTTTGTTTTATTGTAAAGGAATTACGCGATGCCATCGAATCAACACGTGTATTTGTCAGATGGTCTCGTGGTTCATGTGTAACTGCTCCGGGAGTTAAAGTTGATAGCAGTGAAGATTTGTATTATTTTACATTTTACGAAGAAATTGCAAACTCTAGTGAAATAGCTGATTTGGTTCAACAAATTGCTAAAGCTTACACAAATACAGTTGAAAAGGTAAAACGATTTCAAGATAGCTGGCGTAAACACAAAGGGAAATTTGTTGCAAACAAGGTTAGTTACGTAAAACTGAACTGATTGAATTCATAGTTCACTCATGTTGCTGTGAGTTAATTCTATCGAGTACCAGTACAGAATAAATCATTGTTTCATTCCATAAATAAGAGGTTGCTCAAATATATGTTATGCCTATCAATACTTGCCTACAATGGCGGTTATTCATAACTTCAAACAAACTTCAGTCTTACTATCTGAAGGATCTTAAACTCAAATTATTACTGGTTACACAAAACAGGATAACCCGAAAACACTGGACACTGACTTAATACCAGTTTAGATACTGCATCAGTATCCCCTCCTATATTTTAGCATCATCAAAACTTTCAGATATCATGGACAACATTCTATCATTGGGCTGATGTTAGTCACTGGTAAATTGTATCTTGTAATCAGCACAGCCTCCGAAAAGTTGAATTCAGTTGCAATAGATCACTCACCAATATCTAACTCTACAGACTTAATTTCTACTTTCTCTGTTTATTTTCAATCACTTCAAGGCAAGTGCCCTTACACAAAATAATACAAGTCATTAAGAAAGTATAAGGGATATAAGAAGAGTGAGAAAAATGAATGGTCTTAATAAACCAGTGGAGACCAGAAATGTTGATGTTGTGTTGCCTCTGAATGTCAGTCAAATTACAAACAGATGTTCGCGTACACGAACGTCTTACCTATTTTTAGCAGTTTATCGTGTTAATGAGCTGGTAGCAGTATTGGGCAAGTAATTTTAGCTGCGATGGTATAAAAACATGCAATACACATAAGTCTTACCTTACAGTTACTATGTGTGTTCTGTTTAACCTGCATACCAACGCATAGTAAAAAGATATGACATTTACGCTTAATTTCAGAAACGGCTTTCCTAGACAGCGGAAACATACTGTTATTCTGCTACACCAAAATGGATAATCTAGTTACATTCTAGACTAAGGCCTCAAATGAATACCTGAAGAGAACTAAATACAGGGACCAGGCATTCAAGCACTTGAATTTCCAGTTTTATCTTTGTTCCCCTAGATAAATTGTAACGAGCTAACAGTCATCAAATTCACTTGTACAATAGATTAGCTCGAATGTTCTTTTAAATGCTCTTTTTGTTTTTAGAGTAGTTTTTAAGATTGTTCCCGTTTATAATAATAATTTTACAAACAGTTTTGGTGTCACTCATGAGCAGTCTTTTCATCTTCGTCAGCATCTTTTTTAAATTGACAAAGTTTCTTACTGTCTTCCTAACAAGTTTACCAATAGTAGGTATTGAATCGTTTTTGTACAAGGATCATTAGCGTGATCATCCATCCTAATGGAATGATTTGCATCAAACAGTTATTAGAAGCCACTGTATGGTATCACTTATGTGCCATCAATGGTTGTTATTAACATTTAGCGGACTGATATCCACTTCTGAATATAGCTTGGTTTACTAACTAGTTGTATTATTGAGTTCAGTCAGTCAGCTTATTTTGATATACCTACGATGACAATCTCATTAGTTATCACAATGTAGGCTCACATTAGTTCAAATCAAAGCATGACAAGTGTTCAGACAAATATTTCAAACAGAGTGGAACTCCGTTATACACCCTAGATTTTGGTCGCTAGTGGTGTTATAATCTAATGCAGTCCAGATGTGAGGCATTAGTGGAAAAGGTCATTAACAAATCAGTGATGGATTTGCTTAAAGTTATTCCTTGCCAGAAGTAGATGCTAATCTCCATCAAATGGTGAAAACGATCTCTACTTTTTGAGCTGTGGTCAACTTGTTTTTGGGTTCAAATAATGCTGGAACATCAAGAATGATACAGAAACTTGTACTAGGGATTAAGTCTTTATACAATTAGTTGTATGGAAAAAGTGGCTTCCTTGAGGTCGTGACAAGTTAGAAATGTATTTGCTTACCTTATCGAAATTTAACAAATATATCTCCTTTATCATGGTTGAAGGTACTCGGCAAGAACCCCGTACTTAGGTTTTGTGCTGCATAGGACTAGTCAAAGACCATATTTAAAAATGTTTGGTAGAATTCAGGTGGCACTTAGGACTTGGATTAGACAACATGAAATTAGTAACTTCTTAGCGGTCAATCAATATAGAATAATACAATGTCAGGAACTGCTTTCATTGCTTTTTAGTCTACATTGTAAGTTCATACGTTCACTTACTCCTAACATTTTTTGAAACCCATGAGCACCACTAAAACGAATCACAGTTATGAAAAGTATATATATATATAGGAATCTTACATATCTGCCAATGCGATGGGTAGTCTTAGAAACTTTTCTTTCGCTTTTCAAACTTATGTAAGCACCCATTTGACAGAAGTAGTAATTGGCACTTTCCTGGAAGAACTTAGCATCTTACTTTGTGAGATGGCATTTCAAAAACATATGAACACTTACCTGTTTGTTCAACATAATTCCTGGATATTCAGTGGAAAGTCAAAGTCTGTAAAACATAAGCGAGATATGGAGGATATTGATGACTTGTCTCTTTAAATTAAAAAAAGAAAGACAAACAAGTCATAATCTCTGGGACAGCAGAAAAGATTTGTAGTTCATGATGAAGTTGACAACTGTTTGGTATTCTCTGAGCTTTTATGTGTCTTTCTGAATATTTCATATCTAGGTTAGGTGACTTCACTAGTGCTTGCTTCATAATCATCTGCTTCTTGATAAATGACTAACTATCAGTTTATAAATCCCAAGTAAGCGAATATCTTATGACGAAGTTACAAAGCGTTTGCTGAAGGAAAACTCAAAGATATCGAAATACTTACTGGAATTCGCCGCAATATTGTTGTTTTTGTCAAAGATTTGGCTAAATCTTTACTAAAATGTTAAATTTTTTTCCTTTTTTATGAAAACTACTTTTCTAGTTAGCTCAAGTTGAAAAGTGGATGGAGACTCCACGTACCGCAATCGAAATTCATGAAAAAATTTTAGATATGAATACGAAATTTGATGACCTATGTGAAACACCGGAATTAATTAATATTGGATGTATACAATTACGACTAAAAAGTTTAATTCACAATATACAAGAACATAATAAAAAGTGGACAAAAGCCTATGGGAAACAGTTACATGATACAGGAAAAGAAATATTAATAAATTTAGATGAAGAATTTAAAGTAACTATTGAATTCCGTTTTTTATGCGGTATATATGTATATATATATAATATGCTATGGTTTGAACGAGTATTCATTTTGTTTAGGAGTGTCTTGAAATACCTTGTATAGTATTCCATTTAGCTATCAAATTAATGTCTATGCTAAACAGTCTTGGAGTGACTTGAGTAAACTTAACTGCTGATTTTGTCCACCATGATAAAATATTTGGCACTTGCGCAAGATACTGTCAATAAATAAATGCGTTAAATACTTTTTTTACACTTAACCTAACTAAGAGTCAGTTCTTGTTGCATATTGTATTTTGAGAGATAAGTATTCAGTCTTTTAACCTGTTACTTTAGGAGTTCGATAAATTCACTGAAATGTATTATGCAGATTTTCAAAAGAAAATAAGTGAAATGATGAACTTAATCGGACGCTCTTTGAAATAAAATGCATGTAAGACATACTCCTTAAACAACAGTGAAAAAAAGTGCTTTCTTAGCGGTACAACCGCTAAGGAAATATAATAGAATAAATAAATAATGCAACAAAATATTTTTCTGACTCATTATACAGGAAGAAAATTGTTCAATACTTCTATGTACTTGTGGAAGACTAGATTAAGTAATCTACATCAACACCAATTTTCTTGTAAGCTCACTTATATATCAGTATACCTAATAAAATCATTGATCTTCCCTACAACGCTTACAACAGCGCGATGTCTTTTGAAACCTTTTACTATATTCCAAAGGTTGCCTTTTAAAGGTATAAAAGAATTTTCGTAAATGCAACTTATTCAACTCTATCAGGTCAAATTTTGATCCTGAAGTTTACGCAATTTATTATTATTATTTGTCCCTTGGGTTCCTAGTGGAACATTGGGCTTCAGATGCACGTCGCCATTTCATTCTGTTCTCTGCAGTCCATCTAACCTGGCTTAACGACTTCCTATAAGGTTTCATCTCTCCTTCATACGATCTTCTCCATATCACCCTCAGACATCCAACTCGTTGTTTCCCATACGGGTTCCTTCCACTCGACGGCCTGGCATGGTGCATAATGTCTTCAATCGGTCTTCTTAGTGTATATCCAATCCAATCCACCTCCACTTTCTTCTGCATATTTGTTGGGCGATGGGTTCTTGGTTGGTTCGTTGCCAGGTCAGTGTTCCTTGCTGCTCATTCTTTCTGACCATCTGATCTGATCTTCAGTTTCGAGTGAGCGTAGACGGCAGATATTGATTTATGTCTGTAGTTTTTTAGAAATGCTTCTCGTAACGCACCAAGTCTCTGAATCATATAGAAGAACTCAGTTGACATTGGTGTCAAAAATCCGGATCTTGTTCTTCATGCTGAGTGCAGTAGATTGGTTAGCTTTGATTAAGGAAGGGTTTAACAGCCTAAAATGCGCCCTTAAAATGTAACAGTCTATGAATTTTAGATTTAATTCTCGGCAGAGATAGAAGTTTCACAGAAATAGAACTATACTGGACTGAGTAACTTTGCTAACCAGATGCTAAACCAGTCACCATCATAATGAAGAGGAAATACTACTGTTTTCCTAGCCCACAGATAATTGAGATAAGAAGTTCAGTGAAGATATCTTCTGCTCCTAGTTTCTCGTCTTCTTTGAGATCCTAAAGACCATTTCCTGCATAATTTTGACTTCTCAAAAGTTTTGAGTCGAATAAACGGAACTTGAGTGGAAAAATAGAGGATACTAATTTACATCATAAGATCTCCGATTTGTATCATTTAAAAAAAACATGCATAATAAATAGGCAAGTTAATCAGATGTGTGTCTTATGTTTAGATGGTGTGTTTCTAAACGTAAGGCATACTAGTAAGTGTAAATAACACAGTTATGAAGCGATTGGTATTGGGCTCGAGTTTCAGTGAAAACAAGATCATTCACTGAGGCGCAGGTCCTTCCAGCTGACTAGCCCCAAATAGGACTAAACATACATCCTGGAGTCCATTGGTAGCCACCAAACAGGTTACAGGGTCGTGATATTCAGTTGGTAGAGATATTATTGTAGATATAAACAATACGAAAGAATGATTCAGTTCGAAATAATTTTAGCATTTCTCAGTGCTTATATTCTACCCAGAGAAGGTTTAAACAAATGAATAAAGCTCATCAGTATGATGATATACACCACAAAAATAGGAACTGAAGATTCAATCTTGAGTAGCACATTCATAACATTAACCACTTTCAACAAAAGCATCAGGTGGATTGAATCCTATGAATGAAATTACATCATCCTTGTACCGCTAAGGTACATTATATGTAACTTCTATTTGTACGACAAAATAATCTGTTTAATCCTACCTTTTATTTTCTTTCATGATTTGGTTTGTTGCATTCAGCATCGACTTGAAGATCTAGAAGATGTACCAACAACTATGACTGAATTAAAAGATGTCTTAAGAACAATTTATGAAGTAAGATCATCATCACTAGAAATCGAAGAGAAGTTAGTCGATGTTGAAGAACGCTATCGTTTACTGAACTATCATTCTTTACCTGTAACAGAAAATGAAATGGAGTTGGTGAAGAATTTGAGACCTACCTGGTTGGAGTTACTAAAGTCTGCAAGTCATAAAGAGCGTACATTGGCTCGAGTTAAAGGCAAATTTGCTAAACTCACCTCAGAAGATATTGAAAACTTTAATCGTACAGTTGTTGACTTTGAAAAACGCTTTAATGAATGTGGTCCCGGTACAATGTTAGATGATTTGGATTCAGCAGTAGCATCTGCAAAAGTAATTTTATTTCCTAAAGCTTTTTAGCATAATCTTTTTTTTAATTTAAATTGTTCTTGTTGATATGAGTAATTTATCACTAACTAGTCATATTGTTCAGGAACATTTGTCAACAGCACAATTTAATTTTTGCATTGAACGGCTGATATTGTTTTGTCCACATTGAATGTTTTCAAGCAAAAACCATATTACGATCTCACTTAAATGATTCCAAATCAACAGAATTTGAAAATACTCAACTATGCGGTTTAGCTTATATGCAGTTCAGTTTTAAAATCAACTTTTTAAAAATCTTTCAGGTGACTGAAACAGTTTCCTTCCCTGATGTTGATCTGTCGAAAATATGACCTAATATCCTAACCTTGAACAATCATTGTGACAATATGATGTTTAAGTCATTGTGACTTGATAAATTAATCACTTAGAGCCAGTTAATCCACTAGACCAGGAGACAATAATTCTATATTAGATTTGTTTATTTGATATATAGCGCACAGTGATACAGTATTATTTACTCATTTACGCTTCGAGCATAGATTATTGCTCATAATCATATCAAAGTAATCACACTTTTTTCGATATCTGGTTTTGTAGTCCCGTCAACTGATTTTTCTTTGTTTTTTGTTTTTTGATTGGTAGTAAAGTTTTCTATATCTCTGGTATAGATGTTGCGTCATTCCTATTACATGTGTTGGGTGTGGATTCGATGAACAAAGATTCAGTGATTAATCTCTCTCTCCACCTAGCTATATTATTAGACTTAAGTACAGTGGTTTTGTCCCACCCTATTGTGTGGTTGTGTGGTTGTGTGTTAATGAATGTAATGCAATGGCCGAGTATTTTTCTAGATTATTGATCTGATTGGGGTCTGTCGTTCTATGTTTAGCTAAATCCCTATATTCTGCTAATCTAACTGACCCCGACCGGCTAGTTTGACCTATGTATTTGACCTCACAGTCATTACATGGAATGCGGTAGATTATATTATTTTGCCTAATTGGTTCTATCGGATCTTTTAGTCGACAAAGCTTACATCTAAGTGAGTTCGTTGGTTTAAATGCCACCCTAATTCCAACCTTGTTGAGAATCCTACGTATGGTTTCTGATGTTCCTTCCTTGTATGGTATCACAATAGAGGTGTTGATTTCCTTTCTACTTATGTTGTCGCTATTATTTGTATTTGTATTACTGTTATTATTTTGCTTCTTATGTGTTTGTGTGAATTTCTTAATAAAATGATGGGGATAATTATTAACTCTTCTTTTATGTGTTTCAATTCCTTATTTAAGTCCTTACAATGACTAGTGAGTTTCTTAGCTCTGTTATTTAGACATTTGACTAAACCCGCTTTAACTGATGCTGGATGAGATGACTTGAAGTCTAGAAACCTGTTAGAATGTGTTGGTTTTCTGTAGACTGTAGTATCTAAACCACCATCTGTCCTTTGTTTTATTCTGCAATCCAACATAGGTAATTCTCCTTGTTCATTTTCTACTTCGTAAGTGAATTGGATTGCGTTAACTACTGAGTTTATGTGTGTCAAAAACTGTCGATATGTTCCGATTTCAACACTGTAAATGTGTTATCCACATATCGCCACCATATCTTAGGAGACAATAAATCTATTAAAATTCCAAGTTAACTGAACGCCTAACCGCCGATCTTCATCTTCAGATGTGAACGTTTCGCTTTATTCGATGTTTAGTGCCAGTCAATAAAGAAGAGTGAAATAACATTTAGTGCTTCCAAGCAGTCATCCAAAAGGCCTACTTGCAAGTTAGAAGAGTCACGTTCATTATAGATACCAGCCTGTTTCACACAGCATCAAAGATTTATGTTGTCGTTATACTTTCCACAGAGTCACTTTATCTTATCTTACTTATCCCATAGTATCACTTGACAAATGAGCAGAAATAAACAATAAATTATTTGCATTTTATCCCATTTATTGGGTATGTCCTACAATTAGATACTATTGTTTACTGGATCACGTTTCGGACATATTTTATCCGTCCATAATCGTATCAAGACAACTCTATAACTTTGTGACTTCGTTTACATAGTTCTTATTCTCTCTCCTCCTCTGCGTACCTGTATAAGGTGCTGGATCATTCTTATTGCACGTATTCGGTGTAGATTTGATAAACAATGATTCCATTATCAATCTCTGCAATCCTTGTGTCAAGTTGGTATTGAGGATTGTCACTCTCTCTCATCCCATTCATTGTTTGTGTGTATATGCATGCTTAATCATATCCGCAATTTTCTCTGGATTCATTGTCTAACTAGAGTCTCTCAATCGTGATTTAGCTGAGATTTTGTGTCCGACCTGTTTTATTGCTCCTGGATATTTAACCTCACATCATTACAAGGCATTCGGTAAACTAAATTATTTTATCTAGTTGGATCAATAGGATTTTTCAGCCTACGAAGCTTTTCTAAAAAAATTAGTAGGTTGAAATACGACTCTGAACCCAACCTTGCTTCATATCCTACGTAACGTTTCTTAGTTGTCTTCGTTATAAGGTAAAATGGAAACATAATCCAGTAAATAATACTGCTCCAATTTATGATGCATCTGATAGACGGTGTAATACAAGCAATAACACTAAACCTATACCCGTCGCACAAGAAGTGGCTATCGTGGATCGGTGGTGTAGTGGATAACGCGCTGGTGTTTGAAGCGATCGCTACCGAGTCCGAGTCCCGGTGGGGACAACATCACTCACTGGGAAGCAGTACATCCAGCTGACGAGTCCCAAATAGGACGAAATGCGCATCCTTGATTCCACTGCTAGCCACTGCCCATCATTACTAAACATAGTTAAAAAACAGGCAATATCGAGGCATCCGCATAGGAGCCCATATACCAACAGAGACTGATCAATTAGGTCCAATCAACGACGATGTAATACACGCAATAACACTTACTGGCATTGCTGAGATATTAAGTCACTGTCTACTTGAATATTTTACGCTAGTTATAATAGGCTTGAACACGAGATATCTGCAGACAACTGGCTTATGAGATATTGTATGGCGATTAGATCCTAACAGTCAGTCTCAGGTATGTACAGAGCTACTGGCTTCCTGAAGGAGTTGTGAAAGATGAACAAGATTTGGAACTTTTGATAATAAAGCTCCAATTTAGTTACAATATCCTTCAAGAACTCACTATTTGCTAGGTAGTGCATTAAATATTACGTTATTTTATACTCTAGTTCCTACTTTGATTTGTCAACTTTCGTTATTTACAGTAGTTTTGTTTGTCTTAATGCGTCTATCATAATGCAGAATATACAATTATTTGAGTCTCGCTTCGATTACATCTTTTTTGTGAGTAGTGAAGTTTTCATATTTTCCTTGAAATGCAGCTACTACAATCTCATGCAATATGAACTCATTTCAAATCATTTTAAGTATTCGTTTAATTAATTCTACGATTTGAACCTGAAGTATATTTTTCTTGTTTGACACATTAACAAATCAACCGTAAGTTTGTGTTCATCATGACTGACGTCGGTTGGAGGAAAATCGGAAACCTTAGGGTACTAGACAGCCGTTTTGTTCTAGTTTTGGATTCCCAGAAGTGCGCACCCACGACCCAGCCAGTAATCGAACCCAGGACCCTAAGGTTTCGTGGATAGCACTTTACTGCTGAGCAATCCCATAGTAGGACGAAACAGCTGTTCATTTGCAGCAGGTTTCCAATGTTCCTCCAACTGATGTCAGTCTATAATGAAAGGAAACTTGAAATCACTAAATCCCTACAAATACCCAAATTAAAAATAAACCTTAGATTACAGTAATCATTTTGCAGTAATTAAAAAGCAATGTGATTTTGAAAGCTCATACGAATATACTTATGGTGCCTGCACATCTGTGAACATAGACAGAAGTAAAGTTTCTGTCTCGGAAATTCGGATGATCAAACTACACAGTGAAAATAAATCATGAACATAATCACTTGAAAGTTATCATATTCATGATGACTAAAAGCTTGGTAATTAGAGCTATCTGACAATAAATAATGTCTTGTCAGTAGCTAGGTATCCCAGCTGAGTTGGTGGTGCACCAAACCGGTAACCTGGAGGCCGCCGGTTCGAATCCTTTCGGGAAATAGACTTTCATTTCGGCTTCAGTTATCATCTAGCAACAATAATGGAAGTCTTCTAAAACATGACTATCTCATATAGTTAAACTGACAATGATTGTCACACCTAATAATACTGTGGAACTTTCTTGGCTGTAATGTTAATTTACTTATCCAAGCAAAATTTACGCGTCAAATTACTTCGCCTTTTACTGACTTCCGTTAACCTATTTTGTATCAGGAATACAATGAACAGCTGAATGAAATCGATGGTAAACGCAAAGAACTTGCTTCAGCAGAAAAACTTTTCAATCTACCATTAACTCAATATCCTCAAATCCTTAATATTCAGAAAGAATTAAATGGATTAGATCAGTTATTCAGTATTTATTTAGGACAAAAGGTAAATGTGGTTTGTGTTGTTAAATTTAGTCTATTTAAGTTAACAAATCATCTTGAGGTTTTTTTTGACTATGAAATAATAGCGCTTGAAAAATATGTGGCTCCTGAGCAGTCCAAAAGAACCTATTAGATTACTAAGTCAATGAAATCCGGTTTAATGGCCTTCTTTTCAAAGGTATGACTCCGAAACTGCATAATTGGCGTGCCAATATTACGTTAACTTTGAAAAATCCCTTGCAGTACATTTAGATGTTCTATAAAGTTTCAACAAATGTCACTGAGTAATTAAATCTAGGCAACAGAGGGAAGCTCATGTTAAGATATCTTGCTTAAATGTCCAAATACCGAAATTCAACATGTGCATAGTGGAATGATTTGTTCACTGGAAACATACATAGATCGGTTACGTTTTGAAACACTCTTCATTACTCTTCAGGTTGCTTGATTTTCGAACTCACTCGGCAGAAGACCTTCATCGACATAAATTTCGTTCTCGCTAGAAAGCTCCAGTAAGTTATATTTCTTACTTTGGGCAAATACATATTTCCTCGATGGTTTAAGCCTACGTTACTGAATATCAAACTCAGTGGAATATTCATTAAGCTATTCAGTTTAGGCTTAAATCCCTATAGGGTTAGAGGACGAACCGGTCATCGGAAGCAAACCACTACAGTTTTGAATTCCTAGGTGTTGATCGAAATCCACTGGTCAGATACACAATATAGGTTTCAAGGAAGTGACATGATAATGTTAACATTTTATACTACGTTTATGATGAGGTGTTTGGAGTTATTTGAGAAAATTTTTCTGTAAATACAACTTTTCATACTGCTTTTACACCATCACGATCATTGTCTTCAGCAAGCTCGTGAAGAATGGTCACAAATACTCTGGAGAGATTTAAATATAACAGTTTTACAAAATGGCATTGAGAAGTACCTGAAAGATTTACGTAATTTACCAAAACATGTCAGAACTTTACCTGTTGGACGCGTAATATTTGAACAGATTCGTACATTTCGTGATTCACTTCCCTTATTTTTGGATTTAAAAAATGAAGCTCTGCGAGAAAGGTAAGTTGACGTGAAGTATACTTTTAGTTTACCAAAGTTATCAAATTTTTAATTTCTGCTTTTCATAAGATTCACTATCCCTTGGCTTAAATGTTTCAAAAGTCTTTAATCTTTGTAATTACTTTATGAGAATCATCTGTTTTATTTTTTGGTAGAATAACTTGGTTTCTCAATTTGATTAATTTCTTGAAGTATAATCGATTTTGAGTGATTTTTAGTGTTTACTTGTAACACAAATAATAATTATAAAGAGTAATGTCTAGGTAACAAAAAGCACCACTGAATGACTGAAGTTGTTTCCTATCACCTTTGCCAATCAGTAGTATATCATTCAGTTCTTGCCGTTAGGCCTAACAAAACATTTGGTCGAGAAACTTTGGCTCCCAAAAGAAACCGAAACGGAGTCGCACGACTGGTTTATATATAACTGTGTCATTCTCATGACGGACTGAAAATTTAACGGAATAGACCAATAAACGACATTTATTATAAATCTGTGAGTAAGTCATTTTAATCAATACATGTACTTGCTAGTTAGCCTAGTTATCTCAATCAAAGATTAACTCAATTTCATTCTGTAACAAGAAGCAGAAAATGTATGAGTGAGCATTACTTTCATCTAATTCCTCTTTTGGCTCTACTGTTATGGGTAGTATTATAAATTTAAAATCCTAATGTGTGTAAGTTTCTAAAATCTATCAATTAACAGTTTGAGTTCATCAGATAATACTGTTGAGTAAACAAAACACCCATTGATATATCCGTTGTCTGTTGATGAATAAATTTAATTTATCTCTGTCACTTGATATTCACTTCTATCTTGCTTAGCGGTAGTTAGTAGACATTTTTCTAATCAATTCCTCTTTAATATCAATCACAATGGCTTTATGATTTTACATGGCGTAATTCCTGTACTGTCTAGTATTAACGAAGAAAAGTAGAGTATACTTGTTTTATGATAATGAAGAGTTACCAATAGTTTGATTATAAATTGATTTTGTTAACTTAAAACTTCATTTTCATAATTTTTGATAGACATTGGAATGAATTAATGAGGAGAACAGGACAGACATTCGATATCAATCCAGATACATTTACATTAGCAAATATTTTCGCTATGGAGCTACACCGATTCTCAGACCAAATATCTGAAATTGTTGCATTTGCAATTAAAGAATTAAGTATTGAAAAGGTATGAAATATGACATAATTTTTGTGAAGCTATTGAACTAATTTAAACTTAGAATATTTTATAAACATCCAGACCATAGTTCTTACGAACGTCCTGGAGGTGGTTGAGTTCTGAATTTGGTCTAATCATTATAACATTATAAACTAATAGAATTAGGTTCATAAGTCTCGTGTTAACGACCGATGTCCTGTTGTCCAGCCCCAAGTTCTGACTGGGTTTTACTTGTCTTCTATGCGTCTACTAATTTAGATAACTCATATCAAAGGACTCTATTGTTTCTGTTACATGGTTGGTAGAAGTAGACAGGAATTGGTGGATATAGAACTTTAATCAGCGTCGAAAATAGGAATTAAGGATTCGATCATTTGCAGTATAGGGCACAATTTTTGTCTGTTTATTTCTTATTTTAACATTAAATTAATAGTCACCATACACCAACAATGACTGAAATCTTTGATTTTACTGGTGCGCATAGATTCACCATTAAATTCATAATTCTTTGCAACAAATACTGATTTGTGCAACTATATGAGTAACTAAGCATGTGTCATTTAGAACTCTCACTTTTTATATCCACCGTGCTTGATAATTCTGCAGTTAAGTCAGTGTTAATTGATATGAAATTTAATCGAAAGAAGATATTTTCATATCACTAGATATGTTACAAAAATGCCAGAGATATTTAAAAATAATATAAGCAGCTTTCACTATCTGATAACTGTGACCAAATAAATGACTCAGAATAGCATTTAACTATATGTGAGTTTATAATCCCATTTATTTTCCCATCTTTTTCTTTTGATTCAAATCTGGTACTTTATATAATCAAAATCTCATAAATTATCACTAAATATTTGTGATCAGCACATCATACCTGCAATCTTATGCTGACTTGATCAACTTACTTTATTTACTACTTAGAAGTAAACTGAATATTTTAATACATTTTATTTTTTTTCAAATCATTGTATTGCATTTTTCATTCAATAGGGTGTCAAAGAAGTGGAAGAAACATGGCAAAGTCTTAACTTTAATGTTATTAATTATGTAAAATCAGGTCAAAATAGAGGCTATGTTTTAGGTGCACTAGATGATGTGATACAAATACTCGAAGATAATTCAATGAATTTACAATCAATGGCATCAAGTAAATTTATTGGTCCATTTCTATCGACTGTACAATTGTGGGAGAAAAATTTAAGTATAATCAGTGAAATAATTGAAGTTTGGTTAGTTGTACAACGTAAATGGATGTATCTAGAAGGGATATTTGTTGGTGGTGATATTCGCTCTCAGTTACCTGAAGAAGCAACTAAATTTGATAATATTGATAAAATCTTTAAAAAGGTAATTGCATCATCCAGTTTACATCATAAATATCTCATAATGCAGTCGTATTTCTCATTCTGTCAACATAAGTTATGATCATGTAGAATAATGTACAAATTATTGACCATGTGAAGGAGTTCCACATTTCTGCAATAAGTTCTCTTACTCCTGCCTCTTGTAACGATTATTTGTTGTCTCCCTTTGCAAATCAATAACCTTAGAGTGGATGAAAGACACAAATGTCCTGACCAAGACATATCACCATTCCATGTCTTATTGAACTGTTGGTTTAAACAGTTTAAAGAAGTGTAGATTTTTAGGTTACTGTTCACTAGACAACGGCAGCCTAAGCTTGAAATATAAACGTGACGTTTCTGAATCTATTGTAATGATAGACATATCCACTCCATTTCTTCATTTACACCTTGACAGTCTTCAAATGGTGTATATTTATACATTTTATCTTCTTTTCCTTTTGTATTATAGCACTTTACAACAGTTACTGTTGTCTTCAACCCACTGTCTTTTCCTCTGGTTTTGTAATTGTCCTGCTTCGATGTTTAGTGTAACATCTAAGGTCGATATAAAGTTATTTCAAGTCCCATAACGTATATTTGTTTGTCTGCAAGATTATTGCAACCACTGTTGAACAACTCCGAATACAGTGTGGACATATATATATATATATATATATATATATATATATATATATATATATAACCAAACCTTTGCGAGAATCACAAAACAAAAGTGAAAGGTAGAATAAGATAGTAGTTTAAAAATCCCCACTAAGTCACAAAGCAAAAGACGTATAGCGAAGAGTCACTCTTTTCAGCGATATCATTCTCAAGCTGTACAATAAAATAAATATTATATTTTTTGATAACAGAAAACGACTGTTTTATGAAATATTTTGAACAAAGTTCAGATCTGATCACGAGTCAGATCAGAAAAGGAATTACGCAATGTTTGAAGTGGTAATGGGAAGAAGACTTATCAAGACGGAACTAATATATTTACTTGCTAATTTGAATGATGTAATATGGTGAATGCAAAGAGAAATCAGAATTATATGAGTGGGGGGATGTAGTGTGTGCAAAATTTGAATGAAAAGATTTTGAAGGTAAGAATGTTTTTACAGGTTACGTCCTTTGCAACACAAGTGACTGATCAGATTCCTACTGAACCCAGAGTTCAGGCTTCAAAATATTAATTGCTATGGCTTTCGCGGTTTGAAGAAATTCTAAGGGTACATCTTTCATGAAATTTGCACGAACTCTATAGATGATATTGAAGTTGTTCTCAGCATTTGCCGGTTGATCATAATCGACCAAATGTTCTAAAATAGAGCTGTGAGGTGTTCTCCTGTATGGAACCAGGCTGCGATGTGTTAGGAAATGCGTCTGGGAAGCGAACGCTGAGTACGGCCAATGTACCTTCTTATTACTATTCTAAACACTATGTAATACTTTTTCCGATCTCTTTATTTATAACCAAATCTGAACTTCGTTCGAAATTTTTCATGAAACATTCTTTTTTGTTACTATGTGAATGGAACGTTTATATGCGACTTTACAGTCTTAGAATGATATTGCTGAAAATAAGAAAAATGTTTACGATGTAGGTAAAATTTTAATTCTTTATAACACTTTCTGAAAAGTCTAGCTTAAAGCATTGAGGTGGGTTCATGAGAAATATCAGTTATCCAGTGGTAAATAACACTTATTTCCGTTCATTCATTCATCTTCACCCCTTATATGCATATCAAAATCTTGACTGCTGTATATTTTCCAAGTGTCTGGTGAATGTACTTATATTCGTTGGGGGGGGGGGACAAACAATCTAGGGCATTCCTTACATAAGCTTGTTTCAAGGAGATTGGTATCAAAAAAGAATAGTAACTTATTAACAAAGCTGACATTCACAATAAGAAAGGGGAAGATAGACGTGGACACTAAAGCACAGCCTATCTATAGAAATATTACACACCGAAGAAGTAGTAAGTTATTGCATGAAACCTTATATCACATCCACTTTTTTTCCTGAATAATTTGAAATTTGATGATACTGAGAGTATTCATTGGCGTCTGGGACGAAACGTTCCATTCATTATAAATTTGTACTACACCACTAAATTTTTAATAACGAAAACCAAGTCACTCAAGTAAAGTCTATTTTATAAACAATTAATTATTCAGCCTCTGTTGGCATATGGGCTCCTATGCCGATGCATAGATATTGCCCGTCTTTTAACTATGTTTAGTAATGATGGGCAGTGGCTAGCAGTGGAATCCAGGATGCGCATTTCGTCCTATTTGGGACTCGTCAGCTGGATGTACCTGCTTCCTAGTGAGTGATTTTGTAGTGGATTACGCGCTGGCGTTTGAAGCGATTGCTCCCGAGTCCGAGTCCCGGTGGGAACAACATCACTCACTGGGAAGCAGGTACATCCAGCTGACGAGTCCCAAATAGGACGAAATGCGCATCCTGGATTCCACTGCTAGCCACTGCCCATCATTACTAAACATAGTTAAAAGACAGGCAATATCGATGCATCGGCATAGGAGCCCATATGCCAACAAAGGCTGATCAGTTAGGTCCAATCAACGACGATGTAATACAAGCAATAACACTAAAATTAATTATTCAATTTAGAGGTTTCTGGGGATTTATTGATTTCAGGTTGATATTCATCATGGACTGACATCACTTGGAGAAACACTGGAAACCTGGGGCCATTAGACAGCTATTTCGTCCCAGTATGGGCTCCTCAGCTGTACACGCTCATGACCCCACCTCACCAGAGATCGGACCCCGTGCCTTCAGCTTCTGTCGCCAGCACGTTTCGATTGGGCCACGGGGTCGGAATTCAGTGGTCCATATTTCCTACTACTGTTAGTTCATTATATAGCACGGCCTACATCCAATATCGTCATTGGGTAACTATCCTCATGTTCAGATTGATTGACTGCACTGATCACAACTTCTCATTAGAAACTGAGGGATCACCTCTCAACCCAGTGGCTCAGTGGCAACGTGCTGGCCACAGAACCTGACGGTCCTCTGTTCGATCCTTGTCAAGGCGGGTTCATGGGTGCGCACTGCTGAATTCAATAATGGGACGAAACAGCCCTCAAGTTCTCCCAGGTTTCCAATGACTCTCCAATTGATGTCAGTCCATGATGAGTACCAACCTGAAACCAAATAATTATTATTTCAGTTTTGAGGTTTATCGGGAACGACTGATTTTAAGATAGTATTCATCAAGGACCAAAATCATATGTTTGACCATTAGAAACCCAGGAGCACAATAGAGTTGTTTTGTTCTAGCATGGAACTCCTCTATAGTCTGCACCCACTACACTACCAGGGATCGGATTTGAAGCCGTTAGGTATTGCGACGAGCACTGTAACCATTCAGTCACTGGGTTGGAATCTACTAGTCTATATTTTCTCAATTCACGATACATCGTGACGTTTACTATTATGATGACCAGGATACTTTGTTTTAAGCGGCAGAATTGGACTTTATTCTATGCTATTTGAAACGCACAACAATTAACTCAAATTTTTCTGCATAATAACCACTTGGATTTTAGATCATGGCTGATACAAATAAATCACCAAATGTAAAGACTTGTTGTCTAGTAGCAGGACGATTGAATGAATTAACTGTACTTGGTGAGGGACTGGAACGTTGTCAAAAATCGTTAAATAACTATTTAGATTCAAAAAGAAACGCTTTTCCAAGATTCTTTTTCATTTCTGATGATGAACTATTAAGTATACTTGGATCAAGTGACTGTGAATGTGTTCAAGAGCATATGATCAAAGTGAGTTAATTAAAGTTGATGACTTACATTTGTTTAATTTTCAAGAATGTACTGACTGAATGTATTCACTTTTGTCATAATTCTTTAACTAGATCATCGAAGATCCTAATACAAGCAACTCAACCACAGACTAGTTACATTTTCAGGAACTTTGCCAAATTTAAGTATACATTTATTAGGGCATGGATGTATGTGTCTTTGTTTACTAAGGGTCAAATAATAATTATTTAGTGATGATTTGTGTTCAAGTAGAATGAAAATCATATGAAAGCTATAATGAAATAGAAAGTAACAAATGTGAAGCGTTACGTCACGGTTGGAACCGACTGCTGGTAGTGGTATGAATAAAGAAGCATGTAAAACTGGTAACATAAGGAAATGAATGTTTATCAATGTAATGACAACAGAGAAGAAGATTAAAATGTACTATTTGTTGTAGGAAAGTTCATAAAGAACGTGTTGATTCTTTTGTGGGTCAAGATAGACAACGTGGGTGTACATATTTCTTAAGAAAATATAGATCAGGTTTTCTTGGGTTGATACCTATGACTTTGACTACGGATAAGATGCGTATTCTCTTGCCTTTAGGGAGATTTCAAGGGACAGGATATGTCATAGAAAAAGGGTGATCTACCTTAATCTGATATTCGGTATCTACTAGGTCGGTTAGGGAAAGAAATGACAAGGGGTATCAACAGTGCAGTCCTCTCACATCTAGTAAACACCTTTCTTTAGTCATATCACTACTGGTTGTCACTTTCAACCGTGACGCAACACTTTACATTTGTTACTCTATTTCATTATAGTATTCATATGATTTTCATCCCACTTGTATATAAATCATCACAGCATAGTTACTACTTGACCCTTAGTAAACACACACACACATGCCCAATAAATATGTATAAATGAGTCATTATCTGTAGATTTTTTTCTCCTCACTTCGTAATTCTTCTCTCAATATAAATTTCAGTATATGGAACGGATACTTTTACCTTGACACTACAGATCCAATCTTTTAAAGAAAGTATAGTCAATCTTCGCCATAAAAATCTTGGTAAGAATATCTAACTTTCTGGTTGGACTTAGGATCTTAAAAAGAATCATTTTAAGTCTCTTTATTAGATGATTTCACAGTTAGCTTATTGAATTTCATCTAATACCATAATGATAAAACTAACTACTACTCATAAACAGAAGTAGCTGTGACCGAATAGTGAAAAAGTCAACCTCTTATTTGATGAAGTCTACAAACTCGGAAATATGTCATACTGTATCTGTGATTTAAGATATTAGCTGCACATACCAGCCTATCATCTACTCAGACTTTCAAATGTATTCATTCTTTAATTTTCAGAGGACATTGAAAAGTAGATTAAATTCTACTCACTTGTATCCTAGTCACTCATACACTTATTTCTAATTATAGTATGTCGGTTTTTATTCATTCGTGGCTTGTACTCTGATTCATAGTTGTCGAGTAACTCAACTGTCAGTTTTAGCAATAAATGAAGAACCAGGCAAACTGTGAAACTCAGATTCATGTAAGAAATCAGTATCATACATGTTTTAAAACGATATGCATATCGTTGCCTTTCTGGTGATTACATTCGACTGTATGTGTTACATCATACTATTGAGTAGAAACTTGAGGAATGGTTTGAAGATGAAACATAAGACCGATTACTACTTAATAAATGATATGTGAAATAATCCGAAGAATATCCCAAGCGAACTTCTGAACTTAGACAGTCACATTTTAGTGAATTATTTTTCATTTGAAGAAATCTTACCACGACGGTTACGGAGAGCTTAGTTTCCTGTCAGTTTTTCTCTACCTTAACTGTTATTCTCTGATTTACCTTTTAATTATTTGACCGTAAGGTATGCTGCTTATTTTCCAAAGTAAGTGGCTTTGTTGAAGAGGAGCTTTAAAGGACAACCTGACAGCCCTTGAGATAACCAATCACATTTCTGTATTCTATGAAAAACTAACTTCCCAGAGGAAACTCCAAAATCTGATTGGTTACTTCAGTAGTTCGTAGGTTGGCCTTTAATGTTGCTCTTTGTTGAATGCATATACATTTTGTTAAGACCTTATTAACATTCATCAATAAATGGATTCTAAACAGAAAAATAGGAAATAGGAAAAAAACTAGCCCGGAAATGGACCAACCAAAACGTAATTTGTGTTTTTCACAATTTTACTTGAGCTGTTTTCTGCTTACCAATTTCAGTTCTTATTAGAAGCTGTAAAATATGTTGCTGATTAAGATGGGTCTGAAGAAAAACACTTTTTGTGGTGATAAAGGATGATTAGGAAAAAGAGACCTGAAGGTTCTAAGTCTGATCACATGGAAGTGATCCAAGCATGTGCAGCCTAATTTCAGTCGAATATGTGCAGTTAATCTATATTGCATGTGATCTTCAAACTAGTCTGTACCTGGGAACGTGTAATTTTATTTTATCTAACTTTATGAACCATTCAATATGATAAAATGTTTATCGAATACTTTCATTTCATATATTTCTCTTTCAAAAAATTACAGATGTTTGATAATATAGCGTCATTGAAATTTTCCAAGCAATCATCAAAGCCTGGATCCACTTACGTTGAAATTACAGCAATGATTTCTAGTGAAGGTGAAATTATGGAATTTCGTCAACCACAGCCTGTTACTGGCAATGTTGAATATTGGATGACTACAATGGAAAAAGAAATGAAGAGAAGCAATAGACTGATTACAAAGGAAGCTGTTTTCTATTATCGTTCTAGTAAATCAAGGTAAATGAAGATTAGGGATGCACGTGTTAACATCAGAAATTTGAGCAAAAAAGTTTGATATCAACCTAAGTGCATATCTACACTTCACTCCTTTAAATATGAAAAGGAGTACCTGTGTACGCTAAAACTGGGGCTAAAATTACAAGGCAAAAGGCACACAACCTTCATCTGAATCGTTGTGCCCTCATTTATGGAGAGATTTTAAAGGCCACTCTAGCAAGCACTGAAACAACCAAAAAGGTTGCTTTGGTCTAACCGGAAAGGTAGTCCTTTTTATAAAATGAAGAAACACTGTTGATTACTTTAGTGACCTTCAGAGACAGAAAAGCAAATGGGTTTTTTACTGTGGTGTTTATCCACATGTAACCAAAGCCCATAAAATCTGACACTTCAGAAAAAGCAGTTGGTTACTTATGCGTAGATAAGCCTATATCGGCTTTAAGATAACCAGTATTAGTTATTATACTATAACAAAGAAACTCAAGGAGTTAGTGGACTGTAAAGGCACCCTAGCAACTGAGGACAAGCGACTACATTTTTTTATTAGGTGAAATACCAAAGCCTGATTGATGACTTCAACATTTTCTGGGCGGCCTTAAATATCAACCAAGTTGAATAACTATTTGTTGGCATGTTTTTAAATAGGGCCTGACAGACTCAGAAGTAAAAGGTAGGAAGACTTTAAAAGTCACCGTTGCAATGATTAGAATAACCAATCAGGTTTCTTCATTTCGGTTGGTAAGGCAGATTTCGATGACATGTAGAAGTCTGATTGGTTGTTCCAGTTGTTGCTAGGATAGCCTTTAAAGTCACTCGAAATATAGTACAAAATAGTAACTTCAAGAGCTACTTTAAAGGCCATCCTAGCAACTGCTTTTCATTTTAGGAAGTTACCGGCCAATGCAAAATACTTAAACCGGATTGGTTACTTTGGCGGTTGCTAGGGTGGCCTTTAAAATCACTCTCATAATAACCTATCATTATGGACACATTTTTCGTTAACACAATAAACATACAGCTAAGTCTTTACTTAATTTATTCTACATTTTTATTTAGAAACGTAATTTGATGCACAAATGGATTGAATTTTAGACCACTGCAGCGACAACGTGAATAACCAACTACGTTTCTTCATTTAAGCTAGAAAAGCAGGTTTTCATAAAAAAGAGTGGTCTAATTTGCCGTTTCAGTCATAGATAAAGTGGTCTTTAGAATCAACTGGAAAATGTATTTATCTAAAGAGCATAAGGAAGCTAAAATTCGAAAAGTCTGTAGTCCAAATTTGACTTGGAGTAAATTTATCGAAAGTGGGGAACAGGACTGCAAGGATGACAAACCAGATCGTCATAATCTGCATGACTCTAAATGCCACTCCACCAACTACTATATTAAACAATTAGATTTCTTTATTTGATGTAAAATATACTTTTTCAGACGAAGCAAACAGAACTAGTTGGTTATTTAGTGGTCATTATGGTGATCCATGGGGTAAGTTGGAATAAGTGTTGACCACATTCAAAAAATGAAAAAAAAAACAATTCATCACTCACTGTTACTTCGATGTGATGACTTGTAATCCAATGCATCGAAAGGCGGATGTAAGAAATTGATTTTCGGAGACAAAATGACGAGCAATGCAGAATGTACTGTCGATTTCTAATCATGACCACTTACACATGATCAAGAAGTAGCGAATAAAAATCACTAAGCTTGAAGAATAATTGAAAACAAAATAGAAGTGAAATGATCTTTTCTGATTGATCCTACAAATAGTAGAAAAGTTTTTTTTGTTGGGAAACTGCCAATTAGGATGAAACAACTAATAATACTTTTCATGGTTCATGGTATTGTTATGCACAAGTGACGGTAATCTAGAAGTCAAGTGCACAAACCTCCGACGTCCAGTACAATAATGCTGAGGTTTATTTTGTTATCGTGCTATACCATATCAAGAAAATTGACATTTTGGATTATAAGTGAAATATATTTGTAAAATCTCAACGAAGTAGAAAAATTTGTGACGTTTCGCAACTTCGTGGAAATCGCTTCTTCGGAGAAAGAAACCTGTACAAGTTATCGATTGTTTAAACAGTAAATGGTGACCAGTCAGATCTCATTGTCAATACATGACAATAATATGAACATAAACGTCATTTCGACAAAACAATAAGAAGACGTAAATTGTCTGAACCGTGTAATGTATTTGCGCAACACATTTCGAACTATCTGATCACACACGTATTTGTTGTAGGTATTTATATAAAAACTCATGAAGATAAGGAGTGAGAAAAATAAAAAGAGGTCAGGTAGGAAGGCTGACGTAAAGGCCGAATAACAATGAAAATCAATAGAGCGAAAAAATAATAGTACATCCAACTTGGTTTTCAATGATTGAATTTACCAAGGAAGATTTAATGTTATATTGGTTAAGAAGCGTTCAAACGCCTTTGTAAACCACTTAATTAGTCTGGAATTCAGGGTGATGTGAATATATGCCTATGTGACTGAGTATCAAAGTGTAAGAAAATCATTATGGATGACAAATCCGGTTTGTTTGTGTGTACGTCCTTTTGTTCTGATCGTTGTATGTGTGTGCTGTTTTGAAAGTACTGTCCGGGTTGATTGATTAGTTAAGGCCTTCGTTTCAGTTGAGTGTATAAGGATTCAACATAATGTGAAATGCCTCAGCTATTCTTCTTTCTTCGTAGTTTGAAAAACCTTTCACCCAATGCTCAACTTATTTAACTATATCAGTTCAAATTTTGATTGTGAAGTGTACAAAAAGACGTTTTGGATGTTTAAAAATGAGACTTTAACCAGATTTATTGTGATTATCAAAGTGTGATGACCAAATAAGACTGGTCAACAGCCAAATCAAATGGACCAATTAAGGAAAATGACAGTTCAAGTAGGAGCTCATTCCATTTACAGGCGAATGGTTCAAAATGATCGAATCCTTAGAAATATATATATATATATATATATATATATATATATATATATATATATATATATGTCGATCCCGTTAAGTGAAAAGCAAACAACCACAAAACCTTATTGAAATACACTGAAATGTTTTTAATATTAAAAGTTTTCAGAAAATATAATGAATCATTCGAATGAAGATGATCGGCGAGTCATACTGGTTGACTTAGTAGGCCCACTGACCTGAGTAAAGGTAGACAAGCGAGCAACATCAGCCATGAAACAAGTGTCAAAATGCTATCAATAAGTAGAGTTAAAACAGACCTGTGGTTGCTTAAATAGGCCATCATAGTAACTACTGGAATGATGAACTTTATTTCAAGGATAGAAACTATATTTTCTGCTAAAATTTAGACACCTTTTGGTACCTTTACGGTTGTTAGGATGGTCTTTAAAGTCCCTTTCTATTTTTTTCACTACACAATCACTTGAACAAGCCTATCGAACCACTATTGGACTAAGACTCTGCATAATATATTATTACAAGCGGTTTAAAAGACCAACCTTGCAACCGCTAGAAGAGTAGTTTTTTTACAAAATAAAGAAGTTGACTTGGTTATTTTATTTTAGTTGCGAAGATTGAATGACTTTAAAGGCCACCCTAGCAACAACCGAAATGATCAATCAAACTTCTCTATTTTGTGAAAATCTGCCTTTCCGGTTGAAACGGAGATACCAAACTGGTTACACCATCGTTGCAAGGGTAGCCTTTAAAGTCGCCCTAATGATGGCACTTTCAGTAATTGAGAATGTCTTTAAAGGCCACTATAGCAACTGGTGAAATGACCAATCAAGTTTTAGCATTGCAGCTAGTTCGGTTATTTTCCATCAAATAAAGAGACGTATTGGCTATCTCATCAGTTGCTAGGGTGGCCTTCAAAGTCACCGCTAACCGATAATACGTTTGTCTAATGTTGTTGTTTAGTTGTGCTGTTCCTTTGGTTATTAACTATGATAATATACTATACCTTTATTTTTAAATTTTTTCTTCATTCATTTACTTCAGAGTTGAATGGATGTTCGACTATCAAGGTATGGTTGTATTAGCAACTAATCAAATATGGTGGACATGGGAAATCGAAAATGTTTATCGTAAAATAGCCAGTGGTAATAAAAATGCAATGAAGGACTACTCACAAATGTTACAACAACAATTAAATGATATTGTTCTACGTGTACGAAGTCCACTGAGCAAAAATGACCGTAACAAGTTGACAACTGTGTTAATAGTTGATGTGCACGCAAGAGATATTGTCTCTGATTTTGTACGGGATAATATAATGGATGCTACTGAGTTTCAATGGGAGTCACAATTACGGTTTTATTGGTCAAAATCAGCAGATAATTTAATTATTAAACAATGTACTGGGCAGTTTGATTATGGTTATGAATACATGGGATTAAATGGTCGTCTTGTGATTACACCTTTGACTGATCGTATTTATTTGACGCTGACACAAGCACTTTCAATGTACCTTGGTGGTGCACCTGCTGGACCAGCTGGTACTGGGAAAACAGAGACTACTAAGGATTTAGCAAAAGCCTTAGGCCTACTTTGTGTTGTCACAAATTGTGGTGAAGGGATGGATTACAAGGCTGTTGGTAAAATACTTTCTGGTTTATGTCAATGTGGTGCTTGGGGCTGTTTTGATGAATTCAACAGAATTGATGCTTCTGTATTGTCTGTAATCTCAACACAATTAAAAGTGATACAAACAGCATTAATAAATCATGTTAAAGAATTCTTGTTTGAAGGTATCAATATTCAGTTGGATTCAAGAGTTGGCGTCTTCATTACAATGAATCCTGGATATGCTGGACGAACAGAACTACCAGAATCTGTTAAAGCTCTCTTTAGACCAGTTGTTGTCATTGTACCTGACTTACAGCAAATCTGTGAAATCATGTTATTTTCACAAGGATTTTTATCAGCCAAAGTGTTGGCTAAAAAATGACCACATTGTATCGTTTAGCCCGTGAACAATTATCAAAACAACATCATTATGATTTTGGTTTAAGAGCATTGAAATCAGTTTTAGTGATGGCTGGTGATTTAAGACGTGATGCACCAGATCTAAACGAAGAAATGGTATTAATGCGTGCTCTAAGAGATATGAATTTACCGAAGTTTATTTTTGAAGATGCACCCTTATTTTTAGCTTTGATTCAAGATCTTTTTCCAGGACTAAACTGTCCACGTGTACGTTATTCAGATTTGAATGACGCAGTTGAGTTTTGTTTAAATAAAAAAGGTTTTACGGAAAATCCTATACAATCAGATAAAGTTATACAGTTATATGAAACAATGAAAACACGGCATACAACAATGGTTGTTGGACCAACTGGTGGTGGTAAGACTGTGGTTATTAATGCTTTATGCGATGCCCAAACATATATGGGATTACCAACTAAATTGTATGTGTTAAATCCAAAAGATCGAAGTGTAATTGAATTATATGGTATATTGGATCCTAATAGTCGAGATTGGACTGATGGTTTATTATCAAATATATTTCGAGAAATAAATCGTCCAACAGACAAGCAGGTGAGCTTTAATTAGTGATTGTAGCATTATTATGATTAATAATTTTGAGAAAATGGAAATACTGATTGAACGATTCAGCTGTTAATCACATCCCAATTTAACTTTTGACACTGATTATTGTTCTGTGTTGCCATGTTGATGCATCTAACAACATATATCGTTTCAGTATTGCAGAAGTTGTTCAATCAGATTGTTCAATGGTGTGACGTAATAAGTTATAAGAACAACTATCATCAGAGAAAATCATAGAAAGGAATATTGAAAAGAGTTAATCCCATTTGTAAGCCATGCCTAGTACAAAGACGAGGGATATTAGCAACCTTCCTAATATGACCGCAATGCGTTGAAAAAGTGAGTGGCAGGTAGCCGTCTTCGTCCGCTTCAATGAAGACTGGTTAAACTATCGATGTTGAAACATATTTTGAAGTATTGTAAATAAATGGTTAGGTACAAACCTATAAACCTAACAAACATGAAGAAATATGATGAACTCGAAGTAGTTTGTGTCATCTTGTGTGACTTTACATTTGGATAATACTTCTTTCCTACTTCTTATAGCAAATAGTCGATCCGTTTGGGGTCTTAACAATAATTCTCATTTTGTGTTCAGTTTTAGTTTCATAGTAGAAATGAGAATAACCTCATTGCGCTCTTAATGTGACTTACTTTAACTAAACGTTTCTATAAGAGGCTAATGATTTTCATCTCTTACCATTTGTTCAACCATACTGGTGGTAGCTCTTTGTTGTATCTGCTTATAGTTCTGACAGTACAATCAGACACTACCAAAATTATGTGTACATTGATTTAGATGAACAATTAGCTTCGTACTTCAAGATCGAGGATGGAATCCATCTACTTGTAACGCTTTGACAAGGAGACATTTACCTGAAATATTGTTGCCTGTGAGTAGCTAGTATTTCTGAGACAATATTTCTCTGCAATTGGCTTCATTAGGCACTCATAAACCTCTTGGTTGTTGTTGTTCTACCTACTGTATTATTTTCGATAAAACCATTTGAATATCTCTTTTCTGATACCCTATTTTGAAAGCTTGTCACTTCTTTGACGACATTTCGTCTTGCTAATGAAGAACTCGTTCAGCAAGACATAATCATAGAAATGGCTGTACTGCCTTATTCTTGTTCACTTTTCATGCATTCATATTTCCAAACTGTGGGTGGTAGCATGTATCCATAGACCTTGTATTTCACTGATGATTGCTACTTTTCTGCATTACCATGAGAAAACTTTTGAACAAAATTGTTATTTATGAATACACTGAAATTCGAATTAGCCTAAAGTGTTGACATTTTCTTTTGGGGACATATTCGGTTTATTCTGGGATATCTAAATGACGTTTTAAGACCAAACAATGTGATTATGATTCACTTACATATATTTTCATCTGCCTCCTGAAAATCTTGTAATCCACATCCTCTTCATCACGTTTCCTCCTTGCCCAACAGCGGTTAACGACTGCTAGTAATATTGCTTTCATTTTACTGTCTTCCCTTTCTTCACTCCCATCTTGATATGTTCATGTAAATTATAGCAATATGGAATAATAGGCAAGTATACGAAATCTTATATAGCTCATTTTCATCTGTGATTAGGGTAGTTCAATGTACTACGAACTGGAAGGTTCAGTAGCTAAGCTTTCACTATAATTCTAGACAACATAATCAGTACAAACTTCCTTTACAAATTGCAGCATCTCATTGTGCATCTTAACAAAAACTAGTGAAGAATCTGTACTAAATCTTGTTATAACCCAAAAGTCCCATTGACAATTTACTGATAAATAAATCATGCAGACTATGGCACTACTGGTTGAAAGCCTTGAATGCTTATGCTTATATACGTCATACTAAAACTGAAAGTTTGGTTGGCAACTTAGGGGACATTCTTCTACATCATATGAATTAGCCGAGATTTCGTAGTTGCGGTTTCCACACTTCAGTCTTCTTTCATTCCAAAACGGCGAAATTTCAACTAGTGTCTTTCCGTTTTGTAACGTTAGTCAATTAATGTTATGAAGGTGGTTACCTTCATCTGTCTGAGCTATACGAAAGGAAATGATTTCTTGTAATATCTATTTGAGTTCTTAGCTTTTTACACTGATAGTTGTTCATATGCGATTCTATATTCATTTATATTCTAGTATATTTTCAACTCTCTTAACACCATTTTCTGATATTTTGTCTTTTTTCAAAGGAAAGAAGATATATCCTATTTGATGGTGATGTTGATGCATTGTGGGTTGAAAACATGAACTCCGTAATGGATGATAATCGCCTGTTAACTTTAGCTAACGGTGAACGAATTCGACTACAATCTCACTGTGCAATGCTATTTGAGGTTGGTGATTTACAGTATGCTTCTCCGGCAACCGTTTCACGTTGTGGTATGGTTTACATAGACCCAAAATATTTAGGATACGAACCTTACTGGAAGAAATGGCTAAGTCAGCGTTTAACACAATATGAGAAAACTACACTAGATGAATTGTACGATAAGTATATACCATCTATTATAGATAGAATTGTTGAAGGTATTGCAGACGGTGAACAAGTAGAACGCTTGAAACGTGTCATCCCTTTGACAGATCTTAACTTATTAGTACAATTCTGTGCACTGCTCGATTGCCTGCTCATCAATATCAATGAAGAAACAGAATACACCTTAGTTGAAAGTATTTTTTTGTTCAGTATCTACTTTTGCATTGGTGGGACATTAGTTGAAGAAGAACGTGAAAAATTTGACAATTATGTAAAATATTTGGCTAGTCTACCTGGACCATCTGTGGATGAAACACCAAACACTCCAGCTCCTGCTGGAACAATACCCAGCGCTGAATCAACTCTTTTTGACTATTATTTTGATGCGGTAAAAAAGGTCTGGATACCATGGCGTCAGCTAGTCCCTGCCTACATACATAACAAATCACTTAAATTCTCTGAAATTTTAGTACCAACTGTTGAAACTGTTCGAACTACCTGGCTTATTGAAAAATTAGTGAAAATCCATCGGCCATTATTATTGGTTGGTGAAACTGGGACATCAAAAACAGCAATATGTCAACGATTTCTACGAGATATTGATCAAGATAGTAATGTGAGTGATATTTTTCTGTATCTGTGGTAATCTACTTCATTTACAATGATATATTTTTTTCTTGGAGGTAATATAACTAGGTGTCGAACATACTTCAAAATTACAATTTAGTATATGACCATAAAAGAGGAGAAAACAGTCAAAGAAAGTAAAGTTGAACTCTGAAGATAATTTTTGCCATGAAGAAATATTGGAGATTAGAATATTGAGTACTAAAGTTAAGGGATAGTGACTAAAATTTAAAAATGCACAAATAACCTTGACAAGTAACTAAATCTTTGGCACGTTGACCAATCGACTACTAGTTACAAGAGACTTTACCTTTCAGCGTACGCAGTTCCTTCGTCGTACTGCTTTCCTCTATTTTGTAGAAAACAAAAGTATAGGAAGTAGAAACTTGTGTTGATAGGGGAGCTATAAAAGGTTGTGTATTTTGGTGTGTTGTGTCACAAAAGGAAGTTTATGCAGGATGTTACATTGTCACTTAATCTGAAGTCTGTTCTCAGGTGATTTTTCCCCCCAGTCTAAGCAACTTTTAAGAAGATGAAATGTCTATGGCCTCCAGAATGAAATGATCTAAAGCTATCTGACCAAATACATACATAGTAGTTGGTTTAACTCCTTCATGGATACTTCTACGGAAAGCCAGAACAGGTTTCTACAACATGTTTAGCAAGATTATCCTTTCTTGTTATTTCGTTTGTTAATATGTACAGTTTATATCCATGGAAGATCGTCTGTGCATTTGTTAGCTTTGGTTCCTATTCCCCTTAACTATACCGACTTCAGTAAACATGATTTTCTTTACAACCAAACATAGAACTCCCAATTTTTGAATTTAGCATCTTTTCATTCACTAGTTGTTTTGGTGCTTGATGGTGCTTCTGCTAATTTTATGATATGCTTTGGGAGATGTCCAGAGTCACTAATGAATACTGGTCTTCAATCCTTAGAAGCTACCAATGCTTCGTATATACCGGTAGTTCTGTGTCAACTATCTTTAAACGAAACACGTTATTCCTAAAACCATTACTCTGAATAGGAGGAATAAGAATAAGAAATGTTTCAACTGCCTACATGAGTTGCTTTTATATTGTTTTGAACATAAAGGCAGTAAAACATATACACCGAGAAATGAATTACATCTTATGATCTAACTCAAACCAGTGCAGATTTTTATTCCAGTGACACCTTACCAACTACTCAGACGGTCAATCAGGTTTATTTGTCTTCAGAAAATCTACTTTACTATGCAAAATACAGAAACCTGTTTGTTTATCTGACCAGTTGTTACAGTGATTTTTAGAGTCACTCGTTTATTCATTAGGTTATGAGCCATAATTTCTTAATTAAGATTTAATATACCACTCACTTTCTCAAGTTAAATTAGATGGAACTGGTTTGGTTGCACCTTTTGAATCGAAAGTTAAGAGGATAATCTGATGAGCTACACCTTTACCATTTACAAGAAGTGAAATTAGGATTCACCAACTAAATTTAGTACTTGCGTAAGACATCTATGAAACATCTGTCTGCAGACAAACTGATACTTATCAGACAGAAATCTATAACATTTCCTAACCTTTTGCTTATTAGTGCAGTCTGTTCATAGATAGGGATGATATCATAAAACTGGAGTGACTCTACATGCTACCCTAGCAACCACTGAAACAACCAATTAGGCTTCTTTATTTAGGTTGGGCAGTTAGCTTTTTTACCCGTAAAATTGAGAAACGTTATTGGCCGTTTCAGTGAATGCTCGGTGACTTGTAGAGTAATTCATCGGCTACAGTATCATGTGAATCTGCAACATGGAGCTTGGTAGACAGGTCTATTACTTAATCTGCCCAACCAATTACTGTCCATTCTATGTTCGGATTTCTGCAGCTAGAATTAGTACCGTGTCGATAGTATTTTACCCCGACAGTGAAATGCAGGTCTTCAAAAGCGGTAAAACCTAGTAGTTAATATATGTACCAGTTTGTTTACTAGATTGGAGAAAAGGACAGTGTAGCTGCAGCTCGATAATAACTCACGAATATTTAAATCAAGACAGTTTTTACAGTGACCTTAACGGCTCCTCTAGCAACCAACGAAATAACTAATTGGGTTTCTTGATTTCAGCTGGAAAAGTGAGATACTCTAATTGACCACTTCAGTAACTGTTAGGGTGGCTTTTAAAAATTCTTTTACAGTTAGTGCAAAGACTTGTAGTTCTGAGTGATCACTTTTTTATATCTAACCTTCTTAACACTTATTCACAGATTTACAGTAATACAACACTGCACATACTTTTGCAATATCCTGTTTGAATCCAAGCTGCATTTGTGTTGATACTTGGCAATAATGTGCGTTTTCTAAGTAAAGGCCAGTGTAGCCAAAGATATTAAGCCGTTTCGTATAGACATTTTTAGCATTGCAATCACTATCATTGAATTTTAATGACATATTCTAGATCTGAAGAGTAATACATTAGTAATACATCAATGATTTTTGTAGAACATATTCCAAACTCTCTTGATAGATAAAATAAATTTTGGGTTAGAATTCATCATCATTGTGAGGAACGTTTGAAACCTGGGAGCATCAGATAGCTGCTTCGTCCTAGTATGGGACTCCTCAACAATGCGCACCCACGACTCCACCAAGGATTGAATCTAGGACCTTCCGTGACCAGCAAGTTACCATTGAGTCACAATCCAATGGTCCATATTTCCAACTATTATCAGTTCACGATATAGTGCGACCTACATCAAACGTCGTCGTTGAGTAACTGTCGTCATGTTCCCCTTGGTCGACTCCACTAGTCACGACTTCTTAGTGGAACTTTGGGAATCACCTCTCGAAGCCAGTGACCAATGAACGTTAGATTAATTCTATCTGAAAGTTTGTGGACATTTATTAATGATGAATCTCAACCAAATAAACTGCCTTGACAAGTAAATGTGCAGTCAGATTGTTCGAAATGTATGACACAAACACATCACAGTTTCAGATCAACTACGTATTCCTAATAACACCATTAAAATTCATATCACTCGAATAAGCATGATGAATATTTCGCTTTCATAATGAAATATTAGATTACTTTACTGTGGAGCCGTAAACATCTTTTAGAGTTTGTAGAAGAGATAAGAGCTGATTGGTGTACATTTTACTAGACCTTAAGCCCACATTACTCTCTCCGGATCGTTTTTTATGAGGGGCTAACAAGTATTTGATGACTGATTATCTACCACCCCGTAAGCTGAAAGTGCAGTTCACATATGGCAAGCATATCGTTTGGTTGATTTATTTTATCAGTCATCGCACAAGGTTAAAATATTTCTGAACATATTTTTTTATTGATTATTCATTCACATTTACAAAGTCAGTTTACCGAATGTAGTTTCGTTAATTTATTCAGCTAAATACGAGCTGTACATTTTGTAGTGTTGGAAGCAAAGTATCCATTACTGGAGGCTACTTTTTGAAAATCTCAGGAAAACTCAGCTGCAAAGCTGCTGTTTTGTCAAAATGTGGCTGGCTTTCAACAAGTAGGTCACAGGTTTAGATTCCGTTCTACTTATAAAGGTCTGGGCGACCAGATAGTATCATTAATCCTCAAACACTATGCATGAATCATCGCTTAATGCAAAAATCTTAACAAGTTCGCCGAGTTATAACCAGAAAAGAAACGAACAGTTATGCGAGAAAATGAAATGAGCATATACTACGGAAAAACATAATTATCTGAAAATTCTTTACTTGATTCAAAATATTGCTGAAATTGTTATTTTCTCTTACCAGCCAAATGAGAAGAATTCATTTATGCCATTAGGATGCTTCTGATGAAAGTTTGAAAAGTTGAAGCCCATTTTTAGTATTGGAAGATATCAGTATGTGTTTGATTCTTCGCTTTAACAAGTTTTACACAGTTAAAATTTTACACTACATACATTTCTTCAAGAAGATAAAGTTATAGCTTGATGTATGTAAAAAATTAAGTTTCAGTATGTCTGTGGTGGTCTCTAGAAAACGTTTGTACTACTCATCTAATATCATAATCTAATTCGAATATTACTTCGAAGACAATAGCTAACTCAATGTTTCCAAGCGTATTCAGTGAAGACCAGATGGCTGAGATGGACACTTAATTTTGGTGCTTGTACAAATACATTAAACACTTGATATATGCGCGAAAAATTTCAGTCATATCATAAAAATATAACCTCTTGCCTTTGAATACACTGGTAGAAACTTTGCTCAACCCCAGTTATCATTCATGGCAACACAATTCATTTCTGCTGGTACTGAATTATCTAGTACCAATAATCTTCAGTAAACCAGCATAAAGTTGTCTTGTAAATTGTCAAACGTTCCTCTGACAGAGACACTTTATCGTATGCCATTTCAGTGTCTGAGAAAATCACCATTAGTCTACTAAAAGACTGAATATGGTCAGTTGACTAGGTAGAAGGCATAGTTGATACTACTGTTGAAAAAGTAAAGTTGCTCCTATTGCAAGTTAATTAACTGGATTAATTACAATACAATAAGTGACTAATGTACAAATATACACGTAGCTGTTTAATTTACAGTTTTAATGGGCGCTATTGATCCGAATGGATATAAGTAGTATATGTTGAGAGAGTTGCAGAAATCACAGGGAATTACCAGCAATGGGTAAAGATTCTGCCCAGAGAAACGTAAGACACAGTGTGGGCATATTAACAGCAAATCAAGATAGAAGCAAAAGAGGAAATGAAGCACGTTATACAAATGACTGTTTTAGTAGGAAGTGTACAATATTTAATGACTACTGTACAAGATGTCAATAATCAACATTCCTTCCTTCGTCTTCACGTTTCCTACACAATTATTCTGTGTAATGGCTACAGTAAAAGACGATTAACTTTTACTAATGACTTTTTTCTGTCTTAGACTCGATATTTGCACTTCTCATAAACCACCAATTTTATTTACCTGCATTCTTTAGCCAGATACGATTTTACACTTTTTGACTATTCTTCTATACACTGAAATTTTTATAAGTTCCCATATTATTCTAAAAATATTGGTGTGCATTTACTCTGTTTATCTCGATAATATTGTCACAACACATAATTTGCTACTTATCTTGATATCCGTCTTGTACCCAAACTGGATTGGAATAGATTACAACATTCTGAAAAATTCAGTAACCAACAAAACGTTTGTTTTGAAGCAGTGCTTTACTTTGCACTCTTTAGCTTTGATATCTCAAAAAGAAGAGTGTACAAGGTTAGGGTAATTTTAACACTATTGTAATTTAATAAAATTCATTTCATATTGTGTAGTTCATGAATGTATTCATCATCACCAATCATCGGTTTTTTCTTATTCACTTCCATACTTCTCTGATAATACAGCTTGTTTTGATAATCAACTTTTCATTCCGAACTACATCATTGGATGTTCAAAGAAATCTTGAAGCTAACGTCGAGAAGCGAAGTAAAGATACTTATGGTCCAGTATCTGGTAAACAATTGATAATTTTTATTGATGACATGAATATGCCACAGGTTGATCAATATGGTACACAACAACCTATTGCTCTGCTGAAGTTATTAATTGAACGTAAAGGTGTATATGATCGTGGTAAAGATTTGAATTGGAAACGTATGCAGTCAATAGATTATTTGGCATCAATGGGTCGTCCAGATGGTGGTAAACAAGATGTAGATCCAAGATTTATTTCCTTGTTTTCTGTGATTAATATACCGTCACCATCTGAGAGTACACTGTATAAAATCTACAATTCTATATTATCGGGACATGCAAGTGAATTTGATAGCGGAATTAAAAACTCTGTTGATTGTGTCACAAATATGACACTGAAATTATTCCAGTGAGTAATTAATTATTTTTAAGTTTTCATTTTCTTCCCCTTTTTACCTTTCAAAAATTAGAGGCTAAACAAATGGAAAAACACTCTCACATTGCCGTAGTAACAGATGTTACGCCAAATTGAACCAATAAATCCACTTCAGTAAACAGGTGAGAAACTATAATATTAGATGGATTAAAGATGAATTTGAGACTACGCAAAATAGTGGATCGCTCTATAAGTGCTGGGAGCAGGATGAAAATCACATCGTGGATTCCAGTAATAGTTTTGATGAAATACATAGTATCTTTTATGCATATATATATATATATATATATATATATATATATATATATCGCGTGACAGAGATATCTGATTTTAAGGTGTGCTATTTCAGTGGCGAATCCATGAATTCTATTCATTAATTAGCTTGAAGTCAGATTTCAATTATTCGATAACTACTTGGACTATCATCTCAGAGAAAACGACATGAAAGTTACAGTTGTTTGCTCATATTTTTGCCAGTTGAACTACAAAATGTTGAAAAGATAGGTGATCACCTCTCTAGGACTTAAAACCATAAAGTCATCGTACATGGTTACATTTTCATCATCCTTAACAGACCTAGACTTTGGTTCAAGGCTCCTTACAGATCACCTTCAACTAATTAACCACCATCAAAATGTTTGGCGATGTTGATCCCCCTGGATTGGTGGGCAGATTGTAGAATGATCGATAGAATTCTGTCAGAACTCAGGACTGGAAATTGTTGATTTTCCTTCAGGGACCAGTCAATGTTAACTTAAAATTGATTTTTGTGACTAAATTTGTGTATATCAGGTTAATGGATAGATGATGTCACAGGAAACCGCATTCTCATCGGAATCCAGTTTCATAATGTTAATTTTTCAAAAAGATTGTACCTCTGTAGCAAATCTTTGTTCAACTAGTCCAGAAATACCACTAGCAGCCCACCTACACAACTGTCAGTGAACACAAACTCTCCGACAAAAGCAGAAGTGAAGTCCTGAGCGCCATAAAGTTGATGAAATCTGGGAAAGCAGCATGAGCAGATGGAATTCCACCAGAAGCACTGAAAACAAACTCAGAGACAACAGCGGACATCCTCACACCATTACTGCAGAAGGTTTGGAAGGAGAGAAGGAGGGAAAGGTACCTGCCGATTGATTGGAAGAAAGGCTACCTTGTCAAACTCCCAAACAATGCTGACCTGAGCTAAGTCTTTGCAGGAACTGGCTTGGAATCCTGCTCCTGTTCATACCAAGCAAAATATTCAGTCAAATCATGCTATAGAGAGTAAACAATGCGTTGGATTCAAAATTGCAACTGGAACCGGCTGGCTGGTTGGCTTCAGAAAGAATGAATCATATGCAGATCAAATTGCAACACTACGCAAAGATGTGCATCATGACAGAACGGAGCGTAGGATGGTGGTCAACTGGATCTTTACCTCAACTTCATCGATTTTGAAAAGGCCTTCGACAACGTCGACAGAGAAGTAAGTTGTCAGTCAGCTTCTTGAATACTACGGTTTTAGTACCACAAACCTTTATGAAGTTCATTCAACAGCCATATGCCATATGATGCTAGATGCCGAGTGATTGACAATGGAAAGTTCAGTGATGCCTTTGCAGTGAAGACAGGGGACAAGAGTAAGACAAGGTTGCTGCCTACTCTCACTGATGATCTTCCTTATTGTGGTGGAGTGGAGTGGAGTGGACTGGATCATGCACGAAAGTGTGAGTAGCTTTGAGAAGATGGTCGTAGGCTGTTTGGCCGATGAATAGACTCCAGAAGATTCGGATTTTGCCGATGATTTATGTCTTGAGTGGAACCTAAAGAGCAAACGACGAGTTGGGCGTCCTAAGGTGACATGGAGGAGATCATGTGAGGAAGGAATGAAAGCTTATGGGCAGTCATGCAGAGAACAGAGTGAGATTGCAACGTATTACTATGAACCCAAAGGAAAAATAATAATGAATAAATAAATTTTTGTTCGAAGTTTTTGGCCAGGTGTTTCATTTTAGTTGTGGGTGACTTTAAAAATGATTATTTAAATGCATGCCAATAAGTGTGGATTGGAATCACCAGTTTATATATTTTTCCGTTCATAGAATGATCGAATTGGTGTTCTTGTCAATTTCATTTCCTATTATTCTGGCTTTCTTTCAAGAGTTTGTCACTTTCTAGTATTTCAATTACCTGACTTTTTGATAAGATCCACTTAAAGTTCATTTTATATTGATTCTTTGTGAAGAAAACGTGAAGTAATTTCGATGTATCAACAAAAATTTGGTTCAATTCGGAGGCCATTAGGGATTTGCTTCTTGACTTCCGGTTGGCATTCATCATGGATTGAAATCACTTTCAGAAACATTGGAAACGTGGGACCACCAGACACCTGTATAGTATAAAACTCTTCACCATTGCTCACCCATGGTCTTACAGCATTGGGGATCGAACCCAGGAAGTTAAGGTTGCACGACCAGCACATTACCATTGAGCCACTGAGTTGGAGTCCAATGCTCTTACTATCCAACTACGGCATTGGATGGAGGTCGTGCTATATCATGAAGTGACATATGGACCACTGGATTCCGACGCAGTGGCTCACTGGTAACTTGCTGATCACGGAATCTGAAAGTTCTGCTTTCGATCCCTGGGGCTGCAGAGTCATGGGTGCGTACCGTTGAGGAGTCCCATAATAGGACGAAACAACTGTCCAATGCTCCTAGGTTTCCAATGTTTTTCCAACTGATGTCAATCTATGATAAATACCAACCAGAAATCTTTTGTTCTTTCCTTTACCTACTAGTTGAATTAAAATGCTGCTATTTTTGTTCAGCAGACAGTTTTTTATCATGTTTCTGAAGCAGACATCTTTGTTAACCAGTTCATAGTCATAATTTTTGAAGGATTTCTAAACCATCAGAGAGTGGTATGGAAAAGTAAGAGCAAATTATATCAAACAAAACACAGTCAGACAACCAAAAACTATCTAGAATAATGCAAAATTAAAGTTGCAATTATTCATTTCTAATACATAATGACTGTTGAATCTGTAGTTACAAATTGTACTGCAGTAAGAACAATATATTAAAAATACATAGACGTTTGCATAGCCATTAGACTTCAAAATCCTCAGTGCCCACAAAACCCTTAATGGAATTACATTTAGTAGAAAGTACTGGGAAATAGCCTCATTTACTTCTGTTTAGCTTAGAAATGTACTGAAGCCCTAAACATCGAAGTGCTCTTGTCTCTAAATTCAGTTACTGAGGATGGCAAATTCTAATCTCTTGTAATCGTATATGTTTTCAATAGACTGTGATTACTTCCTCCTAACGATTGCTCGCAAGGGCAATATGTAGATTTAAGGTTTTGTGTCAACTACCTGTTACTATTCAACCGTAAATATAGAAAAATATACAAATAAGGTTCTTTAACTTATCGCTTATTCAATCATGAATACTTGTAAACCGGTGGTGAAAATTGAAGCATAAAATTAGTTACATTTCAACAGGATGATTTATGTGATTTTGTAGTAAGTAACACTGAAACATTAATATCTGAAATGCTAAATTCATTTTAACAATCATTAACTTTTCTGACAGATACGTTAGTGTTCAGCTTCCACCAACACCATCAAGATTTCATTATGTATTCAATATGCGTGATCATAGTAGAATATTTAATGGATTATGTTGTATGACAGTAGATAGATTTAGTCGTAGAGAGCAATTTATTCGTCTATGGCTACATGAAGTTTATCGTGTCGTGATGGATCGTTTAATATGTCATGCTGACGTACAGATAGTTGAAGTGAGTTTACGGATCAATTTTTCCTATGGAAAAACTCTCATCTGTTATTATAATGAAAGTATCAATGTAATTGTATGCTAATTGACAAAATTTAACCTGATTTTGTAAATACTCTAAATGGGTGAAGTACAACTTAAAGGAAAATAAAGATATTGTACTTTGAGTGATTATAAAGATCACTTCAGAATCTACTAGAATAACCAATTTCGCTCGGGAAAGAAACTTAATTAGCGATCTAGGTAGTTACTGGAGTGGTTTTCAAAGTCAATTTATACGAATAAATAGTAACTATCCTCATTCAAGTTTAAAACCTGAATCTTAGCGAAATGAGAATGAATCTATGGGTAACTCTTGCAATAACTGAAATAACCCATTTGGTTTCTTTACTTCATAGAAAAGGTTACCTTTGCAGAGGAAATATAAGATCATTGTTAGTTATCCCAGTATTCGGTAAGGTGGCCGTTATTATTATATTATTATTTGTCCCTTGGGTTCCTAGTGGAAAATAGGGCTTCAGTAGCACGTCTCCAGTGCACTCTGTTCTCTGCAAACTTTTGAACCTGACTGCATGACAGCCCACAACCTCTCATTTCTTCCTCACACCATCTCCTCCATATCAGCCTCGCCTCGCACGCCTAACTTGTCGTTTCCCATGCAGGTTCCACTCAAGAGCCTGGTGCATGATGTCCCCGAATGGTCTTCTCAGTGCATGCCCAATACATCTCCACTTCCTTCTTCTGCATATTTGTTGAGCGTTAGCTTCTTGGTTGGTTCGTTTCCGGCCAAAGTTCTCTGTCGCTTATTCTTACTATTCTGGCCATCTCAGCTTCAGTAACGAGCCAGGGTAGGCGGCAGTTGTTGACGAATATCTGTAGTTTGTTAGAAATCCCTTTTCGTAACGCGCCAAGTCTCTGAACCATATAAAAGCACTGACTTGACTGAATTAGTGTTGAAAATGAGGATCTTGTTCTTTATGCTGTGTGTAGAAGATCTCCACACTGATTTCAGGTTAACGAACGCCTGTCTAGCTTTTCCGATCCTGACTTTGACGTCCTCGTCTGTGCCACCACTGCCTGTAGTCGAAACGATGCTGCCTAGGTAGGTGGGTGAAAGAGGCTATTTCATTTAAGTTTCTCACGTTGATGGTGATTGGATCTTGCTGTTGGTTGGGTATCTTCATCACCTCTGTCTTCCTTACGTTCACTTGAAGTCCCGTCTTCGCTGCCCCACCTCTTCTATCAACTTGTTAGTTTTTGCCTGTGGATCTTCGAGTTTGTATGAGATTAGACACAAGTCATCTTTGGCGAAATCGAAATCTTCTAGGATCTTTTACCCGGTCCAGTCAGCGTATCCCCCTCTTCTCGCTCCTCACTGTTTGTTGCGTGATCCAGTCAACCACAATCAGGAATATCATGGGTGATAGTAGACAGCAACCTTGTCTTACTCTTGTCTTCACTTCAAAGGCGTCACTCAGCTTTCTGTTGTGGATCACTTGGGATGTGGTGTTTTCATATGGCTGTTGAATGAGGTTGATAAAGGTTTGTGGCAGTAAAACCGTAGTGTTGAAGCAGTTGCCAAACTACTTCTCGGTCGACGCTGTCGAAGGCCTTTTCAAAATCGATGAAGTTGAAGTAAAGATCCAGTTGACCGCCATTCTACGCTATGTTCTATGATGATGCGTACCTTTACGTAGTGTTGCAATTTGATCCACACATGATTCGTTCTTCCTGAATCCAGCTCATCATTTAGTCCCTCCAGGATGATGTGGCTTGATATTTTGCTTGGTGTGAACAGGATCATAATTCCAAGCCAGTTCATGCAAAGACTTAGCTCAAGTCAGCATTGTTTGGGAGTTTGACAAGGTAGCCTTTCTTCCAATCAATCGGTAACTACCTTGCCTTCCTTCTCTCCTTCCAAACCTTCTGCAGTAGTGGTATGAGTATAGCCGCTGTTGTCCCTGCGTCTGCTCTCAGTGCTTTTGGCCGTTAGAGTCATAAAATCTTAGATTCGGGTAGAAAGTACAGTGGTAACTTGCTTCAAGCCAGTTCACTGAACTGTGGCTCATAGTTCTCTGGAAACGAACGTGAATTTCTTCACAAAGCATTTTTGAATATTAGCGGGTCTTAAAATCACTTCGATAGATACATCAATTGTACTTCTTTTCTCTAAAATCCCTGTTCTTTTAACGTTATTGCACATAGTTTAATTAAAACAATTAATTATTTCTCGTCATATTGTCTGAAAACTTGATTTTTCTTAAAATTCACATGTGGGTATCTCGGGTTATATCGAGTGGGATTTTTTAAAAACACTTTCGTTTATCCCAACCCCCAGCGTGTATAAGACAAAATATTTATATTTAAATAACGCATATTAAACCTTTACAGTCAAAACATTCCACTCAATGAACCAGATAGCATTGTCTTCTATCACACAAAAACCATCCTGAATATCTAACTTATGGTATATACAGATAGTGGATTGATCAAACATGCTGTAAATCTTGTATCTTTGGTATACTTCATGCAAATGTTTAAGTTTAAGAGAAATAGGAAGTTTTGTAGTTTAAGTTCAACACACGAAAATTTAAAAAATACTTAAATCTTTGGAAAATTCCTCTTTTAGTTCTCTCACTTGGACATGAACTCAAGTGAGATATATTTCAACTAACCTGGAATAGCGTAGTTATTTGCAAAGCTAGAATCCTATGTGACAGACATATCCGAATTCCGATCTAAGTATTGGTGTCAGACGCAGCTTGTTTTCTAATAATGAACAAAAGTCACGGTTAGGTAGTTTATTTCAGCGTAAGTGTGCCAATTGTAGCAAGTAAATAGTAAGCTGAGTTAGATTTATCATGAAATCATAATCTCATGTAAGTTACTGATATGAATTAATTGCACTTGTGATAAATCATAAAAATAGCGAATAAAACGCGTTTGACTATCGAAGTTACTCTGTGATAAACATTGGATTTCTGTAAACCTTTATATGTCTTGTAAAACGTGTTAATTTATCCAGCCGTAAAACAAAAATAGCTTCACCTGTAATTCTTTTACAGAAAAAAATTCATAAAGTACATATGTTTGCCGGAAAACTTTGTGATCATGTCGCCATGTGTTGCATCTAACACATCATAAAGGTGTTGAAACTCATTCAGATCACCGATGGTAGAAGGTCTACATTCAGTAATACAATATCTTAAGAATGTGAAATGTTCAAAATTCTGTGAAGCTGCATGAAATGTTTGGAAAACAGTTTGTGAAGTGGTTCAGTTGGTTAACGGTTGACTTTAAATTCCATATCACGTACTGCATTAGCTGTCAGTACTAACTCAAATTTAAAATGAGTTATTGGAATTCTGAGAGCCTACACCTGGATTATAAGACATCTTTAATCCACTTCAAAAGTGGTTGCAGTATTATCGTCAAGAAACTGATAAAAGGCTGGAGAAAGTTTTTGTTAGTTTCCTTTCAAAATAGATTGAAACTTATGCATTTACCTTCCGTAAAGAGCTAAATTAGTTTGTGTGCCAATCAGTAGAAAATAAGTCAGATATCCATTGTATCTTAGATATATTTTCTCTTTAAACCCACTGAATCATGACAAAAATGAAGTTATTTTGTTCTCAAACAGCCGGGTTTGTTTTAGATGTACTACAAACATTTGGATAGCATACCTTATTTTTTATTATTATTATTATTAGTCCCTTAGGTTCCTAGTGGAACATAGGGCTTCAGTAGCACGTCTCCAGTGAACTCCGTTCTCTGAGATCTTTTGAACCTGGCCCACAAGCTCTCATTTCCTCCTCGCACGACCTCCTCCATGTCACCCTCACCTCACAAGCCCAACTCGTCGCTTCCCATCTGGGTTCCACTCGAGGGACTGACCTGACGCGTGATGTCCTCAGTCGGCCTTCTTAGTGTATGCCCAATCCATCTCCACTTCTTTCTGCATATTTGTTGCATAATAGGTTCTTGGTTGGTTCGTTCCCAGAGTTCCTTGTTGCTTATTCTTTCTGGCCATCTGATCTTCAGTAGCGAGCGTAAGCAGTTGTTGATGAATGTCTGTGACGCGCCAAGTCTCTGAACCATACAGGAGCACTGACTTGACGTTGGTGTTGAAAATCCATATCTTGTTCCGCATGCTGAGTGCAGAAGATCTCCACACTGGTTTCAGGCTAATCAACGCCTATCTTGCTTTACCGATTCTGACTTTGACATCCTCGTCTGTGCCTGTGCCACCTGTAGTTGAAACAGTGCTTCCTAGATAGGTGTAGGTGAAGGAGGTTACTTCCTTTAAGTTTCTCCAGTTGATGGTGATTGGAGTTTGTTGTTGTTGGAGTTGTTGGTGCCGTATCTTCATCACTTCTGTCTTCTCTATATTCACTTGAAGTCCCGTCTTCGCTGCCTCTTCTGACAACTTTCTAGTTTTCACCTGTAGATCTTCAAGTTTGTGTGACAGGCAGAAGTCATCGACGAAATCCAAGTCTTCTAGGTTCTTTTCCGCAGTCCAGCTAACGTATCCCCCTCTTCTCGCTTCCCAGCATACCTTAATTCACATTAATAATCGTTGCGCTACATGACATTAGCTTTACTTCCAACTAAAATTTTTTGTTTTCACCTGGACTTTAAAGACTGATGGCCTCATGAGTACGTTTGTATTCTGATTAATCTTTTAGCAAAGTTCATGGGGTAGTTATGAATTATCATAGTTTTGTCCGAGAATATTAGGACATGAACGTAGTTAGTTTTATTTTTGAAATAATTTTATGGTTTTCTTTGTATTCGCTGGCGTTCAAGAAATTATCTATGATAATTTACCAACCGTATTAGCCCCTTCTGTTTACTAAAAGTAATCTCCTTTTTTGTGTTACTAAGATGTTTAATATGCTAATCGGCTAAATTTGAGCAAGAGGAGTCATTAATTGCTTGGAAGGCAGCATTTTTAAAAATTGACTTCAGTTACAAGAAGAAACAATGCAGAAAGCAGGGAAAGACTCACCTCAAATTAATATAGAACTCAGCAACATGAAACAAAGAGGACTGATTATTTGGCTTAGCTTGTAATCATTAGGCTTCACTGAATATCAGTTACTATCAAATCATTGAAATGTCACACTTGTTAAATTGTGCATTATGATTCAGCTTAGCAAAAACGTGTATTCAAATTTATTTAGATTGAATAATGGTTTTTTAAAAATTTTTACATGATTATTCTCTTAGAAACACGTGGATGAATTATTAGAAGACAATTGTAAAGATATTAAAGAATATGTAAACACAATGCCTATATTGTTTGGTGACTATCGTACTGCAATGGATGAAACGGAAGTTCGTTTATATGAAGATATGGTTGACTATGATAATTGTCGAAATATAGCTCAAGAGGCAAGTCCAGCGCTTTTATTGAAATTTTATTTCTTGTAACAGCTTATTTGATTGATGTTTTGAGACTTAGTCTAGGCAACAATCATTACCACAACATGAAACTTCAGCTCACAACATCAGAAAATAAAGAATGCGTATCCTATGCAACTGAAAAATAGGATTTTAAGGAGACATTAACTAATTACCATAGCTTCTCTAATAATATGTCTTTTATCTAAAATAAAACCAAACTGATAACTAGAAAAAGTTTATATGGAATACAAATGAAATATCGTCTATTTTTATGTAATTGTTCCCTATGGTCTCTCAGTAACAAAGTTAAGTTTCCGTATATGTAAATATACTTTATTCTTATTTTATTCATTCCATTTTCAAATATAAACTATTGAAGCAGAGGGTGTCGTCATCAATTTACTTTTGTCCATACTGTGATAAAGACTTTTCTATTTAGTTGAATTTGCCCTTTTAGGATGAGCAATGATAGTCTGCCGAGTTAATATAGTTCGGTCCCATTTGTATTACTACGATAATTAATATTTAGTTTCAAATGAAAGACAAACAGCATTTTATAGTTAATATACTATATTAATATAAGTATGAAACTTGGGCACTGTGGTAGAATTTAATTCCATATTAGATTTGTTTATTTGATTTATAACATACAGTGATATGGTATTATTTACTTGATGATGTTACAAACATAAATCATTCCTCATAATCACGTCAATGCAACCACACTACTTTCAACATGTGATTTTCATAGTCCTGTCATCTCTTATTCTTTGTTTCTATTGGTAGCAAAATTTTCCATATCTCTGGTATATACAACCTCTCCTAGGTAACTAGCTCAATAGTTACTAGTCGATCCTAAACCCTGATAAAGAGGGAAGTTTGGGCATAAGGCTAGCAACCATACCCCGTAAAAAAATCCAATCGCTAAAGAAACTTCAAAGCACAAACAAAATATAAAAAATAAAAACAAAATTATTCCTCCCTGGAATCGGAGAGGCGAAGTGACGCCAGTTGGTGAAAGTCTTCGGGAAGCCGATTGGCCGATGTGTCTTCCCTTCTCTCAATGAAAGTGAAAGTAAACGTGGGGACATGGAATGTCCACATGACGTTTGAAGCTGGCTGGTAAGGCTGCTCAGATTACAAAAGAGATGAGAAGGTATGGCATGGAAGTGCTAGGCCACGAATCCGTGAAAGCAGATGGAATGGAAGTGAACCTACTCCAATATTGTCACCCAGACGACAACCACGAGCACACTGAATATTCGAGTGACTATCATGATGTCCGCAAGAGAACTGAAGGCTATCTCTCTCTCTCTCTCATGCAGTGGGAACCAATCTCCTCCTGCAGGATTCTAACAGCAAGGTTCAACTGAAAAGGAAGGAAAGTTACAATCGTACAATGCTACACTAGGCTCCTACAAATAATGCAGATGAAGATAAGAATGAGGAATTTCACAGACAACTTGAATCAACACTGGACAAGACCCCTACCCAGTTGGGGACATCGAAATTCTGATGTGTGGGTTGACATGAATGTCAAACTGGGAGTGGACAACACAGGAAGAGATGCAATCATGGGTCGAGAAGTGCTCGATGAAATGATGACTGAGAATGGAGAACTGTTTGCAGATTTCTGTGCATTCAACGATTTTGTGATTGGAGGGAGGCAGTGCGTACAAGCACAAGGATATCGACAGGTGACATGGATTTCACCAGACACCAGGATACACTAAACATCAGATCGACTTCGTTTCAATGTGAAGAAAGTGGAGATGCAGTCAGCCTAATTGACACAAGATGAAGAAGGGGAGCAGATGTAGGTTCACACCACTCACACCACTATCTGGTGCGAGGAACCAGCCTTCAAAATCAAGTTGAAAGCCTTGAAGGAAGTTGGTGTTAACAGACCAGAGTTGAAGTTGAAGACCCAGAAGAGAAGCTGAAGTGAAGGATGAAACTACAAAGGACATCTTGACATTAGTCAGCCATCAAGACAAAATGGGGGATATAGAGGGACATCCATGAAGAAACCTGTGTTGAAGAACACTAGGACTGTGTGAAAGAGATGTGGAAGGAAACCTGCATAACCGTATTGGGAAGGAAGAAGAAAAAGGATGAGGGATTGATGTACAGGGATACATGGGAGGTGATAGAGCGGGAGAGGAGGATGGTGAAGCAGAAGATAAACCAGTGTAAAGGTGCACAACGAGAAGAGTATCTGAGTACCATGTATAAAACACTACACTGGACACAGAAGTGAAGAAGAGTGTGCGTAAAGACGTAGGACACTTCTACGACACATTGGCAAGTGAAGCAGAACAGGCTGTATGTAGGGGAAACAGAGACGTGACAGCACCATATCAAATAACCAGGTTACTATCTGGTAGAGAAGAGATCAACGCAGACGAAAGAAATGAGAGATAGTGAAGGAAACCTAGTTAGTAAGGCGGAGGAATAAAGGGAACGATGGGCTGACCAATTAGAAGAACTCTTGAATCGACCACCGCCACCACCACATGCAACTCATCCAGACATACCAGCGGCAGCCCACCTACACAACTGTCAGTGAACAAACTCTCCGACAAAAGCAGAAGTAAAGTCCTGAACGCCGAATAGTTGATGCAATCTGGGAAAGCAGCATGACCAGATGGGATCCCGCCAAAAGCACTGAGAACAGACGCGGAGACAACAGCGGACATCCTCACACCACTACTGCAGAAGGTTTGGAAGGAGAGAAGAAAGGCAAGGTAGCTACCGATTGATTGGAAGATGGGCTACCTTGTCAAACTCCCAAACAATGCTGACCTGAGCTAAGTCTTTGCAGGAACTGGAGTGGAATCCTGCTCCTGTTCACACCAAGCAAAGTATTAGGTCAAATCATCCTGTGGAGAGCAAACAATGCATTGGATTCAAAATTACAACTGGAACAGGCTGACTGGCAGGCTGGTTGGCTGGCTGGCTTCAGAAAGAACAAATCATGTGTGGATCAAATTGCTACACTACGCAAAGATGTGCATCATGATAGAACGGAGCGTAGGATGGTGGTCAACTGGGTCTTTACCTCAACTTCATCGATTTTGAAAAGGTCTTCGACAACGTCGACAGAGAAGTAAGTTGTCAGTCAGCTTTTTCAATACTACGGTTTTAGTACCACAAACCTTTATGAAGTTCATTCAACAGCCATATGCCATATGATACTAGAAGCCGAGTGATTGACAATGGGAAGCTCAGTGATGCCTTTGCAGTGAAGACAGGGGACAAGAGTAAGACAAGGTTGCTGCCTACTCTCACTGATGATCTTCCTTATTGTGGTGGAGTGGAGTGGAGTGGATCATGCAAGAAAGTGTGAGTATCTTTGAGAAGAAGGTCGTAGTCTGTTTGGCCGATGAAAAGACCCTGAGACATTTGGATTTCGCCGAAAATGGTTTATGTCTAATGTCGCACAAACTTGAAGATCTCTCAGCCAAAACTAGCAAGTTGAAAGAAGATGCGAGACAACGAAGAAAGATGGGACTTTCTTCAGGCGAACATAGAGAAGACAGAGGTGAGGAAGATACCCAACCAACAACAGCATGAACAACAAGCACCAATGACGATCAACGGGAGAAGCCTAAAGGAAGTTATCTGTTTCACTCACCTACCCAGGAAGCATCGTTTCAACTACAGGTGACGGCGGCCGTATAGATGAGGATGCGGAAGCCAGGACCAGAAAGACAGCAAGACAGGCTTTCCTTAATCTGAAATCAGTGTGGAGATCCGCTGCACTGCACTCAGCATAAAGCGTGAACAAGATCCGGATTTTCAACACCAATGTCGGTCAAGTCAGTGCTTCTATATGGTTCAGAAACTTGGCGCGTCACGAAAAGCGTTTCCAACAAACTACAAACATTCATCAACAACTGCTGCCTACACTGGCTCTATACTGAAGATCAGATCAGATGGCCAGAAAGAATAAGCAACAAGGAAGTGTGGCTGACTAATTGGCAACGAACCAACCAAGAACCTATCACTCAACAAATATGCAGAAGAAGGAAGTGGAGATGGATTTAGCATACAGTGAGAAGGCTGACTGGGGACATCACGCGCCAGGCGAGGTTGTCTAGTGGAATCGAAATGGGAGACGACGAGTTGGGCGTCCGAGGTGATGGTGACTTGGAGGAGATGGTGTGAGGAAGAAATGAAAGCTTGTTTGCAGTGGTGGAGCGTGATTAAGGAGACTGCAGAGAAGAGAGTGGAATGGAGACGTGCTTCTGAAGACTTATGTTCCACCAGTAACCCAAGGGACAAGTAATAATAATAATTATACCGGTATGTGTTGGGTGTCGATTCAGTAATCCACCTCTCTCTTTCTACCTACCTACCTATAGTGGTTTTATCCAACTCTATTGAACGGTTGTGTATCAATACATGCTTTGCGATAGCCGAATGTTTTTCTAGACTGTTGATCTTATTTGGGTCTGTCATTCTGTATTTACCTAAATTCCTATGTTCCGCTGTTTGAATTGACCTCGACCGGCTGGTTTAACTTGTATACTTGACCTCACAGTCATCACATGGAATTTTATAGATTAGATTATTTTTGCTCAGTTGGTTCTATCGGATTTCTAAGCCGGTAAAGCTTATCTCTGAGTGGTTTCGTAGGTTTTAATACCACGCTAATTCCAGCTTTGTTGAGGATCTTATGTAACGTTTCAGACGTCCCTTCCTTATAGGGTAGCACAATGGAGGCTGTGAACTCATTTCTACTCGTGTTGTCGTTACTATTCGTACTCGTGTTACTGTTATTATTTTGTTTCTTGTGGGTTACTTTGAGAAGCCTTAGAATCGGCATTTACGTTTGTCCACACAAGTATTAATAGTAAACATTAGCAGACACTTTTAGTGAGATGATTGATATATGTACTGGAAATAATAAATGAAAAATAAGTGAGGATGTCGTCTAATATATATTTATTTTCAAATGAACTTGTATACTTGTATTGTGAAACGAAATGAAATTTTCAAGGTTCAGCTAAACAACGTCGATAGCCATGAGTATTTTTAAGTCAGTTTTTACTTGATAAAGCCGTTGATTAGTCATTTTTTATATGAAGAAGAAGGCAGAAAATAAAATCAAAATGCTGTATTTGTAAATATTAGTAGATTTCTGAGTCTTGTATCTTCTACCAATGAATTATCTTTTACACAAAATGAGTAGTTCCATTTCAGCTGATTCACAAGCATCCATAGTACTTTCTGTAGTTTGAATCGCAGAACTAGGGAGCCCATGTCATACATTGCAGTGTTTCAACTTGCGTGAATTTTAGGTAGTTGACTCCATCAAGTGTTATACAGTGCCAAGAGCTTTTGAATTTTAAGAAAACAATCCAAACACCACTGGTAGAATGAAATTAATTTATATTCATCTCGGTGACTGGTGACGCGCGTTTCACCCTATTTAGGACTCGTCAGTTGGATTTACCTACACCCCAGTGAGTGATGTCTCCATTGGGACTCGAGCCCAGTACCCTTCGCTCCAAACACCAGACCGTTATCCACGATATCCACCTTTTATGCAACGAGTATCAGTTGGTGTAATGATACTTGTAATTTCCTATTGCTACACTGGACCGAATTGCTCGACCTGAAATGAATTTATTTTATTTCATAGATTGACTTTCGTAACACATACCTTGGGCAAAAACGTTTAATCAACGAATAGAAAAATATGTAGATATATCTAATGTCCAAAATTTTAGCAAGTTCAGTTTGTTGTCTCGATAACCGTAAATAGATGAAAAGAATACTTCAGGAAACCGGAAAAATAAATCTTAAATTTCCGTTAACTTTTGGGGGATTTGTGTAAACTTTATTGTAAAGAGGAATCCGCTTCTATATAACTGAAAAAGTTAAGTCTACCCTGCTTATCTGGTCAAAATACTTTTTCTCAAGTGCCCTGATGCACACTTCTAACATTTGTGTTGAATTAGTGAGTACATGAGAGTACCTATGGACTCATTTTCAAGCCGCTTGTCGTGTATTTCTTGTTACAGAATTCGTCAATATTCATACTTCTAACAGATCCTAAATCACTAAAAACTGAATTATTATTTTGTCTGCAGTCAAAACCACTCGAAGTCATCACCTATCTTTTTAGCTGAATTGAGTAAGCTGCTATATGTGTAAACGTTATCGTTTTATTGAGGTGAAGTAGTCGAAAAAAGTTTATCAGTATGTGACCTGAATAAATGAGAAATGGCCATATCTATAATTTATACAGAGTGATAATTCCTGTAAAAACAATCTAATACTACACAAAAATGATTCTTTGTGATTATTTTTCAAATGAGTAAATACCTTTTACAAAACGAGCTTCAATAAGATGGAAAATTAAATAGGCTCATCTTTCATTATTTCGGAAGAATGATTAACAAATGAATTTTAGCTGCACATTTTTTATAAAGTTTATCATTGTTAGCAAAAAAAATACCAACTTGAGATATCATTAAATGAAAATTTCACAGACTTCATTTCAGAATTTTTCGAAATTAAAACCAAATCATTAGAACCTCTTGTAATCACTGTAATTCATATTACAACACAGTATTTCTGCTTCATAGAATAAAAATTGAAAAATGCATAAACAGATAGGTAAATTTGAAATTATTCATGATAAGAGTACGTTAGAAAGGAGAAATAACTCTATTGCCATCATGTACATGAGTATTGATTCACATTGCTTACCACTTGGAAGTAAATACGAAAGACTATTCAGCGTTCTCAACTAAAAGTTTCGACATTCATGTTAGCTAGTAAATTAACTGTGACTTTAACAACAAATTAATAGTTGGTCAAAATCTTCATCCAAGTAACAAAATTTATTAATTAAGATCTTACAGGTGAGCTGAATATTCTTAAGATAAACTGCCAATGCATTCTTATGAATATCTTTCGTGCATATTCTAAGTTTAGGCTTATCCGCCTGTCAGTTTGGCAATGAAGACTCAGTCATCAAAACACCCAGTAAAGCATTACACAAATCACCATTTTAAAATCATAAATCTTATTACTAACCTCATGATAATATATTTCTTTGAAACATCGAAGTTAGCTTGGTTGGAATTAATCCATTCATAACGTAGTTGTGAATGGGATCGTATCAGTTTGAATTTCGTTAGAAATCTTGAAAATCAGCTGTACTATTGAATGTTTTCTGCAAATAAATTATAACAATATGTTATTAAACTTTAAAACAGATACTAGAAAATTATAATGAAGGAGTTGGTCAATTACAAATGATCTTATTCAACGACGCGATCGAACATTTAACCCGCATTGAACGTGTACTAAGAATGGAGAATGGACATGCACTTTTAGTTGGTGTTGGTGGATCAGGTAAACAAAGTCTCACTCGTCTAGCAACATATGCCGCCAATAGTCATCTGTTTGAAATTCAACTTTGTCGAGGTTATGGTGAACGTGAATTTCGTGAAGAATTAAAAGCACTCTACCTAAGGTTAGGAACAGAAAATAAATCTACAGTTTTCATGTTCACAGATCAGCATGTTGTTGAGGAAGGTGAGTGCTTTTGAAATCATGTAATCAGAATTAGGTATTTTAATGCAGCTTCTTAAAATATTAAATTTTCCATTCAATATCATTGGTTGGTCAGAATTAAGCAGATGATATTACTTTATAAACATTTTAATAACCTTTATTGATTTTCCTGCTGTCCTGAATTACACTTCTGCTTTCAGTAATGTCACTTATTATTCGTCCATATCCTCTTTGTGTATTGTAATGAAATGCTGCAAACTGAGCTGATATTTTTCTAATAATTTAAAGATCCCCATAGATTACTCACATAAAGAATAATTTCAGCGAACAGTTATTTTCAATAGCTTCTTCTTCGGGTGCTACAGTTATAAATCCATGAGAAGAAATGAAATACAATAGTTAAAATAAGGCATGATGTAAAATTATTACAATAATAAAACAGTCCATATGACGAGTAAATAGAGATCAAATCCAATGGAATGGTGGAATGCTAATAAGTCTAGTGTGTTAGTTGTGCAATAAAATTAACATGGACGGAACAATTACGAAATGAGGAGACAAAACCTACAGATATCAACTCATTTACATACATTAGTAGGGCATGAATGTGTGTTTGTTAGCTTCTCAACCAAACCATTACTGATACAGTGAACGATGGATAGGTTACCACTTATAGCCCCTTCAGCTTTCTTTTATGAGTTCAACTTCTCCTGTGGAGCTAGTTATGTAGGCCGTACTCAAAAGACTCATTCCATGTGCGTTCGTGAACATGCAACAGCTTGGTTACGCAAGGAATAAGAAAGGGTATCAACAGTGCATTCTTTTCACAGATCACGGTGGATCATGCCTGTTCTATGATAATATCCTGTCCCTTGAAATCTCTCTAAAGGTAAGAGAATACGCATCTTATCCATAGTCAAAGTCATAAGTATCAACCCAAGAAAACCTGATCTATGTGTTCAAAAGAAATATGTACATCCACATTGTCTAACTTGACCCACAAAAGAATCGACATGTTCTTTATGAACTTTCCTACCACAAATAGTACATTTTAACCTTCCATCACCCTCTATTTCCTTATAGTATTCACGTGATTTCCACCCTATTTGAATATAAATCATCACTACACAGTTATTATTTGACCCTTAGTAAACAAACACGCATACACATTCATGCCGCAGTAAGTGTATATAAATGAGTTGATATCTGTAGATTTTGTCTCCTCATTTCGTAATTGTTCCGTCCATGTTAATTTTATTGCACAACTAACACACTAGACTTATTAGCATTCCACCATTCCATTGGATTTGATCTCTATTTACTCGTCATATGGACTGTTTTATTATTGTAATAATTTTACATCATGCCTTATTTTAACTATTGTATTTCACTTATTCTCTTGGATGGATACATTTCTGTACAATGACCAACACTGATTTGGTTTCCTGCTGTTCGCTGAGATTACAGGTGCATTTTCTGGTGAATGAACGGTGATGCGAAGTTAGTAGACGACATTTTCAATACTAATTACAGAAATGAGTTTCGAAAGTTTGTGATTATGTCTCTGAATTATATATAGAAGCAATTTTATCATGTGGTTAGACGTGACCTTTTCACAGCAAACGTCACAATGAAGTGACTTTTGTATTTTTCTTACAAATGATTTGTTTTCATACGCTGATAATTTTGAATACATTGTTTTTGTTGGAATACACGGTGTGACTGTTTCAGAGCTTGCTTCCATCAGCCTAATTCGTTAGTTGGTTTCTATTTTGACGCTACACATCATTTCTGATTGGATGACGGATCAGGTACTTGCAACTGCAAAAATATAACGGAATGTTGTGGCTGTGGAAATTAACCTAACTTGTCAAAGTCTGAACCTCGCCTGGTTAACTAGTTCACTAGTTACTAGCAGGTCCTAAGCCCAGGTAAAGGTGGAAGGTTTAACATAGGGCTAGCAACCCTACCCCGTAAAACAAATCCAATCGCTAAAGAAACTTCAAATCACAAACAAAATATAAAAAATAAAAACAAAATTATTCCTCCCTGGAATCGGAGAGGCGAAGTGACGCCGGTTGTAAAAGTCTTCGAGAAGCCGATGGGCCGATGTGTCTTCCCTTCTCTCAATGAAAACGAAAGTAAACGTGGGGACATGGAATGTTAACACGACGTTTGAAGCTGGCTGGTAAGGCTGCTCAGATTACAAAAGAGATGAGAATGTATGGCATGGAAGTGCTAGGCCACGAATCCGTGAAAGCGGATGGAATGGAAGTGAACCTACTCCAATATTGTCACCCAGACGACAACCACGAGCACACTGAATATTCGAGTGACTATCATGATGTCCGCAAGAGAACTGAAGGCTATCTCTCTCTCTCTCTCATGCAGTGGGAACCAATCTCCTCCTGCAGGATTCTAACAGCAAGGTTCAACTGAAGAGGAAGGAAAGTTACAATCGTACAATGCTACACTAGGCTCCTACAAATAATGCAGATGAAGATAAGAATGAGGAATTTCACAGACAACTTGAATCAACACTGGACAAGACCCCTACCCAGTTGGGGACATCGAAATTCTGATGTGTGGGTTGACATGAATGTCAAACTGGGAGTGGACAACACAGGAAGAGATGCAATCATGGGTCGAGAAGTGCTCGATGAAATGATGACTGAGAATGGAGAACTGTTTGCAGATTTCTGTGCATTCAACGATTTTGTGATTGGAGGGAGGCAGTGCGTACAAGCACAAGGATATCGACAGGTGACATGGATTTCACCAGACACCAGGATACACTAAACATCAGATCGACTTCGTTTCAATGTGAAGAAAGTGGAGATGCAGTCAGCCTAATTGACACAAGACGAAGAAGGGGAGCGGATGGAGGTTCATACCACTCACACCACTATCTGGTGCGAGGAACCAGCCTTCAAAATCAAGTTGAAAGCCTTGAAGGAAGTTGGTGTTAACAGACCAGAGTTGAAGTTGAAGACCCAGAAGAGAAGCTGAAGTGAAGGATGAAACTACAAAGGACATCTTGACATTAGTCAGCCATCAAGACAAAATGGGGGATATAGAGGGACATCCATGAAGAAACCTGTGTTGAAGAACACTGGGACTGTGTGAAAGAGATGTGGAAGGAAACCTGCATAACCGTATTGGGAAGGAAGAAGAAAAAGGATGAGGGATTGATGTACAGGGATACATGGGAGGTGATAGAGCGGGAGAGGAGGATGGTGAAGCAGAAGATGAACCAGTGCAGTGTGAGGATGAACAAAGTAGAGAGGAACTGAATACAACCTATAAAAAGAAACTCTGGACACAGAAGTGAAGAAGAGTGTGCGTAAAGACGTAGGACACTTCTTCAACACATTGGCAAGTGAAGCAGAACAGGCTGTAGGTAGGATAGACAGAGACGTGACAGCACTATATCAAATAACCAGGTTACTATCTGGTAGAGAAGAGATCAACGCAGACGAAAGAAATGAGAGATAGTGAAGGAAACCTAGTTAGTAAGGCGGAGGAATAAAGGGAACGATGGGCTGACCAATTAGAAGAACTCTTGAATCCACCACCACCACCACCTGCACTTCGTCCAGAAATACCACCTACAGCCGCTCAATTACGGGTGAACATAAATCCTCCAACACAAATGGAAGTCCTGAACGCCATAAAGCTACCGAAATGCGGGAAAGCAGCATGACCAGATGGGATCCCGCCAAAAGCACTGAGAACAGACGCGGAGACAACAGCGGACATGTTGACACCACACCACTATTGCAGAAGGTGTGGAAGGAAGGGAAGGTACCTGCAGATTGGAAGAAGAGTTACCTTCTCAAACTGCCGAAGAGGGGTGACCTAAGCCTTCGGAAGAACTGGCGCGGAATCAAGCTCCTGTCCACCCCGAACAAAATATTAAGCCGCATCATCCTGGAGAGACTGAAGGATGCACTGGATTCAAAACTATGACATGAACAGGCTGGCTGGATTCAGGAAGTACAAATCTTATGCGGATCAAATTGCAACGCTACGCATCATCGTAGAAGAGAGTATAGTATGGCAGTCAGCTCTCTACCTAATCTTCATCGACTTGGAGGAGGCCTTTGACAGCGTCGACTGAGAGGTATTTTGGAAACAGCTTCAATACTACGGAATACCGAAAACCTTTATCAACCTCATTCAACAACTATATGAAGACGCCAAATGCCAAGTAATACACAACGCGAAGCTCAGTGATGCTTTTGAAGTGAAGACAGGAGTGAAACAGGGTTATCAACTATCCCTCATGATATTCCTGGTTGTGGACGACTGGATCATGCAACAAGCAGTGAGGAGCGAGAAGAGGGGGATACGCTAGCTGGAACGCGGAAAAGAACCTAGAAGACTTGGATTTCGCCGAGGACGTATATCTGATGTCGCACAAACTTGAAGATCTACAGGCAAAAACTAACAAGTTGATAGAAGAGGCAGCGAAGACGGGACTTCAAGTGAATATAGAGAAGACAGAAGTGATGAAGATACGGCACCAACAACTCCAACAACAACAAACTCCAATCACCATCAACTGGAGAAACTTAAAGGAAGTAACCTCCTTCACCTACACCTATCTAGGAAGCACTGTTTCAACTACAGGTGGCACAGGCACAGACGAGGATGTCAAAGTCAGAATCGGTAAAGCAAGATAGGCGTTGATTAGCCTGAAACCAGTGTGGAGATCTTCTGCAATCAGCATACAGTGTGAACAAGATCCGGATTTTCAACACCAACGTCAAGTCAGTGCTTCTGTATGGTTCAGAGACTTGTCGCGTTACGAAACGGATTTCCAACAAATTACAGACATTCATCAACAACTGCTGCCTACGCTGGCTCTATAGTGAAGATCAGATCAGATGGCCAGAATAGTGAGAATAAGCAACAAGGAACTCTGGGAATGAACCAACCAATAACCTATCGCTCAAGAAATGTACAGAAGGAAGTGGAGATGGATTGGGCATACACTGAGAAGGCCGACTGGGGACATCACGTGTTAGGCCCTCGAGTGGAACCCAGATGGGAAGTTGCGAGTTAGTCGTGCGAGGAGGAAATGAGAGGTTGTGGGGTGTCGTGGATCCAGGTTCAAAAGATTTCAGAGAACAGAGCGCATTGGAGACGTGCTACTGAAGCCCTATGTTTCATTAAGAACTCAAGGGACAAATAATAATAATATCAAAGTCTGAATGATCGAAATCTATATTTTCCCAATTAAATTAGGACCCCCGAATGCCTATGAGTGCAAAGGAAGTTACATCATGCGGTTATGTGCCTCATATGTGTTCATTTAAGGGGAATCAAAAATTTTAGTGAGTTCATACAGAAAAATATTAATCAAGTAGCATTATATGAAACCACTTGGTTAACAGCTTGACTGATTTGCGACTACTGTACGACCAGGAGTCACGCTAAGAAAGGTTGAAAAGTTTCGTTGTTTTATGCCCGTTAAAAGTATCCTTAGCAGACAACCTCGATACTAACAAGCTTTAAAAACTTGGTGATCAAAGCCGAATAAAAATGTGATCAGCAGTCAGGTCTCGTAGCTTAGTTGATGGAGCATGGGGTCGGAAACCCGATGATCGCTGTTTCGAATCCTACCACAGCCCAGATTTTCACTGAACAACTTGATTCATATTATATCATAAGGTAAAAAAAACACTCTGTAGCACTGCACTTATCAGCTTTTATAATATATTCTGTCGTTTGAGAAGCTAGATTAGTATGAAAGAAAGACATTATCAACACAGGAACTGACATTATATGTGACTGTCTAAGTTATCACACCCATCATGAGAACATCAGGGCAGAATGTTATAGTGGAGGAGAGAAAAAAATGAATGATATATAGTAGTAAGTAATAAAAATAGCAAGATGAATTAAAGATATGGAAGCATATTCACTACAGTGATCAGTTCTGGACTATATCAACTATAGTTTCTAACCATCAGCTTTGGCTATCTCCTGCATCACAACCTGGAAATGTGCACATTTTTTACACATTTTGGATTAGTGATCAAGGGTCTCATGGTCTTATACCATGTTATGTGCTGACCACTCTTCATTTTATTCATCTAACCTCGCATCGAAAAGCATTCAGTACTTGGATAGACTATGGCAAGGCAGGTGTAAGACATGATCAAGCCATCTTGATAAAGAACATTTTATAACTATTTCACGGATTATTTCGCACTTTACCTCTACAAAGTTCACTTCGTGGTTCTACCATATGAGGGCTATACTACAGAGGAAACAGTTGTGCGAATACCTAAAACCGTTCTACAGCTACAGAAAACATGAAATTGTAATTCTGAGCAGAATGCTTAATCCTTGACAACCAGTCGGTAAAAAAATAGTTGGACCCTGTATATCCGTAATAGAATTTCCTAGACTGCAGATGCACTAGGGGCTGATGCTAGTCCCTAGGTGGCTGAACTATAGCTGTTGTGCTTAACATCTTGGAGAAAAAAAGTTATCTGATGGTTAATAACAGCTTTTTTTCCCCTATTTTCTCTATCTTCGAAAAAGGTTTTCTGGAGTTGATTAATAATATGCTAACAACTGGCTCAGTTCCTGCCTTGTTTGCTGATGATGAACGAGAGTCTATAACAGGCCAGTTAAGGGATGAATCTGTTGCTGCTGGATTTGCACCAACTCGTGAATCTATCTGGCAGTATTTTATACAAAGATGTGCATCAAATTTACACATTATCCTGTGTATGAGTCCCGTGAGTAATATTCTATTGAACATTGAATTGCCTTATAATATCAGTCTTTTAACAGTATCACTAAATTACATTAAAGCTTTGTCAAGTTCATATTAAAATGCATGTATTATAGAAGATTACAATCTCATTGAGCATAATATTTTGATCATGCAATTATTTAAAGCAATACTATCCGTAACATAAAACACCTTTGCTTACCGTTTATTCGCCTGTTCTGCATAAGGAGAAATTCTAAGCGATAGATATTTCTGTTGAATACTGGTGACCATCTTTGATGCAACTTTAAAAGTACGGAGGTCTGATTTATTTTCAAAGATCACTGTTCTCGCTAAATGAGTCATTCAGCGATTAAGTTGTTTACGATTAAGATTTGTAAGCCAATTCGGTAAGGAAGGCGGTTCCTTTTGTTAAGATATATTTTAATTGCAACAAAATGTGAAGGATGCGGTCGGTTGGTAGACTGAATCAGAGTGACTTTAAAGGCTACCCTAGTACAAATTGAAATAACCATCTAGACCTTTCTATTTTAATCTGCCTTTCCAGCTGAAATAAAGAAACTTATTTAGGTATACGGCTTGGTCAGCAAATTAGTCAACTGAAGTAATGCACTATTAGTTACGAGTATAGAATGGCAGTCATCACTCTACCTCAACTTCATCGACTTTGAAAATGCCTTCGATAGCATCGACAGAGAAGTAATTTGGCAGGCAGCTGCTTCAACGCTACGGAGTGCCACAAATCTTTATCAACCTCGTTCAACAGCTATATGCTATATGATGCTATATGCCAAATGATTCACAACTGAAAGCTCAGTGATGCCTTTGAAGTGAAGACAGGGGACATAAGTAAGACAAGGCTGACTAATATCACCGACGATCTTCCTGACTGTGGTCGACTGGACTACATCATGCAGCAAACCGTGAGGAGCGAAAAGAGGAGCATACGCTGGACCGGTGAAGAGCCTAAGAGATTTGGATTTTGCCGGTGATGATGATGTCTTGTGTCTGCAGGCGGAAACTAACAAGCTGACAGAAGAGGTAGCAAAGACAGAACTTCAGGCGAATGTAGAGAAGACGGAGGTGATGAAGATACCTAACAAACAACAGAAAGAATAGCAATAACAATTACAAATACCAATCAACATCAGCGAGAGAAGTCTAAAGGAATTTGTCTCTTTCAACTACCTAGGAAGCATCGTTTCAACTACAGGTGGCACAGATGAGAACGTCAAAACAAAGATCAGATAGACAGCAAGAGAGGCCTTCATTAACCTGAAACCAGTGTGGAGATCTACTGCATTCGGCATGTGGAACAAGATCCGGATTTTCAACACCAATGTCGGTCAATTCAGTACTTCTATATGGTTCAGAAACGTGGCGCATCACGAAAGGCGTTTCCAACAAATTACAGACATTCATCAACAACTGCTGCCTACGCTGGCTCTATAGTGAAGATCAGATCAGATGGCCACAAAGAATAAGCAACAAGGAGCTCTGGCTGGCTGGCCGGCAGCGAACCAACGAAGAGCCTGCTGCCCAACAAATATGCAGAAGAAAGTGGAGACGGATTGGATTTAGCATACAGTGAGAAGGCTGACTGGGGACATCACGCGCCAGGCGAGGTTGTCTAGTGGAATGGAAATGGGAAACTACGAGTTGGGCGTCCGAGGTGAGGGTGACATGGAGGAGATCGTGCTAGGTAGGAATGAAGGCTTCTGACCTGTCGTGGAGCCAGGTTGGAAAGATTGCAGAGAAGAGAGTGGAATGGAGACGTGCTACTGAAGCCCTATGTTCCACTAGGAACCCAAGGGGAAAATAACAATAATACTGTTAGTTACGAGGGTTGGGTGCGATCACTGTTAGCCACTGATAAGCTTAATAATTAATATTCTGTGTCCTCACCACTCCTTTTTTCCACCAAGTTATATTGATTCAGGGGTGAAGGCAGTCGCACTAGTGAGGTAAGCTACAGCTAAGAACTCATAAAGTACCATGACCTCGCAATCACCTTTGTCTGTGCATATACTAATCATATTCTGCTTTCCACATGGGTCATATCGAAGAAACAGAAGGCAACTTGGCAAGCGTATGTATATTGCGAAGAATTGGAATGGTAGTGGTTACATATGGTACTCCTTGCACTAACGCAGCCATTTGCAAATATCTCCGTTTCCTCTCCTCTCCGTTCTTGTCATGACTTGCTTTTGACCGGCTCTTCATACACTCTTATCAGCAGCATCACCTGTAATACGCCTGTGTTGTCCCCTGCGTTGCTCTTGGCAGAAGCTTTACCTATTGCCGGTAATTCCCTATGATTCCTGCCACCCTCTCGATATATACTACTTAAATCCGTTGTTATCAGCAACGCCCACTACAATACCATGCTATCTCTTACTTCTCTTGTCTTTTGTATTTTTCTAGAATCCCTATCGTCGACTGTTAATTCTCATTGCTTATTTTAGCGACGTCATATTAAACACTGCTTTTATATGTTCTTCATAGGTATAACACAACACATAAACAGTTGAACTACAGAATAACTTTTACTATAATCCTAAGATATTTGTGGATTTAAAATTATTTATTTATTTATTTATCAGGGAAAACAAAAATTATTCGCAAACTTAACAATTTTTCGATACATTACATTATTAATGTTAAATTAGTAATGAACTAGATAACCAAAATATAGTAGGTTTTTAACAAGACTCAAAGGTTATAAAAAAAACAGTTTTACGCAGAAATACAATTATAACAAATGTAGACTACACGTTAATCTTCATAGAATCTAATAAACCGCTGTTACTCAGTTCATAAATGGAGGAATCGATCAAAAAATTAGTAAAGTTTTTAACTGAATCACTTTAAGATGAATAAATCTATCAAGGAAAAGAAAATTAGTACTGGTATATCTATTTCGTCCATCGTTATTCTTACCTGCTTTTTTGATCTGGTCTGTTATGTGTATACATGAATAACAAAGAAACAATATCAACAAGAGTACCTGTTTATGGGATAGGTATTTCACTTCCATCTATTTGATTACCGTAACGTTCTGTTGGTAGACAGAAGTGTTTGAAGGGTATTGTCAAACAAGTATAGTCTTAGTAAAGAGCGATTTCTAATAATGGCGAGAAAAGGGTGTCCAAAGGCTCTTTTCAGTCTCTGTCAGATGATATACCGTAGAGTAACAAAATCGGCCTTCAGCATCCTAAAACTTTATATTCCTGACATCACTATATCATGAGTTTAAAAAAATGTGTAAATGAATAGAAAAATGAAATGAATAAATTACATAAGTTTTCCATGGTGTATAAACAGAGTTTTGTTGGTTCATTGTTCAGAGATATGCTCACATCTTGTTTGATACCAATAATAAATACAATTTATCAATTTTGTTTCCTTTTCATTGATTGATATATTTTAATACTTAGGTTGGTGATACATTACGAACACGGTGTCGTAATTTCCCTGGTGTTGTTAATAATACAACTATTGATTGGTTTTTCCCTTGGCCTGAACAAGCTCTTTATGCTGTAGTCAATGTACTCATACCGGAACAATTCACTCTTGTACCTCAACAACATCGTAGTTCTGTAATCGATCATATTGTTGCTTCACATCAAAGTGTACATGGATATACACAAGAATTTGCTCAAACTCTTAGACGAGTCAATCATGTTACGCCAAAACATTATTTAGATTTTATCAACACTTATAAAAGGTCAGTATATCATTAAACTTTATCCTGGAGTATCTTGCTTTTTAAAAAAATCAACTCGATATCATGTTCATGAAGTTTAGGAAGTTAGTAACTGGTTGGTTATTGTATTACTGTGAAGTTGTTATTGTTTTCTAGGATAAAATTCAAAAAGGATGATTAGCTTGTTTGCCCATAAAATATTATGCTACCAAGTGTATGCCAAAATTCTTCAGTTAGTGAAGTCATTGATAAACTGATCGATTACAGCAGAAAAACAATTAATAGCTGAGAATCAACCCGACAGCTGCCATATCGTATTTTGAGACTCTTTGACAGTTATGACTTGAAATAACTTGATTGGTGAAATCCTAAACCTTGAAGTTTCGCAGTCAACATATGGCCATCCAATCACTAAGTTAGAGCTTAATGGCTAATATTTCCTGTGAGTAACTACCTTTTCACTCGACCCAGCCGACTTCACAAGTCACAGCATTTTATTCAAACTTCGACAAGCCTTCTGAAAGCTAACTTTTGTCATTAGTTCAGGAGAATTTACGTCATATCAGCCGACAATACATAACTACTGGGGTTGGTGCCACACGTAGATCATGTGGTATGAATTCATTCATACTTTCTAATTACCTCTGGTCCTGATGTCAATGCCCGGATGGATCATGCGTACGCACAGCTAAAGAGTCCCAGACCAGGACGGAAAAGCTGTTCAGGGCTCTTCGGTTTTCAATGGTTCTCCAACTGATATCAGTCCATGATTAATATCATCTTGATATTCTAGTTTAAGTTTGCGTAGAAAAAGTGATGAGTGAACAATGGAGAAACGTAATGTGGTTAGATCCACAAATTACTTCTTATATTCATTTATATCCCAAAAATATCATGATCAAATGTTCTTAACCCTTTCGTGCCATTTTCTTTTTGTCTCATGGCTTTTTAACAGGATAGATATTCTTACTGTCATTTTATTGTAGTACTTTGTATTGCTAAGTTGATGTAAGGTATTGTAACTTGAACCAATATGTAACTACTTTGCAACCTACGTATCAAAAATGAAAGAGTAAAATTTGAGCACTGTGGTAAACTGCATTTTTGCTTCATTTTGGATATTTCTGTCTGGATGTCTGGTATTCAAATAAACTGGAATAGCTCCAACCGTATTTAGTATAACCGAATGTGTATTACATGTAAACAGACTTGTGCACGTCATTTATCATTTACCAACAAGTAAGGGTAGCCATTGTCTCTGTAACGTGGCAAGCATAAACTTCGGCATATTATCTATGAATTCTATATTACTTAATTTACAGTGTGTAATAGTGAAAAATTAGCGAAACATTCCAGCACCTTTTTGTCATCTTTCTCTGTTGGCTGCAATTAAAAGTTTATCACTGAACAACCTAATAAAGGATGCTGAAATCATCTTGGATAGTGTTGACCAACATTACGTAAGGTAAACACCGAATTTCTATACGATGACATCTTGGCAAAAAGATAATTTGATGCAACATATGAAGTTAATCAAAGTACAGGTAGTTGCTACATTACGAAGTGTTTATAATTGAAATCTTGCAGTGAAGGACTTACTTTTATCAATGTGAATAAGTACACATTTACTATGCATAGGTTTTTGTACTATCTTATGAGCCACAACTATTTTACGACTGCTACTAATATCAGCTATATGCTTAAACCTTTATTACGGAACAACGGCTTATGCTTATAATCCATCGATTAAAAGTCGAGTAATTGTACCAATGAAAAACGCTTTTCTTCTTAATTAAAACGGAAGCATACAAATACATGCACAGTTAATTTCTTAGAAAATTGATGTTCACTTTAAAGAGATCCCTTGTTTCACCATAGATGCTTCTTCCTCTTTCCTCTACATAAAGATTACTAACACAGAAAGACGCTGAAAATGAAAAGCAAATTAATCGTTTACAAAGTGGTTTACAGAAATTAGCAGAAGCATCTGTACAATTGGAAGAGTTGAATGCGAAATTAGCTGTACAACGCATTGCTGTAACTGAGAAAACCCAAGCTTGTGAAAATCTGTTATCTGAAATCACTAACAGTAGTCAACTGGCTACAGAAAAGAAAGAGATGGCCGTTACAAAAAGTAAAGAAATTCAAGTTCAATCAGTCGAAATTCAACAAGAAAAAGTAATTGTTTCCTACATATTTTCTTGTATATTGAATAGCTGGATCCTTTCAATCATTTTATGTTACTCTTCAAAGGTTTTCAGTACGTATCTAACTGACTAATCTGTAGTTCGTATTCTTGATTTGATATTTTCACAAATTGATCACTTTACAGCGACTGATTTAGCTGTCAAGTTTTAAGTGTTTATCAGTCATCAAAGTCTTCTGATCAGATATGAATTTTGGGTTCATTTTCGACGCAAACAGAATGATGTTGGTTTGGCCCAACTTTCGGACTCGAACTTAATGCAAGTACCTTTCGAAGACAAGATTTATTCGACTGTTGTTTTCTATTTAAGATAGAACGCATCTTCTTCACTGTAGTTTTGACCACTTGTATCTGAGTTAAGAAATACGAGGATGGGATTAAGTTGAATGGACCTGCTGATATATCCTTGTTAATAGTTATATGGGTGAGGGGACACTTCGATAATTACCTTCAGTTTCCACCATCGATAGTCTCTCAGTTCTTCGGTATATAGAAGAGGTGATAAGATGATGTAGGATGCATTGCAACGTCAAAATATACACAAAATACAACGGTACACATACACATATATTTACAGTCTATTGTCTATTTTTAAGCCTTTCTAAAATATTATACCCCATTAATTTTGCCGCTTCAGTCAGCCTTATATTTACATCTAGGTTGATTGCGAAAAGCTTCAAGGACTTTAGACTTCCTAAGATCTTGGCAATCTTATTGTATATTAAAACACTTACCGCATTCTAAAAATAGTAGTTTGTCTTATTAGAAAATTAATACCACTCACTGTTTAATTATGGAACTATATAACCAGAAGAAAGATGAAATTTTATCTTGTAATCTACAAGAAGTGTTAATCACTAAATTAAGTTTTGACTGGTGATAGCGTGTAGCACGTCAGTTTTAACTTGAAGTGTACTATTGTTTGATCGGATAAAGAGCACTCTAAACTGCTAATGATGTTTGAAACAAATAGTTTAATGCAAAGTTACAATACAACATGTGGATAACTTTCTCAAAAGTATTCATTCAATTCTTTTTACCCATTTGAAAAGTCATTTAATAGTTACTTTTTGAGGTTAACTGGCCTTTACTTGTTTGAAACTTTAGGATTAAACCATTGCGTTGGGCATGTTTCAGATTAGTTATCCGAATGAGCCACCGTACTCCCCTTTATTCTGGTTGGTTAGCTCAGTAATCTCGAATTGACTGCACTAGATTCTATGTCACTTTATTCCCTAACTGATCACATTGTTAGTATTTTCTTCAGATAAAAAGGAGTCGATGATCGGCTAGACTGCTTGTATAGGTGTAAAACGCACATCTGGTGGTTGCAGCGATGGCTGTTAAGTCCAAGTCTAAGTGAAAGTGCTCTCACTGATATGCAGAGATATTCAGCTGACGAACCCCAAATAGCCCAGAACATGTTTCTGAGACTCTAAAAGTAGTTATCAACAAAGAAATAAAGTAATGATGAGATGTCTTAGCATCTTCCAAAGAATAATTTAAATATTCCCATTGCGATAATTAGAAAACAGAGTTTGAAGCGAATGCGTATTTTCGTCAGGCGTCACAGTTACATTTGAGAACTATTCAGTAGTCATTTAATACCGTAGCAATTAAATTTTTAAAACCTAATTTATGTATGCAGAAAGTGTTTATTCGTTCCTTTTCCCATCCATGGCCTCCAAATTCAACCAAAATATAACTGCTGTAATTTCCTTCCCCGTCACCCGAATAAATGTAAATATTATACCTTATCATTATCATTTTATACTTCTCTCTTATTTTCATTATGGATTAAGAATTTTAACATTTTATTATCTAATCGTTATGCTACAATAATTTTATTCCCCTCTATTCCTGCACGCACAAAATTCACTCACACACCTACAAGAATTGACTGCTGAGAATATATAAACTTTCCGAGATTTTGTTTTTGTTATTATTGCCTTTATTGTTTTACTCTAATCCATATAACCGAATTCAATGACCATAATATTGGTAATGAATGACTATGTTGAATAATTTGTAAATGTGACTGTAAGACCTGACGAGAATTTACCGGGAATACGTATTCTTTTCAAACTCTGTTTTCTAATCCTCCAAAGAAGCCTATAAACTGTTGTAGACTGTTCAGTTTGATTCAGTGAAGTGATAAGTGTGAAATCAAAATATTCAGCCATGAATCATATCACGTAATTTGAAGGTTTATACTTTTCATTCATGTTTGTTCACTTAACTCTATTCATTAGAACGGTTATGAAGCTGTATCTGAAATATACAGTAAAAATTAATTGATTACTCAGTTACTTTTCTAAGTATTAATTGTCCTTGAAGTAGTAGATTTTGTTCTTAGTTATTCTCGTCATCTTGGAGTAGTGAAAGAGTGTGTCGTGATTCTTCTAGTAGTTTACGTGCTTTGTTTTAAAACCTGCAATGAAAATAATCCTCAGAAAGCTCTGTATATGAACAATTAGGGTCAGAGAAAAATAAACCTAGTATATATTAACTATACTACTTTGATCAGTAGTATTTTATACATAAGTTGGTTATGTTTCGTGCCCATTTAAACTTTCGCGCAGACACACTACTTTAGTTAATTTTGAGTTACCTTTGTTAATCAATGCATTTCTAGTCAACGTCACATGTTTATTTTTCATATTACACGTGATTTTGTTGTGTCTTTTTTTCATAGACTGAGGCTGAAACAGCATTGGCTGAAGCATTACCAATCCTAGAACAAGCCCGTTTAGCCTTGGATGATTTAGATAAATCTGATGTAACTGAAATCAGATCATTTGCCAAACCACCAAAAGCTGTACAAGTAGTCTCTGAATGTATATGCGTTTTTAAAGGTTTCAAAGAAATTAGTTGGAAAACAGCTAAAGGAATGATGTCTGACACCAATTTCCTTCAATCGTTACAAACAATGGATGTTGACAATATAACAGCGAAACAGTCATCAACCGTCAAAGGTAAGAATGAATAATCACCAACCAACAAATGGTTGCTTTTAAAGTGTCTTTTCTGTCTAACCTAGGTTGGAAAATTTATATTAACAAAAGGGTGTAATGATGGAAGTTGACAAAAAAATTCACCAAAGGCAATAAATATAAAGCCGATGGTTTGAATCCATCTATGGTTCAAGTCTTCTTTAAACTGCAGTTGTTGTCAAGCCTCAGAACAAATAGCCTTATTTCAACAATTTATTTTGATCACCATTACATTTATTATGCCTAAAAGGTGTTCTGAAGTAGATGTGGTGTCATCAGACGTCTTGATAACTCATTTTTCAGTAACATGAGAAAACATGCTACTAACTTAGTAGTATGCACATCAATAGTCAAAACATTTTTATTTCCTTTTGTTGAGACATGTCTTGACTATTAAATAAGACCTTGGTAATGAGATTAATAGCTACTTTTAAAGTTACCAAATGTGATTGATCGTTTTTATCCTTGAACTTTTCAATATAGGTGCTTTTATACTGGCTTTAACATTATTAGTCTTTTTCTGAACAAATGGAGCAACACAGCTTCAGATTTGCTCCACGACTCTAAATGTCGCTAATTGAATCTTACTTAAAGGTGTGGAAAATAATTCATCTAATAATTGAGAAAATGATTGCGAAAATTTGAAAAACCAGTGTGGAAATGAATCGCAGCTTTGGCTTTATATCAAATTCTGTCATCACTGTCACTATATGGAATGAAAACCTTATCTTTGTAGTTTATAATCCTAGACTTTCAAACAGCGGGTTTTTTTTATAGAGGCTGAATTAAACCTAAAATATATCATAAAGGTCCAACTTGGCAAACAGGATTAACCTATTAAATAAAGTAATATTTCAGGCACTTCACGAAGTGTTATTTGGGTGGAGGCAGTCGACAAGAACCTCTGGACGTAGGTTTTGTGGTTGTTTGCACTAGTCAGCGGGGCGAATCTGCACCCTGGCCCGAATAGCTCAGTGGTAACGTCGCTAAAAATAACACTGGGTGACGTGAGTTTTATTTTCATATGGGACAATTAGTTCCGTTGAAGTTGCAAATACACCTTACTGACGAGTGCCAGTAAGAACGAAACCTAAGTCCAGGGCTTCCTGCTGATTGCTTTCATCCAAGTAACATCTATCAAAGTGCATCGCGATGCTGAGCTGCCTAATCTGGTGGCCATATTGCAAAATGATCAAGAGAATTCGATCAGCACATAGGACTAGACAATATGAAGTTGGTGACCATCCAGTGACCAATCAATGTGCTTCATTGAAGTGCAAGGAATAATTTCGACCTGAAGTACTAGCCTTAGTTGTAATGTATATAAAAGATAACAATAAATTATTTTTGGTGATGGGCTACTACGTAGACCTAACTTATGCCTTCCGTCGTCGTTATATACAGTGAGCTGACAAGTTTTCTACCATCTCAAAAAGAAAAGCAAATAGTTACAATTATTGGGATGTTCGTTCCAAGTCTCTTCTGAGGTTGAACTCATGCCTTCACATGTCATGACATCCAAATGCCTTTTATCTCCATATTTCTCGTACTCACTCTAACCTTTCTTTCACATTTCGTGATTTTCACACAACTTGTTCTTGATTTACATCTTGTCACCCCCTATCTTGATATGTTCATATCAGTTGTATTAACTTGAACTGTAACCCAATAGTTCTAGGTCCCATATTGATATAGAACTAGTCCTGTCTAGCCACCGAGTTATACGTCCCTTACAAGTATGACTACTCATCATTGTTATCAACAGTTACATTTGCTTAGTCTTCATTTCACATACCATTGCTATTCCCTGAAATACAATTTATCAAACCTTATATTTAAGTACCTAGGGGGAATGATCGTTTTCACAAACAGTTTCTTGAAAATTATGATCTTCAGGAATCTCTTTGAATTTTAGTTCTGATATAGTTTTAATGGTTTTTCATAAAGCTACAGACAAATCTTTATCTAATTGCCTGTCCTTTATTTCTTTCGCATTATTTAGACTATTTGGATAAATCTAAGGTTACAATGGATGAAATGAAAAGTGTTAGTAAAGCTGGTACAGGATTGTTAAAATTCGTTGTAGCTGTGCTTGGCTACAGTGAAGTTGCACGTGATATTAAGCCTAAACGAGATAAAGTGGCTAAGTTAGAAAAAAACTTTATGCAGGTTAGTTTATTAATTTCTTCTGTGCAATAGGATGAATTATCCAGCCAATTTTACTAATCTCACATTTTTACAGCCTTTCTACTAGTTGTAATTTTATCTTACAACAAAAAATGTATAAGTTGGAAAGTAATGATAGATCATGACCGAGATAGTTCATTGGAGTACATGTAAACGTATATTCTTCGAAAAAGTTGGGGAAATGAACAATAAGTTTGTTTCCGCAGGTTGTTACTGTGTTTGTTTATATTACTATAACATATTTTCTAGAGTGCTGTGTTCCCCCTACTTAAGTTGAAATATCTGTCTAACAGATTATTTTTACTTGATTTAATCAGCAGTTGTAATAGTGGTTGGTTAACATCCATGAAGTACAAATGTGAAGGCACTCAATAAATTTGAAATCACTTCTGTTCCTATCGTTCTCAAATCATATTCGTTCACAAAAATGATGAGATCATTTACTTTTCGTCCCTAATCTCGACTCCTCATCACATTGACTTGTGTGATATACTACTGGATATGCTCAGATAGATTGTAATCGGAAAAATAATTCTGATATGTATGAATAAATATTATGAACGTATAGATGTATGCGGAAAAATTTATTTTCCCAATATTTTCATCATTTATAAAAACAATAAACGATACAAGGGAGTATTCATCATAGAGAACAAATGAAGCCTGAGAGCATTTGACAACTGTTTTATCCTAATATGAGGCTTGACGGTTCTGGCTTCTGACGATGGCAAGGTCGTGGATGTGTATCTTTGAAGAGCGCCATACCAGGACAAAAAGGCTGTAAAATATCTATGAGTTTTCGCTGGTTCTCCAGCTGCCGTCGGTTGGTGATAAACACATATCATCTTGGAATCAGCCTATCCTGAAAAACCTCTAAAATGACTAAAAAGTACAATGAAGAGGAGTGCTTAAGCTTGAGTAGAGGTTTGTTAAAATAAAACAAGAGGTGTTGATTGTAGCTCAATATTCTGGTAGGTGACAATCTAAACTTTGAAGCTAAAGATGCTGATTTTAAATCTCTACCGGAACACTGACTGAGAGTCTCAGATCTAACCACAATGAAATATCAATGATCAAAGACAGTATTCGGGATTCGATAAAAGCGAACTACATTCCAAAACAGGCTAATTTGGATTCTGTACTCAAATAAAGAATTGAAACGCTTTAAGTGTAAATAAAATCAGTATTTTATTGAACACTGTTAAACTATCAAAATAACTTTCATTTCTCTGCCTTTTTGTGTTCCTACATTACAGGCTAAAAAGGATTTAAATCGAATCAATACAGAATTATCAAATCTAGAATCTGAATTAATCAGTCTTAATCGTCGTTATGAGGAGGCTATGAGTGAAAGACTGAAGTTACAAGAAGAGACAGATATTATGGAGCGTCGTTTAGTTGCTGCAGATAAACTTATCACTGGTTTAAGTTCGGAAGAAATTAGATGGCTTAAAGATTTAGAAGTATTAAAAGTTAAACGGGTTAAACTGCTTGGGGACTGCCTCATCAGCGCTGCATTTCTTAGTTACGTTGGAGCCTTTTCATCAGAATTTCGTACACGTATGATATATGATGACTGGCAGACATGGTTACAAGAAAAAGAGATTCCATTGAGTGAACAATTTCGATTAGAAGATATTCTTACAAATGATGTAGAAGTATCGAAATGGAATTCTGAAGGTCTACCACCAGATGAGCTTAGTATACAAAATGGTATATTAACTTCACAATCTTCACGATTCCCTTTATGTATTGATCCACAGGAGCAAGCTCTTACTTGGATTTGTCATAAAGAAGAGACAAATCATCTAAAAATTGCTACCTTCAATGATCCAGACTTTCTTAAACAGCTTGAATTAGCTATACGTTATGGAATTCCATTTTTATTCAAAGATGTAGATGAATATATTGATCCAGTGATCAACAATGTATTGGAGAAAAATATTAAAGGTGACCAGGTAACTGAAAATTTGATTTCCTTATAACTCTATCAATAGGTAGTTTTATACCAATAGATAAAAATGGGATTTAACTGAGTTACTTGGAAGAATCATTAATTTTACCTGGTACACTCTGAAATATTTTGAAAAGGAAAAGAAATACATAAGCATAGAACAACAGAATATTTAGAATTCTGGTGTTAAATACTTAGTACATTCATAAAACTGGAACCAATTTTGTACTATCTCAGCTGAGATTATTTCTAACATAGATGTTGTAAAAAAGTTGCTTGCAATTAGTTTAAATTCAGTTTTATCTAGTAGTGCTACAAAAATGAAATGCTCAAATTATGTTGTTGCTTCTTGGGCCTGAGTCCCAGAGGGGAAAACATCCCTCACTAGGAGGCAGATACATCCAGCCAATGAGTCCCATGTAAGCTGAAACTCGTCTCAGATTCCACTCCTAGCCACTATTTATCATTAAGGCTTAAATTATGTTTTGAATTTAGATTAAGACAACAAAACAGCTGGTACGCTTGGAAACCTGTATATTTATTGCGAATATTAGGTCATCACTGAAAATTACCTGCCGTTTGGCATAGAATTGAGGTGAAAAAAGCCCAGTGGAAGACAAAGAATCCGATGTGATATTATTTAATTATACAGCTGTTTATTAACCTACAGTTTTAGATGTCATACAGCATCGGTCAAAATCGATTACAGTACACCAGATTCATTCACATTTTATTATGAGTAAAATACTAAAGTTTTATCCTTATCCTGTCTTTCCTTTGTATTTCAATATTGTTCCTGATTCACCTTATAATGCAATTTCTTAAATTCTTTTGTTCAACACCTTTAACCAATTTACGTTAGACTATTCAGTTATTCAAAAGTTTTCTTATCCTTCGGAATAAAAGGTAAACTTCCTACAGTATGGATGCATGATTAACGTTGGTTAATAGATATGGAGTGTGATATTTTTAAAAATCCAAGTATACGTTCAAGATTTCAAGATAATTGAAATCTTCAGTTATCACTGGGTTGTTTTCTACATAAATATAAGAGTATTTCCAGTTCAACTGTCAGCATATAGCTAATCTCTTTCGATATCAAGGATCAAAATACAGTCCACAGCACAGCTGCATCACTTCGCTTACTGGCCACTTTGCAAGACTTCATCAACAGACCTCGAACAGTGCTACTATCAGCTGATGAGGGATTTGTGTACAGTTTAACAGGAAGTTAGTCGTAATCCGAACGGCTTAGCAACTGAATCTCTGACTTTAGAACTGAGTGATAGGTGGTTTGGATCACCATTGGGACATTAGTTTCCTCATGGTTGCAGATGTCTTATGGATAAATACCAACAAGCTCAAGCTCTAGGTTCACAACTTTCTGCCGATCAACCTTCAGTACCTAGTACTACAAATTAATCATTTTTTATATAATTTTAAAGTGTAAGAATGTTTGAAGACAGCCACTTCAAAATATCATTTAATTTTCTTTAATGAATGCTTGGTAAACAAGTCTTCTACACACGTAAACTGCTAATCTAGATAATATTTGATTTTATCTCCCTTTTGTTCCTACATCGTTATAAAAGGAAAGACAAAAACAATGTTAAGCCTGGCATATAATTGTGTCACTTCAAATTGCCATGGTTAATATAAAAATAATATCTCGACGGAAGCCAAACCGAGGAAATCGTTAGAAATAAATGTGACAGCATAACTTATCGTAAAAAGTTGCAAGCCTTTCTGATACACAAGTGCAATTTTCATTATTCAATACTGGCTTATAGCAAAAATTTCGTCGACATACCTCGAACAGAAAGTATAAACATCAATCGCATTTGTTACATTGGTTATTTAGAAGTGTAACACAGATTTTCCGACGATAATAAGTACCACTTGTTTTGTAGCAAATACTGCATCCATCTGTCTGTACATAAGTCAAGATCAAATCTGAAAACCGTCAAAACACAAAGATGATATATAATTTAGCCACATTTTTAGAAATGATATTTATTCTATCTATTGACATTATATCTGTTGGGCCAAACAGAGGTATTTTAATCGGTGAAAACGGATGTCTTATAATGTCACGAGGAGTGAGAGGAAGATGGCGAAACAGAAGATAAGCCAGTGCAGCGCAGTGCAGGAATGAACAAGGAAAAGAGGAACTGAACACAACCTGTAAAACACTACACTGGAAAAGGAAATGAAGAAGAGTGCGCGGAAAGACAAAGGACGCTTCTACGACACATTGGCAAGTGAAGCAGAACAAGCTGCAAGCTAGTAAGAGGGACCTGACAACACTATATCAAATAACCAGGTTACTATCTGGGAGAGAAGAAATCAACACGGATGAAACCAATGAGAGATAGTGAAGGAGAGCTAGCTAGCAAAGAGGAGAAACAAAGGAAACGATGAGCCGAAAATCTCCTGAATCAACCACCACCACCACCTGCAACTCGTCTGAACATACCAGAGGCAGCCCACCCACAAAACTATCAGTGAACACAAACTCTCCGACAAAAGCAGAAGTAAAGTCCTGAACGCCATAAAATTGCTGAAATCCGAGAAAGCAGCATGCCCAGATGGAATTCCACCAGAGGCACTGAAAACAAACTCAGAGACAACAGCGGATATCCTTACACCATTACTGCAGAACTTTTGGAAGGAAGGAAGGAGGGAAAGGTACCTACCGATTGACTGGAAGATGGGCTAGCTTGTCAAACTCCCAAACAATGCTGACCTGAGCTAAGTCTTTGCAGGAACTGGAGTGGAATCCTGCTCCTGTTCACACCAAGCAAAGTATTAGGTCAAATCATCCTGTGGAGAGCAAACAATGCATTGGATTCAAAATTACAACTGGAACAGGCTGACTGGCAGGCTGGTTGGCTGGCTGGCTTCAGAAAGAACAAATCATGTGTGGATCAAATTGCAACACTATGCAAAGATGTGCATCATGATAGAACGGAGCGTAGGATGGTGGTCAACTGGATCTTTACCTCAACTTCATCAATTTTGAAAAGGCCTTCGACAACGTCGACAGAGAAGTAAGTTGTCAGTCAGCTTTTTCAATACTACGGTTTTAGTACCACAAACGTTTATGAAGTTCATTCAACAGCCATATGCCATATGATGCTAGATGCCGAGTGATAGACAATGGGAAGCTCAGTGATGCCTTTGCAGTGAAGACAGGGGACAAGAGTAAGACAAGGTTGCTGCCTACTCTCACTGATGATCTTCCTTATTGTGGTGGAGTGGAGTGGAGTGGATCATGCACGAAAGTGTGAGTATCTTTGAGAAGATGGGCGTAGGCTGTTTGGCCAATTGAAGGACCCTAGGAGATTCAGATTTCACCGATGAATTGTGTCTAATGTCTTGTGGCACAAACTTGAAGATTTACCGGCGAAGACCAACAAGTCGGCAGAAGAGGCGAGGCCGCGAAGGAAGATGGGACTTCAAGTGAATGTGAAGAAGTCAGAAGTGATGAAGATACCCGAACACCAACAGAAAGAATAACAATAACAACTACAAGTACCAATCAACATCAACGAGAGAAATCTAAAGGAAGTTGTCTCTTTCAACTACCTAGGAAGCATCGTTTCAACTACAGGTGGCACAGATGAGAACGTCAAAACAAAGATTAGATAAACAGCAAGAGAGGCCTTCATTAACCTGAAACCAGTGTGGAGATCTACTGCATTCGGCATGTGGAACAAGATCCGGATTTTCAACACCAATGTCGGTCAATTCAGTACTTCTATATGGTTCAGAAACGTGGCGCATCACGAAAGGCGTTTCCAACAAATTACAGACATTCATCAACAACTGCTGCCTACGCTGGCTCTAAAGTGAAGATCAGATCATATGGCCAGAAAGAATAAGCAACAAGGAAGTGTGGCTGACTAACTGGCAACGAACCAACCAAGAACCTATCACTCAACAAATATGCAGAAGAAAGTGGAGACGGATTGGATTTAGCATACAGTGAGAAGGCTGATTGGGGACATCACGCGTCAGGCCAGGTCGTCGAGTGGGACCTGCATGGGAAACTATGAGTTGGGCGTCCGAGGCGAGGGTGACATGGAGGAGATGGTGTGAGGAAGAAATGAAAGCTTGTGTGCAGTGGTGGATTGGAGTTAAGGAGACAGCAGAGAAGAGAGTGGAATGGAGACGTGCTACCGAAGCCAACTAAGGAACTCAAGGGACAAATAATAATAATACATCTATTCCAATAAGAAGGAATTCCCAAGTTATTTTGGCAACATACTACTGCTGATCAATTACGAACACCTTGAAGCCCGTTTCAAGTCTGAAATGTATTCTTTCTTGGATGTCTTTATACTTGCAAATGTAACGTGTAACGAAATCAGCTGACTTTCGGTATTCAGATAGCGAGTGAGAGAAAAAGCCTTTCAGAAAACGAATACAGAAAATAAAAAATGTAGTTTTGTTAGCTCAGAATTGCCTTTCACATATCAATAGAATGATCTTACTATTTAATGGCATTAATTTCCTCCGATTCTGTAACAGTTTTCCCAGCTTTCCAGTTAGACTTTAATGTGGTGGAATATCTTGAGTACCACTTAGTTTTCCGAAATATGTATACTTTCTGTTATGTGACGTAGTTTCTCATCGTTGCTTATCCTCATTATGGAAAATCCACATCTCGTAGGGATAAGAATGCTGAGATGAAATTATTATGAAATGGCCAAACCTGTTCATATATTCATCGACACTTGATTTCTATTAAGTAATGTTATCTTTATTCTGTTTATCACCATAGAACTTGAAGTTTGTAATGGTTACATTTTTCTCCGTCTCTCTTATTTTATAGAATCGTGCCTATGTTATTCTTGGGGATAAAGAAGTTGACTATGATCCTAATTTTCGGCTTTATCTTAATACAAAACTATCTAATCCTCAGTATGGTCCAGATGTATTTAGTAAAGCTACAGTTATTAATTATACTGTCACTATGAAAGGTTTGGAAGATCAGTTATTAAGTGTAATTGTGAAATCAGAACGATGTGAACTGGAGGAACAACGTGAATCCCTTATTCGAGAAACAAGGTAAGTTTCTTTTTAAGCTCTGGTTTGTTAAGTATAAATAGAGTTCAGAAGATAAAAACAGAGCATAATTACTGTTGATAATCACCAGTCATTCAAGATCTTTCATTTGAGGTTTTTGACGTGCACTAAATGAAGTAGTTGGAGCACATTTTTCTTATACAGTCCCACCCTCCATTACGACGCGCAGCGATAACTGACGTACGATAAAGTTATAGATAATAGTTAAAGATAATCAAGTTTAGCCGTACTGCCAACTCATAAATCCAATGAGTGTTCGTCTGCATTGCGTAGGGACTTTTATACTACCTAATTAATATCCTGGATATTTATGAAACTGACTATGTAAACCGGTTAATGGCATGACCGTAAGTCCATCCCAGTTATATACAAGTATTCAGTTTTAACCATTTTCCAAATGGTGAAGTCTGTGCAAAATTTCAGTTATTTGTCCCTTCTCCTTCCAAACCTCCCCTTTTTAGTCTTTTTTGGCATCTCTTCTTTCATTTTTATTTCTTCTTTATGTGCCACTCGAAGGTGTAACAGTTTGAGTTTTTGTGCAATAGCTCATCTCGATGCTCCTGGCAGCTTGATTTTAAAAGATGACATTTACGTAATGGCTTCCAGAAACGATTGTATGCACGTTTTGCAACTCTCACTTTCACTAGTTGGATACTACCAGCATTGCTTAGCTTACAACTTCAATTCAAAGGACTGTGGAACATATGAATTATTATTTATTTATCCCTTGGGTTCCTAATGGAACATAGGGCTTCAGTAGCACGTCTCCAGTGCACTCTGCTCTCTGCAGACTTTTCAACCTGTCACCACGACTGCCCACAAGTTCTCATTTCTTCCTCACACCATCTCCTCCATGTCACCCTCACCACGGGCGCCCAACTCGTCGCTTCCCATCTGGGTTCCAGTATCCTCATAATCCAAAATGACAGATTTATAAAGTTGACAATGATATTGGTATTTTCTAGAATTTAATGAAACTTCAAAAGACTGATCACTTGACTTTAAGTCTACGAATCAAATGTAATATAGCTTCATAAGGTCAAGATGCCACTAGATTCAGCTGTGAAAGAGACAGAATCTTAGCAATAATTTTGGAGCCACAAATTAACTTGAAGTGACTACTATATTTCTACTCACTTTTGTTGATTCCACAACCACTCCATACTGTTTGGTTGAACTATCGTCAAATAGTAATAAAAATGATGATCATAACATTTGCTCACCTGCTTACTCGACTTCAATACACTTCTTCTTTTCTTTATCATTCTGTTTTCTTACATTGCTACTAGTCAAAATAAAAAACTTCTCAAAGACCTCGAGGATAGTCTTCTACGTGAATTAGCTACAAGCACAGGAAATATGCTGGATAATGTTGAACTAGTCGACACTTTGGAAGAAACTAAATTAAAGGCAAAAGAAGTGACTGAAAAACTAGAATTAGGTGCTAAAACTGCAACTGATATTGATATACTGCGTGATGGTTATCGTCCAGCTGCTAAACGTGGTGCTATTTTATTCTTCGTCTTATCAGATATGTCATCAATTAATTCAATGTATCAATATTCACTAACTGCATATCTAGATGTTTTTCAAATATCTTTGCATAAAAGTATGCCAGATGTGTTATTACAGAAACGTCTTCAAAACATCATTAATAAACTTACATATAATGTATATACATATGGATGTACAGGTAAGCCAAGAGCTTTTGTTTCGTTTTACAAGAAAATTTAACGTACCTTTTTTGAGTATTCGAAAACTACTTTTATGAGTTAATGTGATTTTGTGATATACGTCAATGTTGTATTCCTTACTGATACACTTCGCTAGTGAAGAATGCTTATCCATTCTAGGACAGACCGTTATCATATTTGGGCATTTACTAATTTCCTATAGTCGTTTGACTGGGAGTGATTAACTCCGAACATATAGAGTCAGTTGATATGCGGTCACCAAATTTTGTTCACAATAGAACATTCATCAAGCCATTGGTGTAAGATGCTAAAGACAAAACCTGACGATTCTGAGTTCCATTAACTACCTGTATTGACTTGTCGACGTATATTATTGAAGAGTCTCGAACAATGACAAGGCAACTTTCTGATATCACATGGTTTCAAGGGTTCTTTATTATTATTTATTATTTTTCCCTTGGATTCCTAGTAAAACATAGGGCTTCAGTAGCACGTCTCCATTCCACTCTCTTCTCTGCAGTCTTTTGAACCTCTCTCCACCACTGCCCACAAGCTTTCATTTCTTCCTCACACCATCTCCTCCATGTCACCCTCACCTCGGACGCCCAACTCGTCGTTTCCCATGCAGGTCCCACTCGACGACCTGGCCTGACGCGTGATGTCCCCAATCAGCCTTCTCAATGTATGCCAAATCCATCTCCAACATGGGTTGTTTAGTGAATGAAAAATTTGAAAATTGTCACTGCTCTAAATTATGTTTTTCATTAAATAATATTTTCTTGCTAATAAAAAATTATTGCACAGCCGGTATCCCACGGGCTCAGTTGAACATGTAACTTACGTCTTGGTAACCAATCAAAATGTTGTCTTTTGACCATTGGAAGGTCATTTATCGTCACCTTAGCAGGCCATATTGGATGACTTGTTTCATGCTGGCCGTTTTTGTTGTTGATTAATCCACACTACAAGCGTTGTTGACGTCCGCATTCCATAAATTTTACTCATTTTTCCTACATTTATCATGCTCATCATCATTATCAACATAGGACCAGGCATTACTGTGTAACGGTCCGAGTTGCCACAGCTCATATCACCACATCAAGTAAAAGGTAGTGAAGTGGAAGATGAAGAAAAGAAAATTTATCATGCTAACTTCGTTGGTTACCTGTATTGTTTACTGCTTTTATTGTTTCCGATAATTTGGCACACAGGTCAGTTACAAGTAGTGTGTTTACCACTCCATGTTATCAGGAATTCCTTGCATTGTCATATAAATACTCCGAAAGCAATCTTCTTAGCCTTCATACATAAGCTCTTTTAGCTTCATACGCTCCGAATACGCTGTGTTAGGAATCATTCTCCGCTCCTCTTCGTCAATAAATGAATGAGAGTCTAAAAGCACATCCTCAGCATCCTCTGTACATTTTTTTACTAAGTTATAGTATTCAGCAAAGATTCATCTATCGAATGAACGTACACATGTTTTCCTGCTGTATACACACAATTAATTCACTTTTGAGCACAAATGTTCCGATGAACACACAATCTCTTTTCTCATGTAAAAGAAGATACAGACAGTGCGTGATTGCAGATCACGTAGCATGAATCTACATGAGTAACAACAAAACTAACCATGATTTAAAAGACACAAACAGGGAATACAACAGTATATACATATACTCAAGAATGATGGTAACTAATTATCTTTCTTCAATCTTCCAACTATGTATTCACGGCATGACAACCACATATGCGGTGGTAACAACGAAATACTGAGCAGAATACATCTGATTTACTATTAATTCACACTATCAATAAATAACTCTCCTAAACAGGGCGACGATGGTACAACCAGTTGACCCGCAGAAGCCTAATTCTGACATGCCAAGTGTAACGCAGTTAGATAAGTCGATCTACTGCACAACAAATAGAACTATTCAGCAAAAAATATCACAATAAATGAAGAAATTCAATAAAATTACTGTCAAAATACTCGATTCAAACACTGCTTGAACGAAACAAGTGTCAGTCACGCCACATTACGCTTACATGACTGCAAGCTATGCACAGGCAGTGAATTATTTTAGTTTTCATCTTATAATGTTTATTCACTTGTTTTTACTAGCCTAGCCGAGGACTAAAATATTTTATGAAATGAAGAATTAAATAAAATTGGACTTTTTTTATTCTTCTTATTTTCGAATAAACAGGTATATTTGAAAAACACAAACTTCTCTTCAGTTTTCAAATAACTAGTAAACTTGAACTTAACTTGGGAAATTTAACCACAGAACAGATGGATTTCTTTATTAAAGGGAATGTATCTTTAGAGAAGACAAGAGAAGCGAACCCTTTACCTGATTGGTTACCTGATTCCGGTTGGAAAGATCTTAGTCGGTTAATTGAACTCTTTCCAGAACAATTCGCTTCACTAAGGGATGATTTGGTGAGACTGAATAAACAGTGGAAAAGTGTAAGATTCATTTTCTCTTACTTTGATAAACATTTAAGGTTACTCGCAATGCAAAGGTTTTTTGTCAAGATTTTATTCACTTGTAGTACAAAGTGTTACATACGAATCTAGTGATTTTTTCTTGTAGTCTAAAGTTTAAAAGAACTCCCTACTTACAAAGATATTTGGTTTTGAAAATCTCATCATATGTAAAGACAGTTTTTGTCGTAAACTCATAACACCCAACAGATAATTGAAACTGAATCTGATGAGGATGCATTGATAAGAATATTCTTCATTCAGAGTGTTTTTTTATATCATTGTGGTTTCATCTTCGTTTCATTGTCATTGCTGATATATAGCTTTGTTCGTTTTCATGGTTACAGTTTATCAGTACCATATTCCATAGTGAAGGATTCTTATCGTTTAAATAGCCACCTTTGATCTGTTTTGTTGGTGAAATTGATGGGTAGTAACATATCATCATTAATTGGATTGAGTTACAAAACTTCAAGTGGTTAGGCAATTGGAAGAATAACACGATCTGCTAAGTTCCCCATGGTTACACTATATGGGTTTGAAGGTTGGTTTGCTCAAATCAGAGTATGGCAGACATTTAGTGTTTTTTTAAACCGTAAGTGATTCATTACTTTGTAAAGATTTGTAGTCAAAACTGTTTATCGCACTCATTCTGTTCATTCTCATCAATTTGCTTATGACACACTGTGAAATTAATGCGCAGTGTGAATGAGTCATTTTAACAATATGAAGGAAGGGTCAAGGTGAACTGTGTACTTGTGTTTGGAAAAAGTAATTGGCTCAGATCATCAAGCGAAATAAAGGAGTATAATCAAAGAGCTACCAATTAAGGGTATATAAAGTTACTTTAATGTGAACCCCATTTCCATTTTCAAGTGAGAATTAAAAAAACAATCATATTCTGACTGAAGAAGAACTTTTGTAGATGTGTTTATAACTACTTGCTTACGCTATTCTTTATCAACCACTCACATACTTGGATTTTCGGAACAAAATGCCTTATGATTTATAAAATTAGCTGAGGCTCAAACAACTGACTCCCAACTTTGTTGACTCTACACGTCACAAATTCTCACTAGAACTCCTAGAAATCTATCTTGAAACAACTCAGTGATGAGTTGTTGTCAGTTAGTTGGGATTAATTCCTGATATTTTAAATAAGTAGCCTATTGGATTCCAATCCAGTGAGTGAATGGTAACTTTCATATGTTTTCTGAAAATGGGTCACAAGAATAACCGAATACAGTACGCTTAACAGTCCAGTTGTTATATGAAAGACAATCACGAAATTCATGTATATGTTCAGTCTCTTTAAAGATGAAGTTATTCTATAAAAATTACCTGTTCAGCCAATTAGTTGAGTAGTACTTTCTTTGTAGCCTTATAGAATGATGTGATTTTAGGTATTTCAAAAATTTGGTAAAAATCTGTTAGCAGCTGTTGTTTTCAGATGCATAATGCCAGAGTGGACTTCATTCAGGCTTACGAAAATCCACTGTAGTTATTATATGTAGTCTAAGATGTCTATTTTAACACAAAATAATATCTGACCATTCCACTGCATACTGCTTACATCTTCAAGGCAGCTGTCACAACTTCTTCGCATTTTAAGGGTTCTCAAAATATCCGAAAGTAATATTCTGTGTACTTGTTGAGCGCATGTATAGAAATTTGTAGACAGACAAACCTACAGGCCAGTGGCTGACACTCGCCATATTTCTTGACCTGAAGGCTCCATTCGATTCTGTTGAACGTGAGGTGCTGTGGCAGTGAAAGGAGTACTGACCAAGTACATGGTGCTTATCAAAGCTCTCCGCTTCAACCCATGCAGTCGTGTTAAGGCTTACTGCAAGTTGTCATCTGAATTGACAACTATTGGTGTCCACCAGGGATGTCGACCGTCATCGTCCTTATTTAACTTCCTCATAGATGCACTACTGGGGATAACCTTAGGTACATCTGACTTCATATGGATTGACCTACTCCCTGCAAGTCATCTGGCTGACTTGGAGTGTGCAGACGATATTGTCCTACTAGGTGAAGACTCCGACAAAGTACAGGGTCTTCTGTACGCATTGATCAGAAATCTGAGTATATTTAATATGCGTTTCGAGCCTGTGAAATGTAAGGTGTTGCTCCATGACTGGTCTGCTGCAAGTACTCCTAGTTTAATGATGGGGAGTGAAGTGGTAGAATGTGTGGACCACTTCACTTATTTGGTGGGCTTCATCAACCTGGCTGCTGACGAAATCTTGGCTCGGATACAGAAGGCCCGTTTAGCATTTGCCAACTTGCGTCATTTGTTGCTCCAACTGGCAAGATATCCGATTGTCTTTCAAAGAATGATTGTACTGCGTTGACGTGCTTTCTGTCTTTTTGTACGACTTTAAGATATGGGCATTAAAAGAAGACATGAGACGATTACTGGGTTTCGACCACAGATGTTTTCGTGGCATTGTTCGCGTTTGGTGGAATCACCATATGAGCAATCCTGAGGTCAGGCAATGGGTTCTTGGCTAGAAAGGCAAGTCAGTCAATGAGGTTGTGAACCTTCGTTGGCTGAAGTGGCTAGCACATGCACTGAGTATCCCTAGTCACAGCCTACCTCGATGTACCATGCTAGAGGAAGTTGGAAGAGGGTTCAGGGTGGCCCGAATAAAACCTGAGATCAGTGAAGTCTCTTACTCTTGGTCTGAATCGTGTGTGGAGATGTGGACTGTCTATTTGGGATCTCCGAAATGATAGTAACCATTGGTTGAGGACCCATGGTGACTTGGCTGAAAATCGGTCAAAATGGCGCAGATGTATTAACTCTTTGGCGTCTTTTAAAGCTTGAATATTTGTACTGTCCGTTATCTTCGAATTGTTCATTTTCTCACACTACTTGATCTCCTTTCGTATCACTCTTTTCCTATCCACCTATTCTTTTTGTACTACTGTGAAGTGAAGCAACTTGAGCTGACCCACCTGTGTACCAGGTTCTACGCAGATTATGTCAGTTAGTTAGTCAATTTGTAGACCTGAAAAATTTCACACAAGTGGATTGTGACACTCGTTCAAAAATCACTGATGACTAAGAAACGTTAGACATTTCTTTCGTCTTGTAATGGGTTGCTGATGTATATTCATTCTATAAGGCATGACAGAACCCAGTCACTTCAACTATCGTGGCATAAATTACCACCCAGTAACTCAATTTCTTAATTGCTGCCTTAACATCTTTACTAATCGTGGTAAATTATGCATACTTAGGATGTCATCAGAGTAGGAAATTTTGTTATATTGATTAAAAGGATCTTATTGTGGATTTTACTCCTGTCGATAACTTTATATGACCCTAATTAAACGATCAATAAGGTTCAGGAGCCTACAAGTAAACATACTGACTTTTATACTTGAATAATACTGTTACCGAAAACCACACATACAGGAACAGTTCAAAAATCATCCTCTGAATATGTGGTAAAATTCACAAAAAAGACATCCCGTAAAATCATTTCGAAATTGAAAAAGTCAGTGTAGTGCGTGAATGACGATTAAATCAAAAGGATGTCAGTGTACTTCAGGTGGAGTGGTAATGAGCCTAGTGTTAGTTATGAAATGAAATTACTGTGAAAAAAGTAATCAAACTCTAGATATTGTATACTAATATCGTGATCGTATTGACCACATTCATTTAATTTCACGGCAGACATTCATCATCCGACCCACTTCCCATATTTCATTTAGGATGAAAGAAAGAAGTTGGAAATGAAAAACGATTGGCTGATTCCTCTGTTTAAAAGTCAAAGTGTTTGTGTGTGCGAAGATACTTTCCTATTGAACTAGGACACTTACTTGTAGGAATCTGATTAGTTCAGCCCAGATAAGCTATCTGTACATAGATTGGCTTATAAAATCTTCATCACTTGTCACATAAATTCTGTTTTAAGAAATTAGTCGCCATCAGGTTAAGATTAAATCCACAATGAACTTAAGGTTTGTAGAGAATTTAATTCTGTAGTGACAATGTTGTGTAATATTTCAGGGAGCCTGTTTCAAAATGTATTGGGTGTAATTGTTGTCATGATAATTGTAGTTTCCCGTTGTTATACAGGACTGAATTGTTCGACGTCTATTGGTAGATGGGCTCGTGTGTGGATGTCTTGATACTGCTGCTGATTCATTTTAAAAAAAAGATTACTGTGGACCAAATATATTTTCATATGATGACTAGTTGACCATTAGTAAACAAACATCCAAACGGTCGTCCCCAGATAGACATGTATATGTGAACAATCTCTAGATATGAAATACATTTGGTCCATAGTAATCGTTTTTTTAAAATGTTATTTTCTACCATTTTCTCCTCACTCTCTGTGTTATCTGTTGTCCAATCAAAATGGACAATGAAATATCCCATGTGGTTCATTGTGCGAAATCGAAAAGTAATTTAAAACGGAGCAAACTGAGGAAGGGTTGCTTTATTTTCATGATGAGCGATGATACCGTCCAAAGTGTTGTAACCGAACCAGTCTTTCCTTATGGAGCGTTTTTGTCTCGCCGCGTTTCCTTCCTTAGAGTCTTTGAAGGTCGCCCTAAAGGAGTATGAGAAGTAGACGTACACGCAGTACGTTGTGAGAGATTTACACTTACAAGGTGACCAAAGAGCCTACGTCAAGTTTGTTTGCTTGAAGGCTAGTGAACGCCGGTCAATAGGTGGTGTAGTGACAAAAAGGTCAGTTCTGTTTGTTTTCATTATGTATTTCGTAGATATCCCTGAAATATTCTTGTCGACCGTTCGTGCTCGCATCCCTCCTCCCATCAAGAAACCAACTTTGGATGGCAGTTTTGCCATTCTTCAACGATGGAGAGCAGTTCCGCACTGTCCTCCGGTTTGTACGGAAAATTTTAGATGTCAGGACACCCATTTTGGTAAACGCATGTCCAGAACATTTCGTAGGACACGGTTTTCCAGGTGGTTTCGAAGAAGAAATGGAAGTGACGGCTGTAGCTGTGAGTACGATCACGGTGGCAGATGTTTGAAGACCAATAACTCCATTTGAAACAATTTCGCAGTCATCTATAACAACAGTTACACATCCAGGAAATAACTTAACTGTGGACCTAGACGTCAGTGTCAACCATCTAAGAGGGGATATGGAGTTGGTCACTTGGAACTCTGAGGAGATGGACCATGTAGGTGAAAAAGAAGAGGAGGTTTATATCTACAGAGGAGTTTGTGAGGTTTGCTTCCAAACCTATGCACTAACCTCCATTCCACATGCCAGTACATGGATAACATGCCGTTGTCATGCAACATTCCATATATCCTGCGCATGGAATCCATACCCAAGCAGCTCTTGTCTAGAATGCCTCACATGTGGAGGCAACCCCTGGTAGGAAGGTAATATCAATGATGAATTACAGGGATTATCGTAAAAATAGGTAATTTGCATTTTTGACTCCCACTGCTGTACCCAGTTCACTTTCAGATTACAGATGAAGATAAACTGCACCAGAAGTGAATTTCTACTTCATGATGAGAAGTGAACGAACAAAGGCCTTTCTCAGGGCCATCCAAAATGTGATCTGCATGACTTCTTTCGTTCTTTTAAATAAATCAGAAGTGATTATCCAGTTTTAACTACTTCACTTATCAATCGAATGAATGTATTACAGATAGTAGATTGTTAAGAAGTGTAGGACAGAGAAGGATAACTACCTATTATGCAGCTATGGTTCGGATAATTGAAAAGCGTATATGCCCCTATCAAACCTCTTTGAACAGGTGAAAGGTAAAGTCACATCCCATTGCGTTTATTCATTTAAATGTATATGTGTGGTCAGCTATAGTTAATCGTAGCTACTACTGATCACATTAAAAGTGCTTATCCGAATATTCAAATATATGGAGAGATGATTGTTTACAAAATACCACTTCAAATGACCTCGGCGAATTATGAAAAATGTAAGGTAACATTATTTATGCCAGTCATCCGAACTCTAGGTATAGGATGAAACAAAAAGGTTACTAGAGGCAGCCTATTTTAACCTTAAGTTAAACTTTGGAATGGTCGTTAGTGCAACTGAATGAATTGTCCGTAATGTTAGTGCCTTTATCTTGTAATAAGCTTCCAGTTGGTCAATGGAATTGTATTAGTTCTTAACATCCACATTCTATCAGTGAAATGCTTCGGAAACCGACATGTTCACTTGCAAACAACAGCGTGAGAATTCGCTGTTGATCTGCTCCATTATGGAAGCCTCATTTCATCAACTAAGAAAGTTTTCGATGGAATACATGCATTTACCAGATACAAAAAATGTAAGGAGTGAACTCAGGATACTTTCTGAAACTGTTAAGAATGATTGAAAGCATCGCCTAAAATCCTTGTTTTCTACCTTAAGCACACAATATTAAATACTGACACAGTATTTATAAGCCAGTTTACTGCTGTTATTTGATAACAACAAAAATTCCTATACACTACCACTTTTTAAAAGCGTAGGAAATTAAATAAATGCTGTCTCTTAATCACAGCTGGAATAAAATGGTTTCCCCGCTGTCATACTTCAACTTGAACACCAAATCCACTATCAATAAAAAGTTTCGAAGGGCAGAGTACATGGTAGCAAGTTCGTGGCAAGTACGGAGATACATTGTAAGATTTGCCCATATGAACGTGATCACTCAGCTAGTACCGGTTTTCAAAGGCTACCTTAATGTTGGTCAGAACTACCAAGGCAGAGTAATCAGTTTCTCACCAACATTATCCTCAAAATTACAGCTAGTAGTGTATTCCTACAAGGATTTAAATATATCGATGAAAAGATTCTGTATTGTCGAATGGAATGATATATTATAAATACATTTCAAATGAAAAGTGAACAGACAATTGTAAACTTTTATTTCAGTAAATTATTAAGAAAATATTCTTACTGTTGGTGTGATCACGGGCATTAATTTTGTTCCAATTATTACCAAAATAGGAACTTATCATTATGTACAAACTTTCGACTCATACATTCAAGATTTAGATTTTTCTGCAAACCTCATTTACAGTTATAAATTACGCTCAATACATATTTATCTCAGTGACTACCAGGACGCACGTTTCTTTTACTCGGGACTCGTCAGCTGGATGTAGCAGCACCCCAGTGAGTGATGTGGTTCCCACTGTGGATCGAACCCAGTACCCATCGCTTAAACCGGCAAAGCGCTATCCACTAAGCTGGGTACCAAATAGAACAAAACATCAGTCTTGAAATCTTCTGTTAGTCATTGAGATCAATATTACATCATGAATCAGCATCAGTATCAAGACATCCACACACGAGCCCATCTACCAATAGACGTCGAACAATTCAGTCCTGTATAACAACGGGAAACTACAATTATCATGACAACAATTACACCCAATACATTTTGAAACAGGCTCCCTGAAATATTACACAACATTGTCACTACAGAATTAAATTCTCTACAAACCTTAAGTTCATTGTGGATTTAATCTTAACCTGATGGCGACTAATTTCTTAAAACAGAATTTATGTGACAAGTGATGAAGATTTTATAAGCCAATCTATGTACAGATAGCTTATCTGGGCTGAACTAATCAGATTCCTACAAGTAAGTGTCCTAGTTCAATAGGAAAGTATCTTCGCACACACAAACACTTTGACTTTTAAACAGAGGAATCAGCCAATCGTTTTTCATTTCCAACTTCTTTCTTTCATCCTAAATGAAATATGGGAAGTGTGCCGGGTGATAAATGTGAACCCATCTTGTACGGTTGAGTTTTCTTCAAGTAGTTTGTCGAAGGATATGTATGGAATAGCTACGTAAGTTTTAAGAACTATGAAATGTTACATAATGTTTATGGTGTTAATAAACTATAGGATATTGAATGTTTGGCAATGAAATGGAAGAGATGAAGTTAGGAAATTATGTGAGATGGAATGGGATGAGATGAGTTGCAAAAATATCGGATTTTCATTCGAAAAGTTCACAGAGATCGTATTGAGGTTTTTGTAATCTACGTTAGGCAATGTGCACATATTTCTTTTGAACGCAAATAAGGTTTTCTTCTTTGATTTCTATCCTTTCGACTACTGGTAGGTAGCGTAGTTCTGCTTGAAAAAATGAACTTGGTACTTGCTTTGTTCACTTTGCCTGCGAATAGAATTCAACCCATTTTGATGGTTTGTCGGGGCTGATTGTTCTAAGGTTGGTATTCATCACCAACTGATCATCAGTTAGCGAATCACTGAGAACCTAGGATCACCGGACAGCTACTCCCTCCTAGTATGGGACTGCTCAGCAGTGCATATTCGTGACCCTGCGGGAGATGGGACGCAGGACTGGAAGTTTTCACTCAGTGGCTCAACGGTGACGTGTTCGCCGCGAACCCTGTCTATTCTGGAATGGATCTCTGGGTTCTTTTAGTTTTGAGGAGTCGTATGCAATAATGAAGCAGTTGTCCAGACTTTCTAGGTTCTCAGTGGTTCTCTGACTGACATCAATACGTGGTGGATACCAACTTGAATTCAACTCAGTTGGATGCACATTGTTCCTGGATTCCTCACCACTTTAGTTAGAACTTTTTGTGTGTGTGTGTCAGATAACTTGTATGGCACATAAAGTAGTAATTTATCAGAGAATGACATGATACAAACTGAAATTCGTCGGAAATATTCTTCCTATGCTATGGAACTTTCTTTCTGAAATCATATAAGCATTGCAGTCTTTAGGACTGACGATTTGGATTGTGTTCTTACTTTGTGTAAAAGTATATTTGAAGGTGTAATACTTTCATAACAATCTAGGTTGCTGAATATTAATCTTTGATACTGAACTAATTTGATACCTTTTGCAACTACTCTTTTCCGTCAGTGGTATGAATCTGATAGTCCAGAAAGTTCAACAATACCAGGAAGCTATGAAGAACGATTAGATAAATTTCAACGTCTTTGTTTACTTCGATGTTTTAGAGTGGATAGAATTTATCGTGCTATTACATTATATGTTGCAGATATTATGGGTGAAGATTTTGTTAGTCCACCAATATTAAGTTTTACAACAATTTATGAACAAAGTACGTCAAGATCACCAATTGTCTTTATTCTCAGTCCAGGTTCAGATCCAACAGCTGATTTAATGAAATTTGCTGAAAGACAAAATTTTGATTCAAGTCGTATTAAATTTTTATCTATGGGTCAAGGTCAAGAGAAAAATGCTGAAAGTCTTCTTGAATCATCTATATCACGAGGGAATTGGTTAATGTTACAAAATTGTCACTTATTAGTTAAATGGTTACAAGTATTAGAGAAATATTTAGAAAGATTATCGAAACCTCATCCTGATTTCCGTTTATGGTTGACTACAGAACCGTGTGATGCTTTTCCAATTGGAATTTTACAACGTTCATTAAAAGTTGTCACAGAGCCACCAAATGGCTTAAAATTGAATCTACGTGCAACATATCATAAGATAGCACCATCATCATTAGCTGAATGTACTCATTCAGCCTTTCCTTCATTAGTATACACTTTAGCATTTTTTCATGCTGTTGTTCAAGAACGTCGTAAATATGGAAAAATTGGATGGAATATAGGTTATGATTTTAATGAATCCGATTTTCGTGTTTGTATGCAAATATTAGCTACATACTTACAAAAAGCTGTTGATGAAAATGAAGTGAAAATTCCATGGAATAGCCTAAAGTATTTAATCGGTGAAGTAATGTATGGTGGACGAGCAATCGATGAATTTGACAGACGTATTTTACGCACTTATATGGATGAATACTTTGGTGATTTCATTTTTGATACTTTTCAACCATTTCATTTTTATGCCTATGATAACTTCCAATATTCTATACCAAGTGGAAATACACGTGATGAATTCAGTCGTAAGTTCTTATAGTACTTATAATATTTATAAAAATGAAACTGATTGCTTAAGCTGATGGGAAACCTACATCACGGCGAGGTTCAAACCACTAACATAGGGACTAAACGCCCAGTTTTCTACCGGCTAGAGCATAAAATGTAACTGTTAAACAGGTATTTTGGTGACTCAAGTGATTTTCAAACTGAGATGAAAGATAAGTATTATAAATCAATCAGCAGGACATCAAACCTTCAACCTAAATGTTGCCATGAACCAAGTTCGCTTCAGACTTATTTGTCAACCAGTTACGTTTAGAAATCATAATGTCAGCTTATGCTACCTTAGCTAGTCATTTCAGTAATGTGACTATTTCTAAAGAGAACATAAAAGTGTGACACTTATATTTACAATTTCTTTTGTGACATCAAAAATAAATCATTTAGAAAAATGGGCTGGTTTTATATGGGTGAGAGGAAAGGTATCAGAAGTCCGATTCTTGAACACTCGATTGATTCCAACTTTTCGACCGACCGAAGCAATGATTTTGGAGGTTGGTAGAGATTTATTGATTTCAAGTTGGTTTTCATCATGGACTGACATCAATTGAAGGAACATTGAAAACCTGGGAGCACTGGACAGCTGTTTCGTCCTAGTATGCGACTTTTCGGCAGTGCGCACCCATGAACCCGCCAGGGATCAGACCCGCGATCTTCAGGCTTCGTGGCCGGCAGGTTACCCCTGAGCCACTGGGTTGGAATCCAATGGTCCATATTTCCAACTTCTGTCAGTTCATGACATGGCGTGAACTTTCTCGAATGTCATCGTTGAGTAACTGTCCAAGTGTTCGACTTAGTTGACCCCACTGGTCACGACTTTTCATTGGGAATTCAGGAACCACTTCTCGAAGCTAGTTACCTGAATTCAGCAAATCCCCACAAACCTCGAAATTGAGATAATATAGTGCTCATCGGCGACTAGCTTCAAGAGGTGATTCTTGAAGTTCTAATGAGAAGTTGTGACCAGTGGGGCAAACCTGGTGGTCGTGAGAACAAATACTCAACGATGACATTGGCTGATGGTCGCGCTATGTCGTGAACTGACAGGAGTTAGAAATATTGAACCATTGGATTCAGACTCAATAGCTCAATGGTAACATGTTCGCCATGAAACCTGGGGGTTGCGGGTCTGACCCCTGACGGGATCGTGGGTGCGCTCTGCTGAGGAGTCCTATGCTAGGACGAAACAGCTGTCCAGTGCTCCCAGGTTTCCAATGTTCCTCCTACTGATGTCGGTTCATGGTGGAGACCAACTTAAAAGCATCCTTTTAACTATGACCATCACTATTGTTATTTCTATCTTCCATTATTGAAATTTCTCCAAGGATTGCATAAATACGAATTTGTAACTTGAGAACATATATGATAAGCACTTACTAAATACCTCATAAGTTTGTTCCGAAATTCTATAGCTTTTTTCAATAATACACGTTTTTGCTTACTAACGACATTACCGTTGAGAAACCATTCATGAGAACCGCATACTTTGTACTGTTGATTAACCTAGATATTCAGGAGCCACTTTGACTAGTCAGTAGTGCTTGTTAGCAAGACAGAGTAGACATAAGGACACAGTGGTTGTGTAACTGGATGGAGGTAGCTCAAGGTGCTAATTTCTTCACGCCACCCCAAAACTGAACATAGATTTCGACGAAGTCGCAACATCGAGAATCAACCAGATTCAATAGAATACATCGTGACATTCTGTTTAGTTTCTCGACACCATTCTTGGTATCAACCATATCATAATTGTTGGTCTAAAAATTTTGGTTTCCAAAACAAACCACCATGAAATCTCACAGCTGGATTACATTTATCTGTTTCATTCCTCCTCCGAAATGAAAATATTGTGAAATTGGATTTTGTTCTGAGTAGTTGGTTAGTTCTAACCTAGTATGAACGATTCAACTCCTTAAGCTACATTCAACCACACTGCCTTCCTATATTAAGGTCACCTTCGCTTGGTTAGAAAGCACTACTGACTAATCAGAAAGATTTGTTACCTGCTGTATGCATCAATTGTATGTGTTGTAAAAGATACACTTTTCGAGTACTTTGGGACACCAATAGTACTATCATCACGATCGAACGTAGACTCAGCGTTGATCAGATCTAAGTTCTTCATAATCCCTGTTCCATTTCAAGTTTTAATGAGAATTTTGTACTGGTTTACATTTCAAAGTCATATATAGCTTTAATTGTGTACCCTAACCACGTGTGGAAGTTTTATATATGTCCAACAACAACCAAGATCAATATTTGGAGATGAGGTTCAAATTCTGACATAATTCTAAAGACGGATTCGCAAGTTTTCTTTCAGTGGCTTTTTAAAATCGTGTTTTATTATACTTTTATTGTCTTGTCGTTTTATTTCTTACCACCGTTAAGTTCTTTATTTTCCTTGCTTTAAACTTTATCTTACTAATCTCACCCCGATATCCTGATATGAAGTGAGGGAATTCAACTTAATACACCACTGTGCCAGGTGCTTTTAAGGTTATGTCTATCTGTCGTACCCATAAGAACCTTATATCAAGAAACTTCATGATTTGTAATGAAAAAGTTTAATATTTTTTAAAAGATGGAATAAAATATTTGTAATTGGTTTTCATTTTATTCATAATTCAGGTTATATCGAATCACTTCCACTGACGAATACACCTGAAGTGTTCGGTCTTCATGCAAATGCAGAAATAGGTTATTATACAAATGCTACTAAAGAGATTTGGAGCCATCTACTTGAATTACAACCACAGACAAGTAGTCAGACAAATTCAACAAATCGTGAAGAATTTATATCTCAAATAACTGAAGGTTTGATAAGTAGTCTTCCACAAGTATTTGACAGAGAAGCTTTAAGAAAAAAACTAGGTGTGAATATACCGCCTATTACAGTCGTACTATTACAGGTTAGTAAAATGAAAAATACTTTTATAATAGTGATAATTTCTAAGAGTTTTTAGTGAAATAGGGTTTTGTTTTCTAAGTAAACCGTGACATTTTGGTTACTATAGTAACCTCATAACTGTTTATGTGATTGAAAGGCACATGGACAGAAGCTTTGTGACCGAAAAGTCATCCAGACACCAGAGTATCTCCCGACTTAGATAGAGGCTGATTAGAAGTTTCCATGATGACGTTTTTAAGCTAAGGGTGATAGAAAAAAGGTGAAGATGACGTCTAAACTAAAGAGTGAACAACACTCATACAAACACATTGAAGAGACTGGTTTGAAAATAGATACGGTTAGTGAGATTAACTCTGAGAAAGGTGAACCATTGTTAAATCGTGAAAATATATGCCCCAAGACGATGAATAGAACACTTTGTAGTGCAGTTCTATTGGCCGAACCTAAATTGTTAACTTGTTCGAAGGTGATGTGACTATTCATTGTCTTGTGAATGTGATGTGAGGTTATTGGAACTATCTTTCACAATTTATCGAACATAGAAGACAGGCCTGTGTAAGTGTCTTCCATACGGAGCTTCTGTAGAATATACCACTGAACAACCTTGTTAATTAGTCAGATAACAGTGATGTACACCTGAAGCGTACATTGTTTTACTTTATTGAATGAAAAAGATTTTACCTGTGAGGTTCTCCCACACAACTCAAAATAAGTGAATAATATGAAAATTCCTCAAAATAATCTAATGTAACTCACAAATCTGAGGATTCTTTTTGACACAGTGACCCAATCGGAGAAAGCATGAATTAGCTGCTCACAACTCAATCAACAGTCAAGCGGTTATCCACTAAGCCACTGAGACACGATAGCTACCTCTTGTACAACAAGCGTTCATCATTACTATTTGTCGATATGCTTGTAACCAAGTAAATTATCATAAATAATATTCAGGCTATATCGAGGTATCCCCATAGGAGCCTGTATGTCAACAGAGGTCGAACAATTCGATCCAGTAAAACAACGAAGAATTATAAGCATATCTATAGGTAGTAATAACCAAAACTCATTATGAAAGAGGTGGCTATCGAACCCCAGTGGCTTGGTGAATAACCCCTTGGCTTTTGAAGCGATGGGTACGAGGTTCAAGTTTCAGTCGGAACATATATCATACACTTGGGTGCAGGTAGGTCTAGCTGAGGAGTCCCAAATGGGACGAAACGCGCCTCCTGGATTCCTCCGCTATCCAGAACCAAGTAAATTATCACAATAATACATTGTCTTATCTTTGATACTAATGTCATTTATGTAGTTAGTATGTTCAAAAGTATCTATTAATGCAAACTTACATAATTGGTCTCCAACTGTGCTTAGCGTTTGGGCTAGCCATTTTGCCAATTTATGCATTGGGGTGTGTTACATCGATAGTACTGAACGTAACGGGATATTCGTTTTGTGTATCTTAGTTAAACTGAATAAGTTTGGGTGTTCACACCCTAAAGGTTTTAACGAATGGAATTCCTCTCTGCTAAACATATATAATGTATACATACGCAGTTTTGTTATATTTTATTATATTTTTATTAACCCAACATTATCTTCATTCTGTTTCGATGTTACCTCTGATCACGCTTAATCTCAAAAATTATTTTTAAATATTATCCAGCTTTGTATTCCATCCTGTTAATTATGTTGGTCTCTATGCTCTTTTATGATTGATCTTCAACGTACATTATACTTGTAATTTTTTTATATAGCAGTAAATTATTAGAGCCAGTTAACCTCGTCTTTATTATCGGGTTTAATTCAATATTGCTTGTAAATATCCAATATAGTTAAACAAAAGCTTATAAAATTGCCGTTGTACAACGAAAAAAATAAATTCACATTTTCTCTGTGTAATAATCACCTTAACAAGTCTTACAGTGATACATTTTTAAAAAATCTCTGAAACTTATTTACAAAATAGTTCTTCCGACTACTTTGTCAGTGAAACTTCCTTCTGCTAAAAGAAGAAACAAACATTTTGAGTTCATGTAGGCTAATCATGAAGTGTTTGTTTCTTGTATCAAATGAAGACAAAATACAATTACATGAAGAATTATGGTAAACCCAATCTGTCTTATGTTTCAACTCTGAAGTCTCAGCAGCAAGTGACATTCGACTAGAGGTTTTTAATATTGTTTAAAGGTTTCGAAAGCATTTAACATCTGGAAGAGTGAGATTCAGGACCCAAAAATAATCTTCATGTTTCGTCCAAGTTTTCATGAATAAGATAAATGGTATGTCATTTAAATCTTCGTTTTATTTCTAATTTGTATTTTCATGCTTTGAAAAACGCTAATTTCAACATTTTTTATATTTTTATTTATAGGAACTGGAAAGATTTAATTTACTCATTAAACGAATGGATCGGTCCCTCAAAACATTGAAACGGGCCTTGAATGGCGAAGTTGGTATGTCGGCTGAGCTTGATAATGTTGCGCGTTCTCTGTATAATGGCCAGCTGCCAAATATATGGCAGCGTTTAGCTCCAGCGACTAAAAAGTCTTTAGGTGACTGGATGGCACACTTTCATAATCGTCATAAACAATACACCACTTGGGTAAGTTATTCGTAAATAATTTCAGAAAGTTCTACCTTAATATCTTCTAAATTCTTTTAAAACATGAATATTAGTTACGTTCTCCGAAAATTCCTATTATTATTATCATTATTATTATTCACAGAACAGTTTGGCAGATGAAGAATATTCCTTTCATTAACTTCTTACTCAAGTTCTATAGCTACACTTCCATGTTGTTTAATCGAGTAAATGTGCAAGCAATGGTGAGATTTTATATTGCACTCAATCGTCCTTATTAAATAGTGCGGGAATTCTCTTCAGAAAAAAGCTTTTGTGAAAGGCAGTATCAGACACCAAGGAGGTAGTTATCACATAATGACATTATTTTGAGAAACCTTGAAAATCTGAAAACACTGAATAGCTGTTTCTTCCGAGTATGGGACTCATCAGCAGCGTTCGCGCACGACCCCACCAAGGGTCAACCTCAAGGAACTTCACTTTTCACAGCAAGTGCGTTGTCATTCAGTCGGTGGGTTGCAGTTCAATGGTCTACACTTTCTTACTTCCGTCAATTTGCAATTTCGCACAACCATCATCCAGCGTCATCGGTGAGTATTTGCTTTCACACTCTAGTTGGTTGAACCCACAGCTCATGGCTACTCATTAAAACTTCGGGATAGCCATCTGGAAGCGTGTCAGTAATCAGAACTGGACAGTAACTTAGCTTAGGGTTCTTTACACAATAATAAGGTTTGCGTGTATTAAAATGGTCCTCGCTATTTCGAGGCCTTTCTAGATTTAAATCCTGTTGATTTTTCGTCTCTTCAACCAACATGATACTTAACGTTGGTTTACGTTTTTTCTTCAAACTTGGAGGCGAAGCAATTAGTTCAAAAAGGCTTTAGTGGTTTACGGCTACTTATGAAGATTTTGGCTAACTTATTCCACACTAAAACAGGTTCCAGGTTTTCATCGTTCCTTCAACTGATGTCAGTTTGTGATGAATACTGCCTTGGAATAAATAAATCCCCGTGAACTTCAAATGTTATTGGTGTGTAATGCTTGGTTACTCATCATAAACCGTTGTTGTGTTGCTTATTGTAAAATGGCTCCTTCCAATAGCTCGTTATATGGATATATGCTTAAAAATAATTTAAACATCATCTTTACATTCGTCATGTGGAAATAATAGTCAGACAGGAGAAAGCAATCATTGGCAAACGACAATAAGATGCATGACAATCTTAACTGCTATTTTTATATTAACTATCTACTGACTGTTTTCAACCCTCTACTATCACACCCAATACAGCTTTATTTAGCAATGCAAAAGGCAGGTGGATTCTAGTCACTACATTTCATTTCTAATGTAACCAACTAAGAATGTAGCCGCTATGTTTGAAGTCATATATATCAGTTTGACTATCTGAGATAGCCATGGTTTGGCAGACTCTTATTATACTGGCTGATGTTCAAAGGTGAAATGAAAGTCGAACCATCAGCCTCTGGTCAGCAACTGAGCCTAATGAATTAGTTGGTAGAGTAAGGGGTCGGTAACCCGTAGGCTCCTGATCCGAATCCTATCGCCACCCAGATTTTAATTTCACCTTCAGTCATCACCTAGTATATATGCATCGTTTAGACTTCCAATCAATTCAAAAACTATTTGAGTGGACGAAGAATATTCTTTTCGATAACTTCCTTTTCAGGTCGTACAGTTATATGTCAATATTGAGGAATTATGCGTCAGCAATATTAACATTTCGTTTTTCAGTTTATTAACAGTATTATACAATTGAGTAATTCAACTCAAAAAAGTCTTGTGTGAACTTTAAGGATGGAATCAATTGTTACTGGGATTCAATTCAAAATAACTGATTATCTAAACGATTCTACAGCGTAGGTATTAGGTGATAATCTAATAAAACAATACCAAGGTGTTTATGAGAGTTGGATGAAATAAACTCAGATAGATAATTTGTGGAACAGTAGCTTGACAGAATGTTACTCATGTTGGGGAACAAAATAGGTTAAGAGAATTTTTTAAAATTATTGGGATGATGGGGTATCTACAGGATACAATAAGGAAATTAGATCACCTAGTGTAAGAAGGAATTCGTGCGTCCCGAATCAGCCCAAGGTATTTGTAGCGGCAATATCTTCTTTTCTGCATATATCATTCAGGTTGTTTGGTTCTACTGTTTCTTCAGTTTGAAGAATTCGGAGTAGGGTAACTTTTGGTATCCTGATGGGAACCCGGTTCATGATGGAAAACGACTTGTGTATATTTGTCTTATGGTTTGCTTCAAACAGATATGCTAATATAGAGCTGGTAATGGTCTTTACCATACCATTAATTAACCACACTCGGTGTTCACAAGAACGGAGAGTTAAATTCCTAGAACAGTTGCCAAACTGATAAATACAACAGAAAGTGCCCCATCTAAGTAGTTCATCTTTCAGTCTCAGGGTCACTGTTTGGTATGTGGAAAACGTAATTCGTAATTTACCAGCATTAATAGTTTTCTGGATTGATCTACGTAGTTCATGAATTAATATCTCGCTAAGCAGGTCACCTGTGAATGGTACCCAAATGTCTAGTGGTTTTCTGCTAGCAATTGGGGTATCTTTTCTTGCCATTTTTGTAATCATGTGTTTCTTTATCAGTTTATCAGGATATTCATTTTTGTTTAGTGTGTTGCGCAAGGTCATCAATTCCTCTTCAGCTATACTTCCTGAACATATAGCTTTTATGTTGTTACTTAGGGTTTCTGTTAAATTTCGTTTTCATGAAGGGTGACGAAGCCGAGAAAATATGTGTATTGCTCCGTCCACTTACTTTTCTTAAACTATTTCCTCTTTATCGATCCTTACAGAGGAACATCGAGGAAAGGTTTCGCACTCTGACGCTTCCTCATATGTGAACTTCATCGTTGGGAGCGCTGTATTAAGTCTCCTGAGTACCCTTGACCTATCATGTTGTTTTCGCATAGGATGAATGTATCATCCACTTATCAGCAGTAAAATGAAAACTCAAGCAATCCATTTTTTAGTTTCAATAAAAAAAGGTCACAGTGGACTTGTCACTGGCTATTTATTATGCCAGAAGTTTTGTTCTCATGGTAGATTGTGCTGACTGTCTAATGGAGTACTTTTTCATATGAATAATGCGAATAAAATTTTAGTGAATGTAATACCCTTTATTTAACTTGCTAAAAATGTAGTGAAGTCATCCTAATTAATAGTTTAAAGCAAGACTCACAGTAACTGTAATACGTTCCGACAAAGTTTCATGCAACTGATGCTTTGTAGTCTATACGGTTCTTATTCGTAAACTACTGTGGTTACACTTGAAAGACATAAGAAATGTTTTCAAGGTTTGAAATCTGGTTTGTTTTATGTACGACCAGAAATTTTCAGATTTAAGTTTTAAATAATTTTCAGTCTGAAAATTTTTGATGTATCCTACTTACAACATAGTCCTTTAACCACAGAACATTGCTTGAATTTTGGTGTATTGACTACAACCTAGAAAACTGAAACCAAAGGAAAACGCACAGTCGATTTTTAAGATTTCGCAGTATAGTTGAATAGCTAATTATCACAGACGATTAGGAAAAAAGATGTTGGGAAATCAGAATATGGATTGTTCAACATATTTTTTCAGATGATGAATGATTTCTACCGACGTTGTATGGGACCATCACTAGAAGAATAGTTTTTAGCTTCGAGCAAAATCTGACCATTAACGTATATCATATATTTTGGCATTACGACATATTGTTTAGTTTCATTCCCGTAAATTCATGTTGCTAAAGTTAATTATATATTAGAGTTAGTTTGCTGTTTAGTATGCAATAGTCAGTATGCAAAGATTCCATGGTGCTCAAACCTGTAAACAATGATAATATTATAGGTGATGTATACGATGTAACACTGTATTATAAATTAAAACAAATCAAATTTCAACTCAATAGGACAACCAATGAAAACAAATATAGAGGAAATGACAAGACCTTTGAAGAAACAACCAACCACATACAAGGCCATCAGGACAAGCTTTAAAATATATCGCGGAGGAAACCTTATTGCTCACTACTTTCTGATGTTTACGCTGATACTGTTGTTTAGAATTATAATAAAAGCTCCATGTATAACCAGTCCAACTCACAGAACTTAACTCTATCAAAATAAAACAAATCATTTGTACACTTAGATAATATTTTTATGAAATGACATATTTCTGTGTAATCATTACGAGTAATGAAGGTGACTAGTCTAAAACTAATGATAGGCCTGTATGAGTCTAGAGTACACTTGCACAGAAGAGTCGAAAACATACTTATAGTTTCATATATATACAATTTCGTTCTAGTGATTATGTAGTAACAAGCGAATTGCATTAAAATATATCCATTCATGAAAACTTTTTATATCAGCCACCTTGTTATAAATCATAGCTGAATTTTAAATCATCAGTAAATCGTATGCATTTTAAGAGCATAGTTATTCGTGTAGATCGAATATTCTTGAATCATGATTTGTGAAAATAAAGCTTTTTCCAAATTAAAAAAAGCACCTTTATCGATTTGTCATCAAAATGCTCTTAAATTTACAACATTTTCCAGATATTCTCTAATTTATAAAGTTATGATTCAAGTGTTTTATTCCTTTTGTTTTTGATAAAGATTGAAAATGGTGATCTAGGTGTTATTTGGCTATCAGGTTTGCATATCCCTGAATCATTTCTTATGGCTTTAACTCAAACAACATGTCGTCGTAATGGCTGGCCGTTAGATAAAAGTGCACTGTTTACAACAATAACGCAGTATACAGATTCATCTGAAGTACAAGAACGAGCACATCAAGGATGTTTTATTCAAGGATTGTATTTAGAAGGAGCGAGTTGGGACTTGACGAAAGGCTGTTTGAAACGTCAAAAATCAAGACAGCTAGTTCAACCTATGCCCATACTCCGTGTTAGTGCCATTGAAGCACATCGTTTAAAATTACAAAACACATTTTGTACACCGGTTTACGTTACTTCAGACAGGCGAAATGCAATGGGAGTTGGATTAGTTTTCGAAGCTTATCTTAAAACTGAAGTTCACCCTAGTCATTGGGTACTGCAAGGTGTATGCCTCACTTTAAATACTGACTAGTGAATATTTTTTCTAAGTGCTCCTTTTTCAATAGGATATCCAATTAACCCAATGGCGCTTTTTGCATATGTTTTCAGTTTTGATAAGCAACTAATTTCTACGGTTACTTTGGTTAAAAATGTACTTAGTTATTAAATAATTTGTGTTGTATTCTCTTATTACTTTGCATGAAAATCCGGTACCAAATAACTCTGAAATACAGCCAGCCAACGCATCACGTCATGTAGCTCAGTAATTACATTCCAACTTGATCGATAGACTTTAGTTGATCCCGAGGACTTCACAGCTACATGATTTATCATCTGATGGCTGATTTCTATACATGATTTCCTGTTATAATCAGTGACTTGTAACTTGGAAGTAAAGTTTATAATTTCAGCATTCATTGATGCGCGCTTCCTTCCTGAGTGAACGTTAGTTTCATTATCTTATTGGTAAATCCAAACTAGTATCCAAACATGAGTCAACCTGGGATTTTTGCTGATTAATTGGTAGCATCTAACGCTCGACGACACAGTCAAATATTAGTTTACCTTCAAGAGGTGATAGTAGATAAACAAAAGTGATTCAGTTACTTTTTTTTTATCTCATAAGCCATGTTCACTTCTATGTTCGAGCATTTCACTGGTGCAATAACTTTATTCCCTCTTATAGGACAAGTGAAAAGCAAGATTGTAAAATCTCCCCGCTCCTTGACCAACACTTCATTCAACTTGTGAAGTGTTTTCTATTTGTTGAGGAAGTTGCGATCATTTGAGGTTAAGTACCGCCTGAGATTCCAGGTATGATTAGTAAAAGACTAATGTCACTTTAGAGAAACTCATAAGCTGTTAGTCGGTTGGGGGGCAACCAGCAGGAAGCCGTGATCCTAGATTTTGTTTTCGTTGAAACTCATTCGCAAGACATATCTGTAACCTCAAGGTAACTGGTGTCTTCTGAGAGATTCAAACTGGTGTCACCCTGTTACAGTCAGCAACCTTACCAGTGAACTATTCAGGCCCCGAATGACCTCCTTTAGGTCTGGATTAGATACACTGGATCGTCACTGGACAGTAAAATATAGTTTGTTGCGAATCAATGCAAATAAATGCTTAGGATTGGCCCATTTCAAATAGACACAGGATTCCCTTTTTAGCAGGTATACTCCTTGATTACTTTGGACACCACTAAGATTTTAAAATCTATCGTCCCTGGTGGTTAAACAGAGGCATCGTCTCCTGAAAAAGCTTTGATGACATGTTCATGAAGTCATCAATAATTAAAGTAGGTACATTTTACCATTTCGAGTAAGTGTTTGTTATTTGGTAATATTACCGTCCATTCATTAGAAAGTTCTTCAGCTTTAAAGATAACATGCATTAATTCCACTGGGATTACTTATAGTAGTAGGTGGAAATACGCGTTGAAACAGTTAATAGTCTGAAAACAGCAGTTATACGCGGACTTCAGGCATCTTTCATACTAGCGGAAGTAGCGACATTCGAGAAGTCTATTTGATACATGGTAACTTTTGCTTGAAAAGATCACTTGATGCAGAGTACTAGAGAACATGTAGTTTGGAGCAACTGCGGATAAGTCGTGTTCCGAGCCAATGGGTGGATTGGTCTCTCGTTTAATCGTTTGTTCAGAATATTTGTCCCGCTATGACTGTTGGGAAAATTCAGACGGTTCATCACCTTAAGAACCCTGGCCAATAGGTGAGTTAATCGTGAAGATGTTCCAGAAACCGCGAAAGATTGGGACCAGTCCAATAATTCTCGGAGTCAAACAGCAGGTATTATTTCCAATGAGTAGGTATCTTCAGATTGGAATTTAGCATCAAGTGTCCTCGTCAAGCCGTTACTGAACATAAAAAAAGAAAGAGATGCACGGATGGATGTGGAAAAAGGAATTAGTACGTAGTCCAGTTTGGAAAGGGGACTAGTTCCTATAGTTTTATACTTGTTCGGTTTTTACGTACACTTTCATGTATGCATGTGCGGTTAACTACATAGTTTTTCCATTATACCTGAAGTGTATCGTAGTAGCTTTGGGGGGAGACCAGTGTTCTTTAAGTTCATTATAGTGAGGGGGGAACCAGTACTCACACCCTTGTAAGCAATTGTACACCAATCAGTGTAGGATGAACTCGAGGACTATAGTAACTCTGTTTCATACATTCAGAGGTCCAAGTATATCCTCATTAGCCCAGAATGCATAGATGGTGGCTAATTGAGAGACAAACTCAGCGTTTATTAGTAGCCTATTAAATGAAGAGAGGAAAAGTGTTAACGATCTTGCCGTACTGGTTTCTTCTGGAAGCCTGTTCCAAATGCGCGAGAATTGATTCAGAAAGAAATTATTTCTCAGGCTCCTCGTTCAACACTCAGTTTCAACTAATACTTTACGGTTACTCATACTGTACATAGATGCTATAATTAGCTGGATTTGCAGACCAGTGTAGTGCAAGTGCTGCTGAAGTAACTGTAACGGCCAAAATCCAACAATCTTGGCTTAAGCGCGGGAGATAACTTTGTGGTGCCAACTAACGTGAATCTGACAAGTTGCTGCGTTCTACTGTATAGTTTCCGAACTTCCGCGAGTGAAGCACAGTCAAAGGTTGGATCAAAAATATCAAAACACTGTAGTAAATCAATGGTAGATTCGTAACAAAATCTGTGGTACTATCAAAGCAGCAACAAGTTATATCAAAATTACGAAAATACTTTGACAGTGCCATTGGTTAACTATACAGCCCAAACGTTCTCGGGCACAAATACGTACCTGAAATCAGTGTGGAGATCCATTGCATTGCACTCAGCATAAAGTGTGAACAAGATCTGGATTTTCAACACTAACGTCAGTCAAGTCAGTGCTTCCATGTGATGGTTCAGAGACTTGGCGCGTCACGAAATGCATTTCCAGGTGACTACAGACATTCATCAACAGCTGCCACCCACGTGCACTCGATACTAAAGATCATATCAGATGCCCAGAAAGAATAAGCAACAAGAAACTTTGGCTGGCTGACTGGCAACGGACCAACCAAGGACCTGTTGCCTAACAAATATGCAGAAGAAAGTGGAGATGGACTGGGCATACACTGAGAAGACTGATTAGGGAACTCTAGAGTCAGGCTAGGCGGTCGAGTGTAATCCAAAGGGTAAACGACGACTTGAGCTTCTGAGGGTGACATAGAGGAGATCGTGTGAGGAAGAAATGAGAGCTTCTGGGCTGTCATAGAGCCAGGTTGAGAAGACTACATAGAAGAGAGTGCAGGGAAGCTACTGAGGCCTTATGTTCCACCAGGAACTAAAGGGACAAATAATAATGATAGATGCACAAGATAGCCTCAGGTAAAACTGCTCAGCGCCATTTCAGTAAACACCTCGGCATCCTATAACCATTTAGTCATCGCTGGAGACTTAAACACACAAGCATTCAACCCGGGATGTGAAGTAAGATGAGGGCATAAGTCTTATGAAAATAAACTTCGAAACACGTTTGTGGCAGGTTGGTTGCTAGAGAAGGTTGAAGTATTCACCGGATACGGACCGGGAGGAAAACGATAACCACTTGATTGCTTTCTAACAGACAGTGATCTCTTGGTGGACCATATCTCAGTCCATCCCCATCTGAGTAAAAAAGACCACGCCTTGGTGAGTTTCTCTTTGGTAACCAAGGAGGAACCACCAATACTATAGCCATAAGCGTTCTGGTGTTACTGAAAAGCAGACCACTATCTCATGGACAGTGAACTCCTGGAGGCTGCGCGGCAGCAACAACGCACTCACTGTCGAAGGACAAACACTGGATACATATTGAAAATACTATCTGGAGCGCTATCGAAAAGAGTGTTCCAAAATTAACCAGACAGCCACCTCTCAAACGGTTTTGGGTAGCTCGCGCAACTCAAAGGCAAATACAGAGAAAGATGAAGGCACGGTATTGTAGTGCACCTTGATGGCACCAAAATATAACTAGGGCTAAAATAAATAGTTTAAATTAAATTAACTAAATAAATCTCTAGCTTGCCTCCGGATGCTTAGGGTGTTTTAAGTTTTGTTTTAACGAGCATGCATCCGAGCAGGCTTGGACGCCATTTTGCGCTCCATTGTGCTGATTACCACGCACGTACTCCGAGTCCCTAGTTCAGCCTTACAAGCCAGATAAGTTGATTAAACTTTTCCCTCATTCATTATTATTACATTTACTTAATTAAATACATAGCTCCTTTAAATACATTGCGTATCAGTTCTTTTGATTTGTGTTTTGTTATCAGTACTTACACGTTAGGTAAAGTACTGGTTAAGCAGGTACTAGAGCACATCAAATTAAGTAGGGTTGATCAAACGTTACGGAATTGTAACACGCATCCCTACAAAATTGGTGAGCCCGAGTATCACTTCTTACTTTGTCTAGTACCTTTGTTTTCTTGCGTTGATTTGTCTGGCCTATTTTGTTTTTGGCACGGTCTAGCGTTTTTTTTATTGCACTCCTCATTGGTTATTTTTGCATTGTAATTTTTTTATTATCACTATCGTGCCTCGTTAATTCCCTGATCAATGGCGGATAACGACTCGACTGCGCAGATGGCCGTAACCCTCCAGCTTCCCACCTTCTGGGCCCACAGACCATCTGCATGGTTCTCCCATGTGGAAGCTCAGTTTGCCTTGAGACACATTCAATCACAAGAAACTAAGTCCAACTTAGTCATCGTCAGCTTACCGGAAAATGTGATCGAAGACGTCTCAGATGTGCTAGATGACCCAGCACCGAATCTTTACGATCGCCTCAAAACCGCCCTCATCAAACGTGTTGCACTTACTGACCAGCAGAAAGTGCAAGAACTTTTCAGGGATGTGCATCTGGGTGATCGCAAGCCGACGCAACTGCTTCGTCAGATGAAGCAGCTGATTGCTGACTTCAACATTGATGAAGCATTTCTCAAGCAACTGTGGTTACAGAGGTTACCACAGTCGGTTCAAGGGATCCTCGCACCCTTCCATAAGTGTCCCTTAATAGAGCTGGCGGAAGCGGCTGACAGAGCTGTGGATGCTACGAAACCCAACACTAGTATCTCAGCTGCACTGTCTACTGCCACGGATTCGTCCAAAACCCACATCCTCCCTCGGCTGGTGAGCCAACAAGTTTCGATGTTATAGCTCAC